TAGAATTATATTATATAGAGCTATAATAAGAAGATATTTGAATATAACTAATATAATAGGACCCTCTCTACCAAAATAGTGATAGATTAATATATTTATAGAGTATATAGTTAGTTAGTTAAATACAGCTAGTATAATAAATACTTTACTAAATTAGAACTTTAATAGTATATTAGGAGGGTCCACGGCGAGATATTTAGAGGTAGACCTAATAATAAAGCTATTTCTACTAGATTAGGGCTTAAAGTGGTATATACTAGAGCTTATAGTAAGACACCGGTCGAGCACCTAATAAGCCTTTCTAAAATAGAATAATATAAAGCGTCTTAAATAAAGAGATAGAGAATAGAGCCTCTAAGTTATAAAACTTTAGTTAATACCTATCTACTTAGTAAAGAGATATCAACCTATAGTAACTTAAGTGAGTCTTTAAGCACAGAGCACGAGCGACTATGGTCTCTTTAAGACCCTAAATAATATATATAGCAGAAAGGAAGGCTTATATAGGCAATTATAATATACTAGCGAGCGGGCTAAGTTTAGAGAACTAAGGCATAGTATATAATATTAAGTATAAAATATATCTTAGTAGCTAATAAGGCTTGGCTTAGTAGAGCTAAAAGGGGCTAAGAAGCTAGGGTATATTTTTCTAGAATAGTTTTACCTAACTAGTATATTTAGGTTAGGCTTTATAGTAAGTAAGTGCGAAATTATACATAGAAGTAGATTAAGATTAAATTGTGAAAGGTATCTTAATAGATAGGCGCTACTTAAGGACTTAGAACTTAGATAGTCTAGTTAATTATATAGAAAAATTAGGTATTTACCCTACTAGCTTTAATTTATAAAAGTATTAGGCTACTATCTAGGTATCTACCTATAGTAATATAAAAATCACGTGGTGCTTTAGTATTAGTCCTATATAGCAAAGATCCTATTAAGGTTAGTATTAAATACTTGGTTATATAAGCGGAAGGATAGAAGAATATTAAAATATATAGTAATAATTACTTTATATAATAGTAAAAGTCTCTATATTACTATATAGATAAGAACTTACTAAATATATTCTTATTAGTACTAGGGACCGATTTTCCTATTTCTAAAAGTGCGGTACCTAACTTGCCTTACTACCTACTATAGGCCATTATAAGGGTAGCTAACCTATAGAAAATAGAACGCGCCCTTAGCCTATACCGCCTACGCCTCTCTAAGGGGAAGTCCTATAAATAAATAGGGTTTTAAATAGATAAGATAGGAGAGCCTTGCTATAATAAAGTATCAAACCTATATAGTATAATTTAGATGTGAAGACTAAGAGAAGATAATACTATAATATAGTATTAAATTTCTCCTACTTCTAGTTTAATATAGCACGTGACCTTTTATACTTAGATATAATTTATAAATAAGGAGGGGAAAGGAGGGTAACGCTGTAAATATAGTATTTAATTTCTTATAATCCTAGCCTAGTAGTAGAATATAATAAAGTATACTAATATAACTAGTAGATAAGGAGGTAGGGCTAAGGCGTAATATATAGTAGTGCGAGGCTAGAGCTAGATAAGGTAGCTAAAGTGGCGAGGAGAGCTATCTATACTATTATGCGCTAATAGGAGACGCCTTGCCCGATCAGGAACGCTATACCGGATTGGGGAATTTGGTGAGGTCGAGGAATACAGAGTACACCTTCTCCCACTTCGGCTTGCCCTGCAGCGATTGACAACATGGACCAGTTCCCAGCCAGTCACCAGTGAAAGAAACAGCAGATGCAAGGGGTCTTTCAAGGAACCTTAGGCGGCCCATCCACGTTGAACCTTGACTCATCGGAAGGGATAAGACGGAGTCAGCAAACGATGCTCCGTACTCCGTACTCCATACGGCGGCAAAAAACATGCTGCGCCCACTCCAGGGCAGAGGAGCCGAAAGAAAGATGATCGCCTTTGCTGCGTCCATAGCCATCTCAAGCGAGGCTAGAGTACGGAGCGTACCCAGTGCTAATTTCGCACCGCTCTGCAACTAAACTTGTTCTGGAGCTCCCAAGGGCATCGGCGACTCAAGAATGACGTGGGGTAGTGTTTTTCATTGGCTCCCGTTTATTTTTATACTCCGAACACTTGAAGAGAAAACAACGAGGTTAGCTACCAGACGATCGTAACCGACGGTGTCGATAAGCATTTCCTGTATCTCCGAATAAACATGCTGGCTCGAGTCAAGGGACTGTTTCTTTTTATATCTCCACTCGGGCTTTGCTGTATGTATTAGGAGATGTCGCGCATGATGGACAAAGCCCCCCCCGCGCTTTTCTGGCGTTTGCACCCTGCCAGGAGGATCTGGGATGCAGCTGAGCGACTGCGTCGAGCGAAATGGCCCGATTGCAAGACCCCAGAGGTCGCGGTCCCAAGGGATGCTGCTGTCTGCAAGTGTGCGGTGCAAAGCTGTGGAAGCTGTGGCACGAGCAGCTTGCGTGGCGGCACGATATAGGTATTGCAGCGGTGGATACGGACGAGGCCTTCCAGCTAGCCCATCGCTGAAGCCATCCAGGTATTATTGATATTCGATATACTCCGTATTCGGCACGCTGATTCGAGCTCTCTCTTTCTGCGACGTCCAACTTTCCGCAGTGTTTGTTTTTTCTGTTTTGGCCCGAAGGCTTGCTTACGTCATCTAGTTCCAAAAGCGGCGAACTCTAAGTCGATGTCCACGAATTGTTGATGTTTACATCCTTCGTATACTCGTTCGAGCTCGACAATAACGGACGCGTTATATACTGAAGGAGTCAAGGATTGTGACCATGCGAGAACGAGCCATGGCACTGATCGACTAACGTGCATCGAGAGAGACCTGACCTCACGTCCAACCCTGACGGCTGCTGCATGGCCCATAGTCAAGCTTCATGCGATCCAACCACGGTTGAACGCCGAGCGGCTGCGTCGCTAAACCCCTGGCTATTAATAGGAGTTCGAACCTATGGAGTGCTTATGGACCTCATAGTCCAAAGTATGAGTACGGAGGAAACGCTGAAGGAACCGGACAGAGCTTCGTTGAGGGCCGCCAGCTGGGCGTTTGTTGCTTGTTCCCTGGCCTTCCGAAGCGGGGGAACAACCTCCTAGCTAAGCCCTCATGACCATGGCGAGGAAGACTGTGTTATGCAGGTACCAGGATGCCTGTTCTCAATCCAACCAGGACTCAGCATTCCCAAGAGATCTTTGCATCTTTATTCTGGTACCCACTTCAACCAGGCTGGACAGACAGGGTATTGATTAACGGTTTTTGCCGCTTGTTTGCCCAGGTCACATTTCTTTTATGGAGACTCCAGGTTTGGGTTGGGTTGCAACCTATCAAGCAAACAAAGATGGGAAACCTCCACCTTTCCAGCCAGACAAGCCCTCCCCAGCTCCTTCAAATCAGCCTATCACCAGGAAGTACGGAGTAACTAACAAGGCGCGTCCAGAAGTAGCCTCGCCCATAAGCAGCTGCGACAGCCAAGTCTAAGCGGATACCCGCGTATACTAACCTGCTTTGTCGGCTTGTAGCAGCTTTGAGCCCCAATCCAGCATCCGGATTTGGTGTGCCTAGCAAGGCACTTCTTGAAAGAGGAAAGGAGAGCTCCCCCCATGTCTACTCCGTCCAGATCAGATGGCAAAAGTCTTGGAACTTAATCCGCTCTCGAACAACGGAGACGGGATAAAACAAGATCGAAATGAAGAAACTACCTTATTTACGGCCTTGAACCGATCTGTTGCTGGTCCAATCATCCCCGCCCGGCGCACACCAACCGTGAATCCAGCTCCACGACAGCTTGCTGCTTAGTCTCCATCTTTTGCACGATCCGGCTCCTCCCTCGGTCATTCCTTCGTTACGTTGTAGTTTACCCCCACCCAGTTTACTATACTTATATGCAGATATAGGATCAAAGGCCTGCCTTTCCCCCCGCCCCCAAGGCCTACTTGCAGGGGTCAGGGGTCTGACACAGCTATTGTCAATTTCATAATGTCTAATTAACCCTCCAAACTCTCATACCTTGGATAATCAATGGAGGGTCTCCGAACATCTTATCATCCATTACTAATTATGGACAAAACTCCGTACGCCTATTACATTCGTTCCTCTCCAGAGCAGCTCCGCCCTCCGTCCTCCGTACATATCCCGTTTTCGTGATTTTCTTCCTTTCCACTTAACTTTTGTTTTCATTTGCCTTCGAACCCAAAATTAAGGTTAGTTCTTTTTTGTACATCTCTTATTGGCGTGGGAATATCCGTACGCGAACGAAAATCCTTTTAATTAATAACCCGTGAGAACAACAAGACCCCACGTGATGGCTGAGTTCTGCCACATGGCGAACCGTTTTAACTAGCCAAACTCTCGCCAGCCTTGACTCCCTGTGTTCGGAGGATGCCGAGCTCCTTCTTTCGCCTATGTATCTCCGGGTCAGCGTCAAGTCTTCACGAGGAAATTGGGATAACAAATGCTAGACATGCCGAAGGAAGAGCGAAGGGGCCGTGGTACTGGCGCTGAGCGCAAATATCACTCGCATTGATTTAATATAATCTAAGTCAATATCTACAAATGCCCGTTTTTAGACGCCATCACTATGAACTCCATATAATATCAGGGGTTAAGTTAGTAGTAATTAATCGGGTTTGTTCAAGCTTAATCGGCCCGAACGCGTTAAGGGTCGACGAACGATATGCATATTCGCCAACTATTAAAGGCTCCAGCAGAGTATAACCGTCATACCATCACAGAATGTAGATTCCCAGCTCTTTCTTTTTTTTTTTCGTTGCAGCACATTGAACGGCTGTCCTCCCATCATCCGTGACATCAGGCTGAGAGATGGAAAATAATTCCAGCCACCATCCATGTGTTTATTATCCAATAATCCGGTTACCGTCAGACACACGGTAATTATCCTCGCTAAAAAAGGAAAGGTATGGGTGTGCCTGTTAAGAGCAGATACGAGGAATTCGTACACAAGTCCCGGATGGCGTATTATATTTTTAGATGGCGATGTTAGCAACACCACTAGCCAAATCATTTCCGCGGGCTTGTGACTTTAAGACCTCGTCGAACACACCAGCTGCGGAAGCAACGAAGCCAAGGAAAGGCTTGCTAGGAGCAAGAACACGAGACAAATACTCCGGGTGGAACTGGACACCGACAAACCAAGGATGGTCCTTGAGCTCGACGATTTCCATGCGCTCGCCCTTGTCATCTTTGCCAATAAAATGGAGTCCGCCCTTCTGGAGAGTATCGATATATTCAGGGTTGACCTCATAGCGGTGACGGTGGCGCTCATCAATGGAGCCACGATCCAGTCCGTACAGCGACCGGAGCTTCGACCATTCGCTGCCCTCCTGGAAGATAGTCGGACGGGATCCAAGACGCATGGTACCTCCAAGGTTGACCTGGTCAATTTCCGGCATGAAGACGACAACAGGATCTGGAGTGCGGTCGTCGAATTCAATAGAGCTAGCACGAGGGATATTGCAGACATTACGGGCATATTCCATGACTGCTATCTGCATGCCGAGGCAGATACCGAGGTATGGCTTGCCCTTGGTTCGAGCCCAGTGAGCAGCAGCAACCATACCCTCAGTACCACGGGTGCCAAACCCGCCAGGAACAAGGATACCGTCAGCTGTGCACATCTCATGCCAGGCCTTGTGGAATGCTTCTGGATGGGTTTCAGAGGCAGTCTTCTCAAGGTTCGAGGCATCAATCCAGGTGATTATGAGTTTTCGGCGGCAAGCCATGGCAGAGTGTTCTAGAGACTTAATGACTGAAAGGTAAGAGTCGTGAAGACTGACATATTTGCCGACAAGGGCAATGTTGACAGTGCTATAGACATGCTCTTGGGAAGTTGTGAGGGCCTTCCACTTTTTCCAGGTGTTCTGGCCCTTGTCTATGGAAGTTTGAGGGATGGTCAAATCGTCGATCTTGAGGATACTGCGAAGCTGGCCAAGGAAGCCTTGCTGTTCTAGAAGGAGAGGGACATGATACGTTGAAGCAACGTCATGAACACCAATGACTTGCTCAGGCTCAACCTGGCAAAACATGGCAATTTTATCGATAGTAGCCTTGTCAAGTGCTCTCTCGCAACGACACGCAATCTAATGAATATCGTCAGCACTTGATGAAACATTTTTCCCCCTTTCATATGGGTTTCCGGGCCACGTACCAGATCGGGGCTCAAACCGGCTGAGCGCGCATCCCGTATCGCCTGCTGGGTGGGCTTGGTCTTCAACTCGCCATGAATGGCTGGGACAAGCGAGACATGAATTTGGAGGAAATTGTTTTTGCCAGCACGACGCCGTAACTGGCGCATCGCCTCAACAAAGGGGGCGCTCTCAATATCACCGAGTGTACCGCCGAGTTCTAAATTCAGATTAGATTCAGCAAGCGATCCTTCCAACGTAGATTATACGTGGTCATACCGATAACGCAGACGTCAGGTTCCTCGTTGCTGTCGTCGGCTGGAGTTCTGGCTACACGCTCTATCCAGTCCTGGATGGCATCTGTGAGATGAGGAACAATCTGGACCGTACGACCAAGGTAGTCTCCTCGCCGTTCCTTTTCAATAACGTGTTTGTACATCTTGCCGGTGGTGATCTACTCATAATAAGTATATATGGCGTACGTTGAAGGATTTACGATGGACTCACGTTGTTATCCCGAGAGAGAGTGACGTTTAGGTATCTCTCATAGTTCCCCAGATCAAGATCAGCCTCACCGCCATCATTCAACACAAAAACCTCGCCGTGTCTAGGTATTAATTGTTAGACACGATATCTCGAAAGGGAGAGGCGTTGGGACAAGGTCCATTGCATACTCCGTAGGCGCCATAGTCCCGGCATCGACATTCATGTAGGGGTCGATCTTGATAGAGGTAACGTGCATAGATAATTAGAACCAGTTATCCAATGGCACTATCAACATGGATATTACTTATCTTGAGGCCATCGGTCTTCAACAAAAGTCCACTAGAAGAAGCTGTATAACAACATACAAGAATCAGGACATATATCTTTCTGAAGCTCCCATACTTGGACTTCCATGACTGATATCTCAATATATCAAAGGCGTGACCTACCAATTACGCCCTTCCCGATGCCACTGATCACACCTGTATAATATGATATATTAACCAGAAAATTTCTTGTAAAGGATTAAACATTCCACAAGCTGTAGAGGGCCCAAATTCCATTCATATGGACGAGCAAAACGAGTCAATGATACCAGCTTACCTCCAGAAACAAGAACGTATTTCATCGTGACGGTTAGGTTGCGAGTGAGAAAAAGAATATGTGATACTCAGAAATACGAAGCAGAGGTACAGAATCACTACTTATATTCAACTATAAATGTAGGGGTCCCTTTCCTGGCTTCTGCCAGGGGGGAGGAAGAAAAGAGGAAAGGAAAGAAAAAATCGACGCCCGCACTTCTGCCTTTAGTGGGACGGCGAGTCGCGTCGGCGCCTGCGGTTTTTGCTTGCCGAAAAGGCGCGCCCAATAAGGCTTAGCGCGATCGATCGTGGCACGTGATATCATATAGATCGACGACATATAGAACATATAACAAGAACATATAACATAGAACATATAACATAGAACATACAGAACATATGGATGGAAGATATGAATAGAAGATACATGAGTAAGAGTAGTGACGGAGTGGTTGCAGACAATATCTAGCTAGGAACCGACATTGAACAATCTAGCAATCATTGACGACTCCTTGCTACAGCAGACTCGCTTCCAGTTATCGGCTTGGACAAACTCCTCGATGGTACGGCCAGCCATCTGGAGGCAGCTGACTCCTGTATCTACCATCTTTCTGGTCAAATTGGTATCCTTCCCGTCGGCCCTTTGGCTGTCGTCGAACGTTTTTATGCAGTAGCTACTCCAGTCATTCTCAACCGCATTATTTATCACTTCCCGTCCATGTAAGATAAGAGCTGACCGAAATATTCCAGCGGCGTGGGATGAGGCAGGTGGCTGCAAGCTAGCAGAGTAAAGCTGCCATGGTGCTTTGGCGGAATAGCTGTGTCTTGTATACGATGAACAAAGTCCCTCAGCCAGTGCAAGAACGCCTTTGTGGATGGGCTTAAACTGCTCACCACAATTTCCCCACGCAATGGAGTATAAATGGAGATGAGCAAGAAGTTGTGCCATGTCGCCGTTTACACCTCTCCCAAGACCGGAGAATTCAAAGTCGATAACCCCGATGTTATTTTCTTCGACGACCGCTGTCAAGTCTTGCGAAGTTTTTGATGGAAGGCCAATAAGAATACCCCCTGGCCACAGATCACCGACATTAAAACACTGTTCTCCATCAAACACTTCCTGGCGCTCAAAGTCTTCTTCAACAATCTTGCTAAGTTCCTCTGATTCAACACAGTTGAACTGACAAAGATACCGTCTTATAGTTGACACCGCTGCTTCTCGCACTACCTCCTTCATACTGCCGTTCTCGAACCAAGTCATCGTAGGGTCATTGCCATATGACTTGATCGAATTCAAGGTCTCCTCAGCGTGGAAATCTGCAAAAAATTCGCCTAGCTTTTCACCAATACAAAGACATAGCTTATGATTTTCCAGCAAAAGAGTCCCAGTTAGTGAGGGCCAGGTTGAGCTTTGAGAAGGCAGCCAAGAGGCTGAAAGGTGGTCTGATAATGGCGGCAGAGTGCCTAGGTCTTCAAGGACTAGGATATGATGCTCTTCATCATGGGATATAAGGCCCGGTACCCGGACAGATGCTTTTGACGTCATGAGCTTAAGCGGCCCATCAGGTTCAGAGAATAGTGTGAGGGCGTTTTTCTCTACAATCTATAGCATATGAGCATAATTGGAAAGCGTTTCGGATTGACGAAGAGAGACTCACCTGTCTAATCTGATCGAATGGCGCGCCTTCGCCCACACTTGCTACGAAAGGCGGGGCATATTTCAATATCAGGCTCTGATGTTTTCCAAATGGCCCAGGCTTATCAGCTGCTGTGTTTTGCTTATTCGCATCGTCCCTCACAGCCCGGACGGTAACATTGACTAGCCCACCAGTAAGGCGTTTGACGATCCAAGTGTTCTGGGGATCTAATTTCCTAAAATAGGAATCAAAGTCAAGGGACATGACTCTTTAACTAGGGAGCAAGATATTTAGAATGGGCTTATTGCTTCGGGAAGTTGAATTAACTCAAGGATCTAGGTAATACACAGTTCTCAACCGCGATATATGAAGTATGAGAGGTGTTCACGTAGTGCAAGAGGAGATAGTCGAAAAGAGATACTGAAGGGCGTCTTGGCCGCTGGTCGGAGGCCATATATGGCTAGCGGTCTGAGGGAACATTTTTATAATAAAAAATATCTGACGGAAGTAACTAAATAAAGCCGAATAAGTCCATTTAAAGTGGGCAACAATTCTAGTTGCGAGACCACGCTGGCCGAACAATCTTAGTGAATCATATTAAATACAGTTACAAGTCAACCACGCGAATCCTTGCACAATCGCTTTTTTTTTTGCTCATGAAATGTCGAAAACGCCCAAAGTCATACACCAGCTCCATAGCATACATGTCCTCAAAATTGGATGAAACCGCGTAGAGTTCTTAGAAAATAAAATAAGATAAAAAAACTAGTAACGCAGAAGAAGAGAAAAACTAGTAACGCAGAAGAAGAGAAAAACGAAACTTGAAATGAACCATCAAGAGATCACTCAAAGTTATCCGTCCTGTCAACCCAGATGTCTTCTAGTTCGGCAAAGTTTTGGAAATGCAATGGGCGATGCTGATCATCGTAGAAGCGCTATATAACGAGATATATTATTAGTCATCTGATATAAACGGTAAACCAGTGAAACGGGTGGGGGATAAAAGCTTACCATCGGAGTGTCGACCTTGACATATATCGGTCGCTTTTCCACGCTACTGAAAGAACTTCCCATGAAACTGTAGTTCCAAACATTGTTTTTAGGGACCAAGAAATATCCACGAATTCTGTCACTGAGCAGCAACTGGCATTTATCACCCATGCTTGTTGAGAATCCTTGAGGTTGGTCGGAAGTGGTATCCTTATTCTCCGCACCCCACTTATAGCCTTGAGGCGTGAGGGCCCAGGCAGAAAGCGAAACTGAGCCTGGAGTAAATGAAACAGTCATTGTCACAGTCTTCTTATCCCAAGACGAGTGTGCATTCATTAACCGTGCGTGCTGTGTTATATCCATGGCGGTCATATAAGTGGGCTCGTTGCCGGATAGCGTATGAATGATTCCGAGTGGTTCGAGACCATTTAGGTACTCATGTTGCGGCAACTGTTGCGGAAGCTGTATATCCCGAGTGTTACCAACCTGTGGAATCATCACTATTGTTCGAATCTCCTTGACCTGATCATTGTCTGGGGGTGAGCTGCCGTAGAGATAGCCAGCCACTTGGACACGGAGATCCGAAATCATAATGAATCGCTTCAGTATGTTCTTTGGCATGATGTAGGTGTAATGTCCATCTTCCTGGATATCCTCGGAGGAGATATAGATATTGTTAGCACGTGTGCGCAGGTTGGATGTTGCAATTGCACGAGTTCGCCATTCGGTTTTTGATGCAAACGATTGTTGCTCATACTGTGAAGTTGTCGTCACGATGATCTCCTCGCCACGGACGTTCTGGGTCTTAGTAGTAACAGCAGTCAATTGTTTCTGTTCTTGCTGCTGCTTCTCCATTTCAGCAGCTTGTTGACGCTGCAGCGATGGCGCACTAATTTCCATGCCCAGGATAATATCTCGAACTTCGCTGCTAGTAAGACTCTGAACGTTGACATTGTTTTTCTTGCCATAGTCGTTCAAAATCAAATCTCGAAGTTGAACTTCCAGTTTGATCCAGTCCTCGTCTGAGAGTGTAGGCCAGATATGATGTTCCTGGGTAATAACCGTTTTGTCCGGTCGCAAGAGGATCTTAGTTTTCTCAATGTTGACATGCAAAGCTCGAAGAATCAAAACTAGTCGAGAGAAGGCAGTGTACGAAGATATGGTCTTAAGCCATTCGTCGTAAAGGTTGAAGAGCACCATCTGGGGTTCTGTAGCCTTAAGAATCATATCGGCAAGTTTCTCAATCTTCATGGCAGCTTGGAAGGGGAGCTGCAATTCAGAAGCTCGGATGGAAATATTTGGAAAGTCGAGCAGATGAACTTCAAGGGGATCAAGCAGACCCTTTCTCGTAACAATGAGCTGTTTAGGTTGTTCTTCAACGGGTAGAGATCGGATGAGAGCAGCAACTTCTTCGGCCGTTTTCCATTTGGCTAACTGACCTAAACGCTTCTGTCCAGCCCACACGCTGGTGTGGATGATTTTCAGGAAAAGTTGACCAGTTCGCGGATTGAAAATGAAAATCGCACCGTTGATGGGCTTGGTGGTCAAATTTCCTTCGAATGTCTTGTGGATAGTAACACGGTAGACATTAGTATCATCAATAAACAGTTGAATCTGGTTACTAAACAACTCGGAGTAATTTTGAGAGTTCAGGAACTCTTGGTTGCTTTCGGAAGCATACAGTTGCAGACCCTTGCGGATACGCTCTCGTAGGACATACAAGGCAGGATTTGCCTTCATGATTTTGGCCATGGCTTGCTGGATGAGAGCTTTCAAGCCGGGGAAATATTGTCCATAAGCAGAGTAAAGGTTGTAGGCCAGGTCAATGCCAATCATGAGACCAGTGGCCGATGGATAGATACTCATGCTGTCGGTCGTGTAGTCAAGGTATTTAGCACGCACATAACGTTCTATGTCGTGAGAATCGTAATCACCATATCTTAGCTGTACATCGAGCCAGAACTTGTTAGTCGTAGTCGCCTCAATCACGTCCTTGGTGTCAAACAGGAGGGAAGGCCTTGTCACATTCCATTTGTGAGTTGCGAACAAGAGAATATCGGCACAAGAGCTGTTCATCTTATACGATTTTCGGGGATGGATGGTCTCCTTCTGGACAGTCTCGATGCCAAGTTGTTCGAGCTCCTGGTCGAAGACTTGACATAGATCCATAACAACAGATTCGTGAATCTTTTGCCACAAATGCGCTCGGAATATCTGAATCAAGGATATCTTCAATGTTGGAATTTTGCCGTGCAAGAATATACCAGTAAGATCAAGCTGGACCTGGAAACCAACGTAAACGTTTGCTCTGTTAATGGTCGGTGACCACCATAAGGTGAATCGACGGTTAGGGATCTGGTTCAAACCAGATCTCTGAGCATTGGTAAGTTTCTTGAATTTCATCGACTCTTCGAAACCGCTGTTATGAAGCACAAGGTAATCGTGTCGTAGATACAGCTGGTCTTTGTCAACTCGGAAACCAGCCCATCCAGTAGCTTCAGGTTCTAGTGTGATATCCTTGACCATAAAGCTATGAGTCTGAAGAACATAGCGATCGATAGCCTTCTTGCGAGATAGAAGACTAGGGATTTCCTTCAAATTGCCGGATATCTGAGCAAATAGCTGGGGATATTGCGCAGTACGAGTTGCACTCCACATCAATCTTCGTTTAGTCCATACACTGAAGCCAAGAGAGCGAGCCAGTGCGACTGTATCCCAGAACAACGCTGAATTGCATTCGCTCTGGCTGAAGCCAAACATGTTCTCCGCGTCGACGTACCATCCATCGCTATCAAGCAAACCTGCAAGGACGGCTAGTCGGACAGCACGCGAATTGTTCAAGAACACAGCGGGGATATGTTTAGAATCAGTCTCAGATCCAGTTGATTTAGGATCCGCTAGCACATCAACCCCACGAAGAGTTTGAAGAAGTGAATAAACACCTGGATTGTTCAGAAATTGTCCAGTGATCTGCTCAAGGAGTTGTTCTTGCTCCTCCTCCTGGAGAGTACCGTACGCGCTAAGGCCGGCCTGCAGACGAACAGTTTGTTGAGTCTGCAGAGGCTCGTCGTCGTTAAATTGTCCGTCATCAGTCTGGCTAATGGTGTCCAGAATATCTAAATGTGCGCTGTCCAGATTGTCCTCTTTGGGCTGCTGCTGGCTAGGCTCGTGCAGGCGAGGGCTTTGAGAGGAACCCTCAGCAGGGGGTTCCAAAATACAAGCTTCACCAGGCTTACCACCAGTCTGCAACGTCCACCCAGCGGCAAGGCGTTGTGAAATGATTGTCTGCCGGGATGAACAGTCCTCAGACCCAGCGGCAGTTGTCAACTGGTCACGCCAAGCCAATTGTAGATCGAGTTCAGCAGCGTGTCTAACCACGAATTCTCGGACTTCTGCCTCATGGGATTTGTGGGCAGCTGCACTGCGGTGGTTGCCATCCCCAAGCCAGAGTCCCAGGAAATACGGGTTACATGGCACTGATTGTTCAGGAAGATCAAAACCGGGAGAATTGAAGACCTTGTACTTGCACCTCTCTTCATGCTTCAAAGTGTAAAACTCAGCGGCAGTCATCTCAACGGTTTCGTATTGTTCGGATGCAGAGACCTCTTGGACATCGGTAGGAGTAGAACTGGGTTCGGTTAATCCACCAAGTTTACTCTTTTCCTTGTGGAAGACTAATATATGGTTTGATGTAACAACAAGGTCTTCCTTTTGACTCTCAATCTTGATCCTATAGAGTCGATCTTTGCCGCTGACTATATTGAAGGCACGACGAGGTCCTCCATCTGGGCCAAGAAGTAGATCACCCTCCTTAACATCTTCAACAGCAACTTGAGAGTGATCATATCGAAGCAACATCGTACCGTTTGCAAGACACGCGCGTTCCCAGAAGAGACCTTCCCAAGAGGGGAACGCAGTCGCTTTGAAAAGAGTGTGTTCGAGGATAGTTTCAACACCACCCAAGGCTTGAATAACATCGGTTCTGTACGCGTTGAGGTTCCACAATTTACCATCATGCCTCTGACTTGTCCACCAGAACGGGTTACTTTTCATAAGCTGGTAAACCTTGAATTCTGTCCTGGCACGGAAGCCTTTGTCAAAGCTCAGTGTGCTGCGGTCTTTCTGGAAAAGGGTGTTGATTCGCGGGAGACCACGGTCCCAACTATCTTCCAGGTCCTCAAGAGTCAATCTTCGGTTTTGTTGGTTTGCCTCTTGTCGCTTTTGAGAATATTCCATCCAGACACGCTGAGAATCGATGAATTCAGCCTCCCAAGGAATGATATATCTGAAAATATTTGGAATCAAAGTCTCTTCGTCATGGGACATACCAGCCCGGTAATGAGTAACACCAGTATCTGTTTGTTTCGACCATCGCTTGTCACTTGTTGGGATAAGAATGTGAGACCCAGAAATCATGCCTAAGCCTCCCAATTCCTTAGGTGTGTAGAATACAGCTGGAGGGAAACGTGACGGCATCTTGGAGTTGAGACCAATCTTAACTCTCGTTTGAATCTTAGTCTCGCACTTCACAATAGTATCTAGTAAGTTGACTGTTGAGACTGCAGCTTCTCTGTAATAAGTGAAAAGGGCGATTAAGCTCGTATTCCACTTATTTGCAATCTTCGTGAAGGTGGTAGAACCAGAGGACATCAGGATCTGTCGAATACGGTTGTTGAACTTTTGAATATCCTCTTCCGTAACTTGAAGGAAGGCGTATGCAGTACGCTCTTTAGTCGTGTTGTCAGACAGAGACCAGACGCTGTCTTTCACGGAGAATTCTTCGTTCTGGTTACGAATCTTTGGCAGAATGCGAACCTCGAAACCGCACATGGAGAACAACAGATTAGGATTATCTTTGCTGTAAACACTTGCAAACGTATCATCCCATTCAACAGTGGTGATAGATCGTGGAAGTCGGTTCTTTAGATCCCAGAACACGGCACGACCAAGATTAACATCGTGTCTCATAAGGCGCATTCTAGAATCCCTCGGCCAACACTTCTTATTCTTATAACCGATAACATTCTCAAAGTTTGGATCTGGTTGTTCTGTCAAGAAGCGCTGGATCAAGTCTCGCGATTCATCAGCTGAAAACCTAAAGAACACCCAAATCTTGTCGATATACCTCGTATAAAGGCGGATAGGGTGCTTGCTTTCGGTAGCACGGTCTCTGAATTGCAAGAAATCGTTCGGGCTTTGTGGTGGACCAGCAATTTCACTAGCTCTTTGTAGACCAAGAAGGAGTAAGTCAATAACTAGGCCGTAGTACTGGAAGACGAATCCAGAGAACTGAAGGCCACGAATCAGGCCATAACTGTTAGTATGATTCATATCCTTGTAATTAAGCTGAACATTGTTCTTCGAGGTGATGTAGTCGGCCAAATTGTGGTCCATGATGAGACGAAGAAGGCGATTCAGCAATGTAAGATCGATCTTGTCGTATACTTTCGACAGCTGTGTCTCAATCATAACATTGCATTCACCATCAGCAGTCTCCCAGACATTGGATAGATTGTTGATGCCTTGGGCCCACTTATAGGTCAAAAGAGGCGGTACTTCAGAATCGGATGGCTTAATCCACGCGGGGAATAAGTGTCGCTGATCGGCTTGATACCAAAGATATTGATCAAGGTATGCATCGGTGATCTTTTCAATTGGCTCGATATCGTACACCGGGTTGATATGGCTATAGTTGTCATTCATATCAATACCAACTTCCTTGAAAGCTCGCTGAGTAAGGAGGAATCGTTTAATTCTCGCAAGGGTAGTGCCAGGGGAGTCGTATGCCTGTTCAATAAGCGCAAGTTCCTCACGTTGACTCTGGTTCAACCGGCCTTTCACCGAGTAAGCCTCACGCAATCGCTCAAGGGCTAGAATTAGAATCTTTGTGTCGTGTTTATATGACACACTTGGGAAAGGAATTGGTGAAAACTTTCGTGATTCTAGCCAGTGGACGGTTGTAGTATAGATGGCGACAGCCTCTTCTGAAGACACGTAGGGCCCATCCTTCATATAGTTGTGCTGCCTTTCTTGTTCAGACTTAAGCCACAAGCGGGTTAATCTTCCAAGATTCTTTTTGGCGACGGTCTTATCGACAGTAGCACCACGACGAATACGTTCTCTGTTATAGTGGGCGACCGATATCCACCAGTCCGCTTTGCTCTTCACGTATCGTAGGATGATATTCTCAATGGGGGCAGGCAGACCTGGCACTTTCCATGGGATGTTACTCTTCCAGCATCTCCATGCCTCAGACAGATGTTGGAGAACAGTATTAACTTTATTCTGTTTGATACCTTCTGGCATCATATCCATCAAGTCTGCCATAACCGAGGCGCGAAGTTCCAAATCGAAATGAGACTCAACACGCTGTTTGGTGACTGTCTTGGCGACACCCTTACTATGACGACCTTCAAACTGCCTCGACAATAGATTACCCAACCATCGTTCAAGGAGTGGGATTATACCACGAAGGAAAAATAGCCATACTCTCCAGGCGGGAGCCCAGAAACCACAGCCAGGGCCCTTGCCGACTGGACCAGAGTTAAACCGATAGTAAATAAGATGCTTCAAATCCTTGCACGACCGAATCTGATGCATGAGCTTGTATTTGTATCGGTACATTCCAGTCAATTGGCCAACATGGTTGAACGCGTAGAGGATACCATCAGCAAGCTGGAAAGCATCAATATTCCCTAGACGGTATTGGACTTGGGCATCTACAATCAACTTGGTCAAACGGAGGATTTCTCGCATCAAGTGGAAGGCGTTTCCAAAACGAGATTTCTTTCGTTCTTTGGTAGTTAACGTTTTCACGGGTTTAAGATTGAAATTGTAATCCAAGTGCAAGTAAGTCAAGTTCTTTCGGTGGATTAACAAGTTGAGCATGTTGAATCCTTGACGGCAAACTTGAAGACCAGCTTCCACCCAGTCAATCGTCGTTTGTTGGAAGAATTTGGTGCCCTTGAGTGTCCTCAACAGGTTCTGTTTATTTTGAGCTTTCGGCTTTCGCTTATGTAGCTCGTTCAGAACATATGTTTTCAACAGCTTCTGGTAAGACACTCGAACTTTCACTGGTTGGCCCTGGGGACAATGTTCTAGGTACCACTGCTTCACAAGGGGCACGTCTTGAGCACGAACCATTCTCCCAGAGCGGCGGTCAAATGGATATGGTGCCCACCACAAGGTGATGGCGGATGATGTCTCACTTGTGTAGAGCTCTTCATCGGCAAGAAACGGCTCAACAGCGGCTGGCAGCTCAAAATCGTCTTCGTCATTGCCAGGGCCAAAAATCTCATCTTCGTGGCTGATTGTTATATTCTGGGGTGCAACCGATCGAGAGGATATGGGGTTAATGATGGGGTCGAAGTAGAAAGCGGGAAGGTTATGATCCTCAGTTTTGACATAGACAACTTGAGGATGAGAGTACCATGAAATTTTAACACTTCTTGGTAGGGAGTTGTAGAGGTAGGGGAATGCTACTCTATATTCGGTTCGTATTGGGGCGCGGAATATGATACGATCAATGGCGTTGAATTCGCCAAAATCCTCGTCATTAGGGTCAATATCTTTATAAAGAGGCTCAAATCGTGGGCCACCAGGGATTGCCACGTTTAGGGCCTTGGCCGTTAGGAAGCTGTTCAACTCAAACATGTGGAAATAATTCTTGTCCACCACGTCGCTGAGAAGCTGATGACTTAACCGGTACAGGGTTGCCATCTGTGGGAGAGTCAGGTTCCACTCTTTATAACTTGGCCCGTTGACGTGAGGGGTGTCGAGCAGCGGCCGGTGGTCATAGAACCATTCGAAGACGGGGCTATCTTCAGCTTCATCGAGCTCCATTTGGATCGGTTCTAGGGGCTCCACGTCCTCGATGTTCTCCGACCACGACAGTGGAGGTTCCTCATCGTCGAATGGTGGAAATCGCATTCGTTTGAAATGCCTTCTGTCGCTCTTCTCACGTCGCATGCACACCCACATCGATGCCCACTGCGCATGAAAAACCGGCTCTATAACGCGTGGCGTCTCGTTGACAAGCGTTAAACAGCCATTCACGTGGTAAAGTACCTTTACTTCCCTCGCGGACTCCCAAGGCATAGGCATGTTCTCCAGCAGCTTCAGTACCGCATGAGGCATGAACTTCAAAGCTCCAAGATAGCTGCGCTTATCGGTGCTAAACTTCTTTTGCGACACATCTCCAATATCCTTGACAATCTTCCGAAGATGTTCCGGCGGCATGTCATCCTTTTGAGACTGAACGAACCCTGCCTTTCTTTTCTCTCCAAATCGGTTGCGCTGACTTCGAAGCCACTCTTTCTTCTTCTGCTCGAACTTCGCGGTCATCGGATGTGGAGACGGCCTGTAGCCCGGAGGCGGTGGTGCAAGAGGCATCGAGGGAGGCGCTGCAGCTCCCCATCCCGGAGGAGGTGGCGGAGGTAGAGACGCCATGGCAAGCAATCAAGTTTCGCGGGGGCGGAGGAAGTGTCGTAAATCTCTCTCGCCCTGAAGAATATATGGAATTAAAGGAGTGCTCGAGTGAGAGATCTCACATTAGACATGGGGTTTCCAGCGTCGCAATCCGGTCCTGGAAACGGGTCTAAAACAAGAAAAGAGATAATAGTACAGTTGACACAGAATATACGGCTTGGAGTGCGGCCAAAACACGTCCGAAGCGTTGTCTGTCTTTGGTGAAAAAGTCGAGATCGAGAAGCGTGTTTTGCTTGTTCCCTCTTTAGGCTCCGGATCTTTAGTTTTTGCGGAGCGTGCTCGCAGTCCAGATGCGGCCTAGCGCGGGCTCGCCAAAAAGACCCGACCCCGTGACCTCAGATTCCAACCCACACAAAATTAGATCTTTTTGAAGCTTGAAATTGATATCGACGACCACGAAAGAGACGACGTCGCCGCCCATTTTCACCCAGTCCCCCTGATCTCACCAGCCGCTGAGATTCAAACACCGACACGATGACTGCCACAAGACTTCAATACGTGAGTTGGACCGTTGACCCTTCCTGACAGGTCCGCAGATGATGCTAATACTTCTTTTTCTCGGCCTCTAGCGACGACGGAACCCGTACGTGGAAACCTGCGAATATTCTTGCGATTGAGGTGGATTTATCGCCGTTCAGACAATTAATTCCTCTCTGCAATTAGGTACAACACGAGATCCAACAAGGTCCGTGTCGTCAAGACCCCAGGCGGCAATCTTCGATACCTTCACATCAAGAAGAAGGCCTCCGCACCAAAATGCGGTGACTGCGGAATCAAGCTCCCAGGCGTGAGTAGCCCCAACCAGAAGTCTTGGAAGGATTCTCCGTGATTGAAATAGATATTGCAACTTGGATGGTGGAGGGGAATCTTTCGCATTTCGCGATTTCATTCGTTCTCTTGACGACCATTTCCGACTGACTTTATATCTTTGGATATGTTAAAGATTCCCGCCCTCCGTCCCCGTGAATATTCTCAAATCTCCCGCCCAAAGAAGAACGTCACCCGCGCCTACGGTGGCTCTCGCTGCGGCAACTGTGTCAAGGACCGCATCGTCCGCGCTTTCTTGATCGAGGAGCAGAAGATCGTCAAGAAGGTCCTCAAGGAGTCACAAGAGAAGACCGCCACTTCGTCAAAGAAGCGATAGATTATTTACCCTGTGGAATGTGGAAGGGTAGAAGGGGTATACCAAGATGATGAAGTGATAGCTTGAACAAACGGGAATGAAGGTTCGATCACAACCGGAGTTTGGGGCGGGAATGCCATCTCTGTTATCGGTGGGAATTCCCAAAATGAAAAGATTATAATCATGAAATGCATTATCAGCCTGTGCTTTTTTAGTGTACGGCGAGACTTTTCAAAGTCGGAATCTTCCCCGCCGAATGTTATGACGCTTGGGATATTCACGTCTTCCGCCTACGCTGTCCTGAAAACCAGCAACTGTCAATGATCAGAAACTTTCTAAAACAGCGTCATATGCCCTGTCAGCCGTGGAGTCTTCCAACGGTGCCATCAGTCACATCCACCCTATAGAAACGTAGAAATGTCCCGGCCTTACCAGTTTCTGTTGTAAAAACAACATCAGTGGACATCTCATATGCACTGCTGGTCTATATCTGGCAATCTTACTGGGTAGCGTGCATTCGTTCTACTTGTTAGATTCGGAAATGTCGAGGTGAGTAGAAAGGTGGAATAATCATACCTGGATGCTTTATGGTTAATATAGGCTTGACATTCCTTGCATTACGGAAACGAACCGCGTAGTAGATTGAGTCAAGAACGTACCTCCTTTGCGCCAATTCAGAGCAAAGATACATCATGTTGAAGGAATGCACAAAATTGTAAACGGTCGTAGCAACTTGTATAATCTACTAAGCATGCCGTTCCTACCTATAGTCTAGGACCTATCCAAAGCTCACCAAAGCCGTCAGGCATCTTCAACCCAGTTTCAACAATTCCATTCCCTACTATGGTAAACAAGAATAACTTCATCTATTCAATTTCAAGAAATTATAGAATCCAGGTCATAGAATATCTTCTCAAGAGAGTTACTCTTCAACCCCCATAGTTTGGTGCTGAGGGAGGAAATAAGGAGGTTTCATAAAACGGCAGCAAATGTCGAAAATGGACGGACGAGATAGGGAAATATCGGTGCTATGACCCTTGCTGCTATAAAAGAGCTTCAATAAATGGTGTTCTAAAACCTTCTCTTCTTCTTTGCTGGTTTGGTATTGCCTTTATCTGCTAACTCCAGTTGACGCCGTAACTCCTGTCGTTTTCTGTTCGCCCGTTCCTCAGGAGATTCATCTTTGTCTGGCTCCTGTTCTTTTACCTCGTTTGTGCGACGAGTGCTATCCGGCGAAGGAGGTGATGGTATTGCTGGTTCTTGTTCTTCGCCACGTTTATTCGAATAACCACCATCGTCCTTTGAGGGTTGTTGAAGCGCAGTATCATTGGATGTGCTCTCTTCTTGAAGATTTGTCTTGGCTAGTTTGCGAGAAGCCTTTGCTCCACCAATTGTACCAAGCTTACCGCTTCGTTTGGGGGGCTTAGCGGTTTGAGGTGGTGTGGTTGTGGTTGATTGCTCGTTATATCCATGTGACAAGTCGGGCTGCAGTTGTTTGCTTCTGAAGTTGCCTTGCTCTGTACTTTTCACTTCTTCTCCACTAGCATCATCTGTTTTGTGTCCTGAGCTTGCTACCGGGCTGGTCCCTTTCCCAAGCCCCTTATGACTCAAAGTTCCCTTCTGTTTCTTGCCACCAATATGCCCAATCCCACCATCGTGCGTACGCAGGGCTGTTGGCTTGTGGCTCTGTGTCGATTGGGTATCAGAAGCGGCTTCTTGAACATCCATGGGCCCTCGTTGGGGCAACTTTTGTCTCTTTGGTTTGCTGGCCCCCTTAATTTCATCATCGTCATCGTCATCGTCATCGTCATCAAGCTCTGAGGCTGTAGCCTGGTCTTCTGGGTCGGGCACTGGGTGGGGATTAACGGTTTCCTCCACGTCCGATGTCGCCGAATCCGAATCTAGCTCCCTTGTTGATATTTTCTGTTTTCGCCCACCAATAGTGGCAAGTCCTTTCGGTCTTTCTTTCGGAGATTGCGGTGGACCTGATATATCTGGCGTAGTTATGTCATATGAGTCCTGGGGAGATTTTTTATTGGGCTTCGGTTTTCCTAGAGACCCAATTTTTTTCGAGTTCCTTCCTAGGCCAGTAGGCGACCTATGTCTCTTTTCAAGCTTCTTTGGAGAAGTCGCTTCTGACTTAGGTGTCTTTTCGGCCGCTTCGCTTGCCTCGCTACCTTTTAGTCCTGGAGGCGTTTCTTGTCTCTAGTATGCATGTTAGCATCAACGGCGTATCACAGTCTAGTAGAACGGAGTTGGTATACTTGGAATTCATCCTCGCTCTCGCTCATGTCCTGCTCCATAGCCCTTTCATTATCCCTCTGTGATGTCGGCTGGTCGGTATGCTGGGTGCCACCTGATGTTGCGGAATAATTCCACCATTTATTTTCTATATGTTCCAGACTGCGAGGGTCAAATAGATCGTTATCGCTCAAACTTTTCCCCAAAGAATTTAATCTCGATTTGGTTGTGTCACGCTCTGAGTGCTCGTCCTCCCAGGACCCTTGGTCAAATGGGTTCACACCCTTAACTAGCTTTGAAGCCTGGGAAAACAGGGAGCCTCTCTTTTGACCCGGCCGTACGTTGGCCATTCCAGGAAATACAGTGCTCAAATCAAGGCCTGAAGCTTCTATTTTGTCAAAAAGCTTTCCAATTACTTTATCCTTCTCCTTTAGAAGTTCGAAAAGCGAGTATTGACGATCTTCATTGTTGGATGCCCTCTCCAAGGCCGGCAACAGTATGTGTCGTGTTAGAGCCGACGGAGAAAGTTGGGATAAGTTTAATGTCCATTCCAAAGGCTCCAGAGGCTTTGGCAACTTCGTAATTGTAACCAGTTTTAAACTAGACCCAGCTTCGTGGCTGGACAGAGATATCGAAGAGCCTTTAGACCCATGTAGTGCATCACCGATCTTCTGAAGCAGTACTGAATACTGGTCCTCATCTTGGCTGGGATCTATGCTTGTCTCTTCCTTCGAAGCACGATTAATGATCCGTTTATGGCTCAGGTTCTCCGACCATATATGAGCCAGATCAGTTAGAAAGACTTCGTATCCTTCAGGCCTTGGTTCGTAGCTGAACAAGAGTGGTGGGTATGATTTATTATGAAGCGGTAGTCTTTCCCAATTTCGAGGCATCTTGTCTGAAGCTTGAAATGACGGTTTCCTAGATGCCTATCTGTTGTAGTAGGCAGCAGTGTTGGTTGAACTATTTGGAAGGTAGTTAGCTAGCCAATCAGGCAAGTATGCCGAGCTCGGCCTAGCTGCCGTTTTAAGCCTTCTTCACTTCAACCTTTCAACCTCGCTCGCCTGTATGCATAACGAAAGATTTCATAAACTGATACTAGGAACTCCATCCAACCCTTGTATTTCGCAATAATGTCCTGGAATCCCAGGGATAGGCCAAGTGGGAAAAGGACCCGATCTCGCTCGCCTCCTCCCCAGACACGACCAGACAAATCGCGACATATCGATGGCCACTATTCGTCAGGTTCACGCGGTAGGGGACAAGGGAGTGGGAATCGTGGTGCCTGGAATATGAAGGAGCAGACTCGACTTAACCAGCTACAAGAAGATGAAAAGATGCGCGAATGGGTAGCTCAGGAGGACAATTTTGTGCTTAGGCAAGCTAAAAAGAAAGCTGAATTAAGAGTCAAAGATGGACGCGCAAAGCCTATCGACTGGCTCACGATTACACTTCGAGTTATCGATCCGACTAGAAACCCTTTGGATGACGAGATTGCAGACTCAGAGCTAGACTTGGTTGAACCAGAGGGAGTTTTTGAGGGGCTATCAAACGGGCAACTGTTACACCTCGAGAAGGACATCGATACCTTCTTATCCCTGGAAACTAGTCCGGAAAATCGGGACTACTGGAAGGTATGTCATATTTCCCAGAGACAGGGAGTGGTGCTTTTAGATTCATATTAACTTTTACTTAGACTATGAAAGTTATATGCCAGGACCAGATACAGAAAGTGGAATCGTCTGCTCCCGAAAAGCGTGCGGTCACTTCAGTCGCGGCCGATATCGATAGACTCCTCAGCCCAAAAACCTACGACGAGCTTGTTGCATTGGAGAAACAAATACGCCGGAAGCTAGATTCTAATGAGCCCATTGATACGGATTATTGGGAACAGCTGCTGAAAAGCCTCTCGGTGTGGAAAGCGCGTGCAAAACTAAAGCGAGTTTACAGTGCCGTCATCACAAATCGCGTCGAGGAACTGCGGAAGCAACAGCGTGAGGAAGCAGAGAGTGTGCAAAAGAAGCTCGCACCTTTAGCACCTTACAATGGTTTGCAGCTTGCTCGGCAGGAATCTGAACAAATGGCATTACTCGACCCAGAGCCTCTTCTCCAACTACGCAGTCAAGACAAGAACTTAGAAATCATGGATGAAGAAGAATTGCTAAGTCATATAGTACGTTTACTATTTATACACCCCTCTATGGTACTATCAGCAATGTGGCTAATTCCCTTTAGGCTCAGGAACGAAAGAAAATTATGAAGATGGGGTTTGTCCCGTTACGCAACCGATTGAACGAGAAACCAACCCCCTCGGCGATGATTGCAACAGAGTCGTCAGCAACAGCTGCTACCGCCCCACGGTTTCTTCCAACAACAAATGATGACTTCTCCCAAGCCACAAAAGCTTTATACGAAAGAGAGGTAGCACGGGGCGTTAGTGAAAACGAAGAGATATTCGCCGGCGAGGAAACTCTCAGCACATCCAAGCCAGCTTGGGCGAACAAATATAGACCACGTAAACCACGGTATTTCAATCGTGTTCAGATGGGATACGAATGGAACAAGTACAACCAAACCCACTACGACTACGATGACCCGCCGCCGAAGGTTGTCCAGGGATACAAGTTCAACATATTCTACCCTGATCTCATTGATAAGGCAAAAGCTCCAACGTATCGAATCGAGAGAGAACACGGCAGAAAAAGGGGACAGTCATTCGCACCCGCTGGAGAAGAAGACACCTGTCTACTTCGCTTCATTGCTGGTCCGCCTTATGAAGATTTGGCTTTCCGTATAGTAGACAAGGAATGGGACTATAGCGCGAAGCGTGAAAGGGGGTTTAGAAGTACATTTGACAAGGTATGTTAAAGCCCTGGAGCTCCCGTGTCTGGCCGCTGGTACATATAGTAGCAACTAACTCTTGTTCAGGGCATCTTACAACTTCACTTTCAGTTCAAGAAGGTATGTATAGCCCCATTTTCCTTATCCCTGACTCGCACTTACACAAGCTTACACCTTAATAGATCTACTACCGCAAGTGATGTTGACGACATGAATATGAGGGCCAATGCTCCACCTAATCGCCTCGCATTTAAGAGCACAGGCTACGTTTACACATGCACCACATGGTGTAAAAGAAGGGCGACGTATTCCACAATAATTTCCAGGTTATCTTAAGGCAGGGCGACCCTCGTGGCACTAGACAGTTCAAAACTTGGGGTATTTGATAGTTTTGCTACCTCTAAAATTTAAAGAACGTTCCGACATGAAATTTCCACTTGAGTCTGCAAAATATTCCCCAACCGACGCTCGAACGATGCCAACTTCTAATTAGTCTATAGCCGCAGATCAACCGCCAGGGGCTAATTATTTCTTACGCTTTCTGATCATCGCCTGGGAAGAACCGTTGGAATCCCGCGTTTGAAGGTTTTCTTTGTACCCGAGGCAGTTGGGGGTGAAATTTCCAAGGCCGTATTATTTGGTCACCCTATTGGACATGCATCTTCTGAAGGCCTCCACCATTCCTCATTGGCGGTCTGAAGCCGCCTCATCGGACCTGGCGCTGTGAGACCTTCCAGAAGATCCTGTCTGGTGCCCTCTGCTCAACCCCCAGCCACTGGGAGCTAGACCGTTCTGCGGGATGTAACTCATGACAGGTTTACGCTCTCCTGCATCTCCCCGTCTGTGCCCGACCAGCATGACTAGCCCTAAGCTAGCCTGCTTGACACATTCCCCCAACCTGTTCCCCGTCCCGTCAGGCTACCACTGTAGAACTTGGGGTTCTCTAGCATCCTTGGTCAATAATTGGCTGTATATACCGCCAGTAGATTGCTGTTCCACAAAGGCATTCTTCCTCAGACAGGGCAATATTGCAGCATACAAAAGCCCTCTCATTTATTTATCATTCATGTTGCTTTGTTTGCTCATTTTCAACAGCAGTTCTACGGGTTGTCTGCAGCAATCGTGTCGCGCAGGTGAGCTGGCATGTTCTCCCACGGGACTCAATTATCTTGCAGGACAATATATGATTTTTGCCCAGAGAAGCCCCAGCTACTTCTCCATTTCTCCATATCCTTGTCTCACAAACCTGCTCTTGGACAACCTACCTCATTAGCACTCAGAACCCTCCTGTCCCCACAAAGCTTAACATTGTCTAAAACATATTGGATGGAGCTCATCTGTCCATAACTTCGGGGAAAAAAGTTGAAAAGAAATGGACGATGAGACGGGAATCCTTTGCCCTTCCATTTGCATGCAGATGCATCATGGCGACCCTTCTTCCTTTGCCGTTTCGCATGGCCCCGAGATCCCTCAAGGGCAACAACCGTCAGTCTCTGAGTTTACTTCACCACACCAGCCTAGGCGTCTAGTTTCGCATCCTACCTTGCCGCAACACATGCTTGATCCCAACCTTTTTGGAGATTCTCTCCCACAGCAACGCTCGATTTCATCTATGACCCATAGCCACGGCATTTGGGGACAGTTCATGGAGTCGAATACCTTATGCAACTCAGGCACCATGACGTACGATAGGCTGGAGAATAAGCAAAACGTGTTGCCCTGGGGAGATGACACTGCCATATCTACCGATCTAGATTTTGACCTCTTTTCAGCTACATTTCCTATGCTTGACGACTTCAGCGAGCTCGAATCTCTTGGATACCACCCCTCCAGACGACCAAACACGGACACGCCATCACAGGCAAATAATAATCAACAGATATTTGAGAGTCATTACCCAAATTCAGTCTCCAGTTGCTCCCGGCCATCCTTTGACAGCTCTACTTCTCGGCCGGAAAGTGCCATTTATCCTCCACTATCTCCCACCAACTCTATTGAATCTAGCTCACCGGTTGACTTCCATGGGCTTTGCGGTTCGGATTCGATTGCACGCTCTGTACCGGAACCAGGAAACCTGGTATCTGAAGACGAAACGGACGACGATAGTGTATCTTCTGAGGAGCCCTACGCCAGGCTGATTTGGAGGGCACTTATGTCTGCTCCTGGCCATAAAATGGTACTCAAGGAAATATACGAATGGTTTGAGAAGAACACCAGCAAGGCCAAAAACTCCGATTCAAAAGGGTGGCAGAATAGCATTCGCCATAACCTTTCTATGAACGCGGTAAGTTACAAAGATCGACTTCTAGTTAATGTACACCATTCTCATAGTACTAACCTTGTCTCTAACAACTAGGCCTTTGAAGGTGTCAAAGAAGCTTTGTCTCCAGGAGCTCAGACCCGAAAATCCGGTAACGCTTGGGTTCTCACTGAACGCGCTATCAGACACGGCGTACAGTCGACCACTCGATACCGCAAACCCGGAGTTCACAAAAAATCCCAAAAATCAGACCACCCAGCCCCCCAGAGGCAAAGGTCAGGGGCTAGAGGTGGCCGAGCCGCCAAAAAGGCGGCCAAATACAGACGCGCCATCCAAGAGTCTCAAAGGCTAGATCGAAATTCACAAAATGCGCCTCTAACCGACATACCATACAATCATCCCCGATTTCTTGCTCAAACGGCGAGCTGCGTTGAGTATGGGTCTGCGGAACCAACGGGTAATTATGTGCTAAACGATTATGGACTCGGGAGCCTGATGGGCTGCAGCGAACTCATACCGCGATCGCCCTTATTTTACCCTGACCTGGACCTGGATGGCAATCAGCTTCTCTCCGGGGCTACTGTCTTAGGAGGCCAGCCGATCGGTCGAGATTTTAATTCCCATATGCAATAAACTTTGATATTTCGTTTGTGGATACACTGCTTCTGATTTACTATTGCCCCGTTTCCTCTTATTTCTTTTTCCCAACCGTTGCTTTGAACACTGCGCTAGGGCACCGGTGTGCCGTGTCCTGTAAATGGAGTTTTCTTTTTCTTTTTCCCCCTTCATGGAACCCCTCCAAACCGGTCCCTCGGCTTTCATCCTTCCATTTTCTTTTTCCTTTCAGCTGAGATACGGCTGGCGCATGGGGCTCGGTATGTTTTGGCTTACTTGATATTTTAGTTTTCCACATTTTTTCGAGCTGGCGAGCTTCTTGTGGGGTTGTTTCCTTGGGTGCATGAGGCAGGATGGGCACGTACACGGCTGGTTCCCCGTTCGACATATGTACATTAGCTCCAATAAGAGGTCAACAATAAGGTAATAGTGGCTATCTGCGCTAGGCGTGGTTTCGTTTGTTTGAAAGAGAGATCTAATAAAAACGAATTATGACATGAAAACCGTCGCTTCCATGCGCTTCCTATATGTCACGCACAATGTTCAACCATGGTTACTTGATACACAGATGGTCAGACCCCTTATCCTAGTTCAATGATAGCTAAAGGCCCGTATACTCCGTATATGAGGTAACGCATGTTTAATATGAAGAAAACGAGATCGAAACAAGTTTATTCGAGCCTAGGGCTGCTATCCTCCGAGGAGTTATATTAATGATGGGCGTTTAGTCCGCTTCTTACATCGAAATAATCAAAGAAAATAGGGAGATCTTATAAAATATTCCCAGATCAGTTGGCTGTATATGCATACCTAGCCTGAATGGCAATCATACAACCCGTTCCATGCATTAGCTTGACGAAATGTGGGCTCCGGGTCTCACTCTGTTTCCGTCCAGCCGCAACACACAAACGTCGCACGGAGTACTCCGTACGGAGGACGCATCTCAATGCAGGGTACGCCCTCTCCATATTACGGATGTCCTCCCGTGAATAGAAAGACATCCTTATCCGGAGTTCTCCTTAGAGGTGCTGCACAAAGGGACAAGTCAATCCCCCTTAAGGGTTTAACTAGGCTCTATAAATATGGTATAAGAGACACGTAGTTGAACTATAATAATGGCTTGTCGATACTCCGTATCAAAGGCTGAATTTCGTCATTAAGATGACGTGTCCAAAAGCGCAGGCTCCTTTCTCCTCTTATTAAGTTCTTCAAGGTTGACATCCTGCACGCCTTGACGCCAACCCTAGGGTGAACGGTGGGCTTATCGGGCGGTTATTTTTCTGGGACACAGTCTGGCGGTCGCTAAATTGCTGAGTGGACACTCCTTTCTCCGTACGGGGGTACCCGTCAGCTGGAAAAATCATGTATTTGCTTTTTTATGGCTTTGATGTTGAGTTGCCGTCAAAGCTAACTTAGAATAGGATGCGAAGATGGGCAAAGTACTCCGTAGATATGGTGCTGAAACCCAGAGTCTGTTGCATAGTGCGACCCTCTTTCGCAGGTTGATAATGGCAATTGAAGGCTTTGTTGAGCTGCTGTACGGAGTAGAAGTCCCTTCATGAAAAGAAAAGGTGCTAATGAAATCCAGGATATGATGCCAGATGCAGGCCAGCTAGCTTGGCCGTCATTCAAATACATTGAATACCATATCCCGCGCGCTATAAATTAGCTTGATATGCCGTAATATACTTACCAACACGAGCTGCGCATCCAGCATCCGTCCACGCCGTCTCTTCGTCCAACATGCACCCTGTGCCGTGCTTGTGTTCGATATTGGATCGGATCGCCTGCTCCGCTGCATCGCCTGTGCGATTTTCAATCTGGTATCCGCTGTACGACGCTTGGGTGCTGCAAACGTTCCGCCTACACGCCTCTCCCTATGGGCGTGCGCAGAGAAAGGGAAGATTATTTTATATGATCTTTTCGGTATCCTGCCTCGGCGTACCCCTTTCAAACGCTATTCTCCCCAGATGACTGTGCCTGCGGCGTAGAAGATTTTCGAATATGCATGGGCCTGACTCCCCCCGTCTTGTCGGCTCCAAGATATCTATCCCTAAGCCTGTATCGAAGCCGGTGGGGTTGGGGGGAACTCTTAGCCCTGAAAATCGTTCATAAAGTTCCGGAAACTCCCCATATATATGCCCTGCGCTATGGTACCGCTGGATCGCTAATTCCTTATTCTTGTTCAAGGCGGGAGTTGTCCAAGATTCAGGGGCCCAAACGCACATGCAGATATCTAACCTCGCTTCATCGCCCCAGTGGAAGATCTTTTCGGCATCTCCTTATATTTCTTTTCGTCGGTTATTGACTATCGGAGAATTTGGGCCTGTACGTTGACGCAGGAGCAACGATCTTCTAAATCAGCAGACCTTGTGCCACAGAACTTAAATCCTTTGTCCGAATACCCATACACGCCTTTCTAGGCTTGCTCGGACAACAGGAATCGCCGTGGGATAATCACAGGCCTTGCGGGGCTCCTTGGATATATCCAAGTCGTAATATGCGGATATATACTCCGTAGGACGCTCGAAGCATTCTGATACTCGGATTTATGCGAGTGGCAATTCACGGCTTGCATGGGTCAAATCCTCGGCCGCATGTTATGAAAATTCCTTTTCTGGTGTTAGACACGTTTTTTGGGGTTCACATAGCTGTGAGTCGCTGAGGCCGACCGCCGATGAGATTTGTGCACCATTAAAGTTCCCATCTGGGTTGTTCATTCCAGGGCTACCTTGTTATAGTCGACCGAGCGAAAGATATGTGTTTGGCAAATTATTATGTAGGAGATACAATTCTCACTCTACATAATCCCTGTGTGGACCTCTTAGGAAATATTTCCAATTCATAGGTACCGCGGCAGGGCCGATATTATGCCATTCCACGCATATTTTTTTGAGCATGGGTCCAACGTCGAGCATTCCACATTGTGCCAGCTTTCCCGGTCGGGCTTTACTGGGATTTGAAACATGCGACATGGACGCAAGGTATATTGGCCAAATACTTCTTGTGCGACGGTCGTTGCGGAGAAACCCATAATGTTCATAAGATGATGGTAAAAGTCGACTATACCTACTGATGTGAAACGGCTTCCGGCGTTGGCACATTCATCAAAGATTTCCACCTCATCTTCGCCATATTCATGGAAAATTTCCTAAACGCTTATATATACACCATAGCAAGTATGATCAATATATTGTCAGTATATATTATAGAAAAGTAAACTTAACCTGCGAATCGTTTAACACCATCTGACAAACGACTCTAAAATTCCATGGCTAAAACTTCTTGTACGTACTGGATAGGTTAAATGTAATGGAAGTAGTCAATATAGCCCACACATGGAAGACAGGGCGTTGTCACGAAATTCAGTTAAGTTCCCAATACTCCGGATAAAGTCCGATAGCATCCGACTTAAGACCGCGGTCACGCATCCATTTTCATCAACAAGGATATTACATGGAGCAGATTCGTCGTGGGTGATATTGATTTCATGGTCATCTGCTAGGCCAGCCATACTGTAACATTTAAAGGCATCTGATAAACGTTTATTGGCCCCTGCTGCCATAAAGTCGTTCTCTGCGTCGGAGGGGCCGCCTTCGCGGAAATTGATGACCGATTACCACAGTACAGCCTCAACACGAGATATCCCCTTTAGGCTATTTAGTTTGGAATTGCCGTGTGGCTGATAAATCTCGTAGTCTCGAACTCAATATCTGGCCTATTCTTCAATGATTTATGTCCATCGAGACATAATTAACCGAGTGGGGTTGTAAGCAACTATACCATAACAGAAGACTAAAGGTAGAGAAGACTAAAGGTCTCAGAGCTTTTTTACCTTTAGATGTGAATGGGCCCAATCCGCAATATAGCACCCACTGCGTGTTGGTAAAGTGATACGCCGATAGGAGATGTAGGAAGTAGAGGTTAGACATTGTGAGCGTTGGATGTTCTGATTTGTGGTTGGATTTGACCTTGTCTCATGGGAGTGACCTTAAATGGATTAGGCGTTTTATTTTTCCGCGCGGGTGATTATTAATAGCACTTCGATTGGCATCCATTGGCTGTAATTACAGGGTTAAGCATGAAGATGCGAATCTGAAATTGTCTTTGATGTTCTACGTTTGACAATCCTCTATGCTTATCATGTAGGTAAATCTAGATATTATATATCTGGATGTATATATTTATCCTTGTAAATGCACATTTAATCTTGGGGATCACCCTGCTCGCCAGGCGCAACTAGCCTGACTTTCTTTGGCGAGACAATGGCCGATGAGCCCACGCCAGTTCCAGTTCCAGGGCCAGTGCCAGGCGCATTACCTGACCCTCCCGTCGAGCCCGTATCAGGAGCCCCAGGAGGCCCGCCACCAAGCATGCCCCTTACCCTTTCTACGGCTCTGCTTTCACCAGCTGTCCATGAATCTCTCTTGATGAACGTTGAGCTGGGTTTGCGGCCATAGAACGCGTTACGGGATCTCTTGCTAGCTTCTTGTTGGGCGAGACGGTTCTGTTCTCGTCTGGGGCCAGGACCACAGTCATGGAAGCATCCGGGGGTAGGACAACCTCCTTCACTGAGCGATATATCCGTTAGCCATGCGGTTAGGCAGGCTGTGTGAGCACCGTGGCCGCAGGTCTGGCACCACGACCAAAGGCCGGAACCATGTAGTCTGAACCCAGGCTGTTCTTGCTGTTGATGCGCAAGTCCGTCTTCAAGCGGGCTAATGGTACTTGGAGAGCCGTCTGGGTTAGGACTGGTTGATAAGCTGGAGTTGGAGTTGGGGTTGCTATCAACCGCCCATTCGGGAGGTGGGTTCCGGCTGACGCAAATCGTACATGGTGGCTGAGCGGTGTTGCAGCGATGACATAGCTTGTTATCATGTACAGGGTTTTCATAAGGTTTGTTACATTCAAAACAAAAAACGTTAATGAATGTATCCTTCTGGGCATAGTCATATACGGTCGGGTATGAAGGGACGCAAACAAGTCGAAACTCAGCGGCTTCGACAAACATGCCTTGCCTCAGGAGTTGTTCATTGAAGGTTTTGAAAATTAGATCCCGTTCCCCTTGCGGAAGAAGTTCATCGCATGAACTGTAGAGAATGTGCATCTTATGGAGGAGATGGGATGCAGAGAGTATGTCTACAGACGAACTGCTGCAATAATGTTTGATTATTTCTCTCACAATGGTTTGAACACCCCATGGCGTGTCTGATGTGGATTTCGGGCAAAGTGGTAGAGTAATGCTTGTCTCGGTAGGTAGAGATGGATGGCGAGAACCCGCAGAAGGCTTAAACTGTGCAGGAGGGCGTGAATATCCAACACGCGAGGGCTCCTTGATGGGCGATGACTCTGCTAGGAATGGGAACGGGCTAGCTGGTCTTTCAAGGTCGACGGTGGCTGATTGGGGTACATCGTCCAATGACATATCACTCATCGAATCGCTGCGATTATCCCATCGTCCAGGTCTGGGGGGAGAACTCCCCTCCAATTCGGGGATATTATGCAGTGACCCCTCAGCGGCAGCAGACCATCCACCACCTTCATATCGCGACGTATCATTTGTGAGCGAAGTAGACGTTTCATCAAAGGACTTGGTGCGGTGTGAACTGTCTGAGGCTGAGAACATGGGAAAGCTCTCACCTGAATCGTGACGTTTGTAGGTAACTGGTATAGCTGGTCTCTCTTGCGTCGCACGTTCCATCGATAGTAGGCGTTTACGGAAAACCTGATAATCCTGCGAAGCGGAAGCTTTGTCGTTGTCCTTTTTGATGGGCCCTTCATTTACTTCGTCACGACCTTTGATTGCTGTTTTATCGTTACCGGGTTTGGGGCGAGGTTTCTCCTCACGCCTCCATTCGGCTCTTCCAGAAATGGCGCGGGGAGCAGACCTGGTTTGATCCGCGATGGACTCATCACCTGTTGGACGTTTGTTGGTCGGTGTTTTAACCCCCGTGCTATCCTGTGGCCATCCGGTCTCGGAATCCTCCTGGCCGGTCCCGCTAGCTTGTGCCTGTTTGCTTAACACTTCATCACTTGATAGGATGAGGGATGGAATGGGTCTGAGTTGTCCGAGTTCCTCGTTTAAGCCTGTATTTGGTACCTGGCCACTTGCGATGGCGGCACCAATTGAGGAATCAGGTATAGGGCGTGCAAGCGGGGTTGTAGCATTGGAGTTAGGTTCTGGACTTAAAGTCATGAGTCTCTGGGAATCACCATCAACGACACCCTTGAAGATGCGACTCTTCGCCTTATCCGAGATAGTTGTATCATGCTTCAACAGATTAGTATTACTGCCACGGCTACCAACTTTGACCGCTGGCTTGAGGTTACCGTGCCTCAGCTCAAGTTGGCGCTGTTTATGCTGATTGAGCAGTTCCTGTGAAATGGCATATCTTACGATCCGCCATGTCTGAGCTAGTCGTCCGAAGTGCACAGCTTCGGCCTGCATGGTATTCTCGTCAAGTCCGTCAAGAAGATACTTGACCACTTCAACCGACATATTTCGCTGGTTGAGCGGGTCTGCCAATAACGGTGAATAATGATGTACCAGGTAATGGAATGCTTCTGGGCTGAACGTTGCTCCTTCAACGCGTCCTATCATCCCATCCTGCTGATTGGTGAGATCCTTAATATTACCAACTGATTTCACCAGCGGGACGACCTGCAGCTCATCATCTTGCATGGGAGGAGTGGCACTGAGGGACTTGGAGCTCCTTGCCGACGACATTTTGCTGGATCGTTTCCGCAAGGCGATCATCTGGGAAATGTCCTCGGCGCCGCCTTCGTCAGTTAGACTATGGCTGGCCGTAAGGAGCTTGTCATCGCCCTCTTTACCCTTTCGGGGAATGGGCACGGGCATGGACTCCGCAGTTTCGGTATTACTATAATTGAAGCTTTGCTTGTGTCTTCTCTGGCGTGGTTCAAAGAACGCAAGCAGCCTTCCGTCAGGGCTCCATGTTACTGCACAGGGGGGTCTTCGTTCTATGGCGTCGGGGGCCAGGCTGATATCGGTCTGCATGAATATGCCCTCTGAACTGACCGTCCATAGATAATCCTGAGAATGCCATAGCAAGTCTGTTGCTGAGTTGGTATAACGATCAATCTCCTTGTAAGGGATATGTGGTCTTCTAAAATCCCACAAGTGAATACGGGGGTCTTCTTGATCGTACGAAGTCACGATCTGGGTAGACTCCCAGCTGGCCGTTTCGTAATCATGGCCAGTCAACGATGGCGGTCGCCATCGAGCATTTAAGACAGCTTGCGGTGTTCTTAACTGTAAACATGGTTTCTGTCTTCGATCTGTTGAAGAAAAGTTCCACACTTTCACTTGACGATCTACACTCCCACTGAGAAGATGCTTCCCGTCAGGGTGCCAGTCGACCGACGAACAAGCCTTTTCATGGGCGTTTATGCGTATCACAGGCACATTATCTTTACGGATATCCCAACGCTGAATGACTCCGCTATCAGTAGCTGTGGCGAACTCTACAGGTTCGGCAGGTGACCACCTAATATCCCGCACAGCCTCGCTGTGACCATTGAATACGTTCGTGCTCCCAATGTGCATTGCAGCTCTCTCACTGGATACCGTGCGCAAGTCCCACAATCGCACGGTTGCATCCTGGCTGCCGGAAAGCAGCCAGGCGCCTCGGTACGGGCTGAACGCGAGTCGATGGACCTGGCGAGAATGTTCATGGAACCGGCCATATTCCACGCCAGGACGACTCAGGTCATAGACAACGATACGCCCATTGCTTGTGGCGGCGGCGATGATTCGGCTATATTCTGAGTGAGACCACTTGACATCCTTGGTAGCCAGGTGTTCCTTGTTTTTGCTCGAAGCTCCAGACGAGTGGTGGTGGTGGCCGGACGAGTGCCCAATCACAGCAGATCGTATGTTTGTCTCTTCGGTGCACCGCGAGGATGTGACTCGTATCGTCTTCAGGATCTCTCTCCCTGCAACGACGGCATGAGTACGCTGTGGAGAGATATCGACCGCGGATATTGGGATACCCGTCTTGTGGGTGATGATCGGAGCGCTGCCAGGACTAATAGTTCCATAAGCACAAGCTTGATACCGCGGCTGATTGGGTGTACGCCTTGGCTGCAAGACATGGACTGCGCATTTTTGACGAGTTTGGCTGCGGGGATGTGAGACATCTAGACTTACGGAGAGATGGTATAGCTGGGCCTGGTCACCAGCGCTGGAGGGGGTGTTGGGACTGGCAGTGGAGAAGTGGGCTGCGGGCTGGGGGGTCTGGATCCGTAGATGAATGGATGCGCGAGCCGCGCAAGAGCACTGGTAGCTCTGTTAGTGTAGCGCTGGGGAGGCAGAGGCGGCGCTGGAGGGGGCGGCGGAGGTAAGGGCGGTGCTGGAGGGGGAGCAGCAGCTGGAGTCGCGATGCCCGAGCTGTGGCCGCGCGGTGAATCGGTCATGGTGGTGTGGACGGAGAGCTCAGATCGGCGCCGCGCGATCTGCTGACGTCTGGTGATCCATCGCCTGCGCGCTCGCTACAAGGTGGCCAGGGATCGTGACCGCGATGTGGTTTGTGGTCGTGATGTTTTGTCTTTGGATGTTGGAAGCTGCCATTTCGGGTTAGCACGTGACTTTCCATATCATCACATACACATACATACACATACATATACATATACATACGAAGGACGAGACAAGATACACAAGAAGAAACAAGACGAGACGAGACGAGACAACAAGGTACTCCATGGCGTGATGTATGCTAGGCGACTGGATCAGCGCAGGTGCTGAGAGAGGCTCTGCCATTGGCCTTAACGTGCAGCTGATAAGGACCAGGGTGCACATCGGCTGTCCAGAGCCTCCCCGCGGAATCCCAGGACAGGATCGTACGTATATCGGGAAAACCCCCCGAGAAAAGCGAGACACGCAATGGTTGAGATTGAAATCCCGTTCCCATCGCCAAGCCGAAAGACCCGGGAGAGAGAAGGCTGCGATGAAGGCCAGTCTCGTACCTCATAAACCGTCATACGTGGGGGATCTATTTAAAAGTCGACGTGAAGCTCGGATGCAGTCCTACGTGGAGGGTGTGTTGGCTTCAAAATACCTGCGTGCTGCGCGCTGAAGAAAATGTGATACCGGTTTCCTGGCGGCTGCCTGCCTGGCCAGTGACGGTTCTGACGGCACTGACGGATAACAAAGAAGCGGAACTAGCTCTCTTTCTTCTTCTTCTTCTTTTTTTTTTTGCTTTCTTGCACCGGAAGCGGCCCGCCAGGGGAACGGATAATGATGTTGTTTTATCTATATAGACGTTCGTATAGTACTCCGTATGTGGGGTAGAGATGAAGAGAGACTTACCCGAGACAAAGCTGAAGGTAACTATGCAAGCATATAGGTTGAACCGGGTTTAAAACGCGTTGTGCTAAGCCGGAAGAGAGGTCCCTTCGATTTACCTTTTGAACTCGCCAAAGCACAAATCAGAGATCCATGGCCGCGCTACTGGTTTCAGGCGTGCCGGACAGATCTCGCATACATAACCTGCCAGGCCGTGTGTCGGAAGGTAAAGGGCAGCGTCGAGATAGGGTAGAGACTCCCAGGAAAGCCCCTGTCACCACACGCGGCAGAAGAGATCGGGGCCATCAGAAATCGAGCGTCCAGTAGCGATGGGCGTATCCGATTTGTCGCGATCCTGCATATGTATGCTGCAAGCGCCGTTCCCACAGACATCTTCGTCTCTCTGTGCGTATCTCTCTTAGCATGGGGACCGATGCTCCCGGTCCAGACCACGGACATGCCAGCACATGCGTTGCCTCTTGCTGATACGATGTGCCAGGTCCTGGGTACCTGAAACTCCGCTGGAGGACTGCGGAACAGGGAGGTAGCAGGTACCTACCCCTGATAAACGGGTAGCAGAGCTAACGCGAGGGCGCCCATGTCTATACATATACTTTGATGCACCAAGGCAAGCTGTGATTAGTACCATGTCCGGCCGGCAACACACAGAACGAGGGAAAAAGGGAAAAAAAGTGACCCTCCCCGGGCCTTCACCGCCAGGCCATCTCTTCCATCCCCCTTCACCGCTCGGAAGGGGGGAGGAAGGGGGAAGTCTCTTCCCGTAGATGCGCCGCGATGGACGAGGCAAAAGGGTAAAATCGGGGATGGGGAAGCCCCTGTTGTGACCGTCACTCTTCCAGCGTCAAGCAGGGCGCCGGTCACGATGTCGTCTGTACTCTGGACTCTCGCCGTCGCCGTCGCTGTCATCTTGTCTTGTCTGTGAAGAAGCTAGGAGTTGGTGTTCGATCTTGCCACCGGTCCCGAGTCCCGGTCCTAACCAAGATGGATGTTCCCGTGCCAGTCGAGCGATCTTCTCGATCCAACGATGCCTAAGTTAACTAACCAACTCGCCTCTCAACGCTTTCTCTCTCTCCTTCTTCTTCTTCTTCTTCTTCTCACTCTCACCTCCCGCTCTCTTCAGCCAGAACTACCCTGGCATCGCTGTCACACCGGCCGGCAGCTGTATCTCGCTGTATCTCGCTGTATCTCGCTGTATCTTTGTCTGGTACTGCTAGTTACTTCGCGGCATCTCTAGTTTGTTGCCTTTGTTCCGGCCTTCTCTTCGGCCTGTGTGGTACCTTGCCTGTCCTTCTACTGCCATATCTCTTCACTCGCTCCCTCTTCCTCCCTTTCTCTTCCTCTCTGCTATCTTCTCCCTCTCGGACGACTTCTTGTCTCCTGCAGCTCATGTAAGCTTTTCTTCTCCATCGCAATCGTCCCACCCCCCACCTGCCGCGTAAAAACTGTACAAGTTTGCGGCCGATTTCCATTTTTCTTCTCCGTCTCTTCTCCCTCCTCTTTCTTCAGAACTAATATATTTGGAAGCTTCCAACCTTCTCTCCAGCTTGACTTCTCCAATCGTATCTCTGTCCGCTCGCTTCTGTTGTCTCCTTCGACTAGCGTTTCCCCCCCTAGAAACACTCTTTGACCCTCCAAAGCTTGGCTGCACGGCATAATAGCATCGGGAAAAAAACAGTCCTCTGATATGAACATTAAGCAATTGAAGTAATTTCCGCGTTCAGGAACAGCTGAGCTATGGATTCGGTCGTCAGCGTGGATGGCCTGGGGCTCGCGGCTCACGAGATGCAGCCTATCAGACTCGCCCTGGAGAACCTCCATAGCTTCTCTCCAGTCTTCCTATTCGTCGTTTTTGTTGTATCCTTCGTGACCAACAGCGTCATCGCAAACCGCAGAATTGATCCTTCTGCTGCTGGACAAAAGGGCGCAAGGACCGGTCCGGGGGGCAGGCCGCTGCCTACGCGCATGAGGAGTGCTGCCGTGCTGATTGCCCGCAAGACCCCGGACTTCTCGCCCGCAACAAAGCTCGCCTTCAAATGGCTGGCTGTTGGTGTCATGTTCAGCTTCGTGGCCGATGCTGCCATCCATGTCATGCATGTTGTCCTTCGCCGCAGTGAGCACTGGTGGTGTGGTCAAGCGGTCGTGGTGAGTTCAAGCTTTTTTTTTTCTTTTGGTTTTTTTCCCCCCTACATGCTGCATGCTTAGTCGTGCATGTTGCTAACATTGCTCTGGCAGGTCTATGTCATCGGCACTTTCTTTGTTCATACTATGGTCCTGATATCGCTTATTGATACCACGCCTGCACCGACAGTGGCACAGCTCATCACCTGGCTGGTCTCCCTGCTGCTAGAGCTAGTGATACTGGCCCTGTTTCTGGATATCAACACCTCTCCTCACCATGAACCTGTTGTTGGCGACCCTCTCGGTGGTCCGCTCCGGAAGGGCCTAACAACCTGGGAATCCGGCCTAGTGGTCACAGCCAGTGCCCGTATCTTGCTCCTGCTCTGCATTGTCGTTCTCTACAGTCTTACCTCCTACACCCTGAGGGCCGGGGCCCGCAACAACGGCAGCATCACAGAGACGACGTCTCTTCTGCGCTCCAGCAACGGCGGCACACATCTAAATGGTGACAGCTACGGCGCATCTCCCCGGAATTTGAAAGTTGAAGATGATCAGCCTGAAGAAGACGGATGGGTAAGGCCAAAGACGCTTCCATCCACGTCTTGGTGGGAGTACATCAGTGGCTACTCTCTCTTCTTCCCTTATCTCTGGCCATCCAGATCTACCAAGCTCAAGACGATTGTCGTGTTCTGTTTCATTCTTGTCATCCTCCAAAGAGGAGTCAACGTCATGGTTCCACACCAAGTTGGTGCCATCGTCGATATCCTGGCACAGGAGAATGGAAACGAATTCTACGTTCCATGGGGTACTATATGCATCTACGTCATCTGCCGGGCACTACAGGGCACCCAGGGCATGATCGGAGCTTTACGCTCATTCTTGTGGATTCCTGTCGGCCAGTACTCGTACATGGAGTTATCGACTGCCGCCTTTGAACACGTCCACAGTCTGAGTCTTGACTTTCATCTCGGCAAGAAGACCGGAGAGGTCCTATCAGCACTGGGCAAGGGAAGCTCCATCAACGGGTTCCTTGAACAAGTCACATTCCAGGTTGTGCCGATGTTGGTTGACATGATTATTGCCATCGTGTACTTCTTCGTCGATTTCGACGTCTACTACGCTTTGGTGGTAGGCATCATCACCTTCCTATACCTTTACCTGACCATCCGTATGGCTCAGTGGAGAAGCGAAGTTCGACGTATGATGACTAATGCTGATCGTCAGCAGGATGCTGTAAAGTACGTTATCTACCATCTACACATCTATACAATCTAGTGAAGCGAATTTGCTAACCATCATCTTCATAGAAACGATTCAATGGTATCCTACGAGACGGTCAAGTACTTCAACGCTGAGCCGTACGAGTTTAACCGATACCGTGGTGCCGTGTCCGACTACCAGGCTGCCGAATACCATGTTCTGTTTTCTCTTCAGTTGATGAATACATGCCAGAACACCGTTTTCATGCTCGGCCTTCTCATCGCTTGCTTCATTTGTGCTTTCCAAATCGCCAATGGCCAGAGGAAAGTGGGTCAGTTTGCTGTCCTGCTCACATATATGGCGCAACTTCAGGGGCCTCTTAACTTCTTCGGCACCTTCTATCGCTCAATCCAGGGGGCGATGATCAATTCCGAACGCTTGCTAGAGCTTTTTAGAGCGAAACCCACTGTCGTTGACGCACCTGATGTTACCGAACTTCCCTCTTGCAAGGGCGGAATTGAGTTTGACAACGTGCATTTCGCTTATGATAGCCGCAAGCCAGCATTGAACGGACTGTCCTTTGACTGTCCACCTGGAAAAACGACCGCTCTCGTAGGAGAGTCTGGCGGTGGGAAATCCACTGTTTTCCGTCTTCTCTTCCGCTTCTATAATTCCAACTCCGGCCAAATCCGCGTGGACGGTCACCCAGTCGAGAGCGTTTCTATAGACTCTCTCCGCCGCCACATCGGTGTCGTTCCTCAAGATACCGTCTTGTTCAATGAGACGCTTATGTATAACTTGAAGTACGCTAACCCGGAAGCTACCGATGAAGATATATATGATGCTTGCCGCGCTGCTAGTATCCATGACAGAATCCTCACCTTCCCTGATGGATATCAGACCAAAGTTGGAGAGCGCGGTCTCAGGCTGAGTGGTGGAGAAAAACAGCGAGTCGCGATTGCTAGGACCATTATCAAGAACCCACGTATCATCCTTCTTGATGAGGCTACCGCCGCTCTTGATACAGAAACCGAAGAGCATATACAGGATGCATTGGCTACTCTATCCAAGGGTCGAACCATGCTTGTCATTGCCCATCGTCTGAGTACGATTACCACCGCCGATCAGATTCTCGTGTTACAAAATGGACAGGTTGTTGAGAAGGGTACACATGAGCAACTCCTGGCGATGAAGGGTCGCTATTCGAGCATGTGGCGTAAACAGATCAAAGCCCAGCGAGCCGCGGCCGAGGCCCAAGTCCTACAGGACCGTGCCGAACGCCTTCGAAGCAGCTCTGTCGTTGCTGGCGGTGAGGATAGCTCCAGCCAGTCGGATGAAGATAGGAATGCGGACTCGAGTGCTCGTCTCCGCCCAGCCTTGACACAGCGTTCAACCAAGGCATCCGAAACTAAGGCTGCCTAACCTTGAATAGCTACATCAATACCGAGGCCGGAACCACACTCACTCCCATCCTCCCTTGTATTTCCTTTTACTTAACATTTTACTCGAGAGTTTTGACGACGCAAACGGCCTAGCACTAACCTAACCATCACGGCTACAGGCAAAGGGGCAGGAGGCATCGAAGTTTTATATCATTTCCTGGCGTTTGCAGTTAAGATATGGGCTCCCTAATGGCGCAACCGGTTTATTTGCAAGCATTCTTTTTCAATCCTTCGCATACGTGTTTTTTTCCCTCCTAGCCTTTAATCCTCTACTATCTTATCCTTCTCCGCTGTGTTTCTCCAACTATTACCTCTTACATCTTACCTCATACCTATTATCCCTGTGTTCCTACAGTTTAACTCTCTCTCCGGGTGGCATAATTGCTCATTAATGGTAATGTCTTTTTTATTACTTATTTCCTTATTTCCTTTCGACGCTCCTCTCTTCCTGCGCAGGAATGGGTATTTGTTGCTTTCCCGGGCTGGTAAAACAAGGCGAGGGTACGGTAGAAAAGTTAGAATATGGTGAGATTGATTTCCGTGGCTTCTGAGGGACTGTTTGTTTATCTATAGAGGGGATTAAAAGCATGCTTTAACATTGATATTGATTTACATATCAACTCTTGATATATTGATGGTAACTGATATTAGTAGGGTGTATAGTACTCGTATGTGTTATGGTGGAAGCACGAAAATGCCAAGAGTCCGCATCATCACATCGAGAAACGCAGAAACCGATTTCAGATCTACAATATCAAGTCAAGTTATCGCGACTTTCACCTTTGAATGATATTCAGGCTGGCCAATATGCATCCACCGTCCCCATTACTCCTCCGCTCCCTCCGAACCTCCATTCTAAAGTCGACTTCCACCACGACTTACAGCTTACTCCAACCGACAACATCATCAACCTCCAAGTTCCTAACCCACTGCCCTCTCAAACGCACACCACCTATCATCCGCACCTATAGCAGCGAGAGCAACAACAATGGCGCCAGTCGCCGTGTCCAAACCCCTACTCAACCACGACCGCACCGCACAACCCTATCGTCTGCAGCCTCGAAGTCCAAATCAAATCTCCGCGGTCCTCCCCCCGAAGAAGCCGACGTAAAACACATGACAGATCTGAATACATTGGATATCTTATCTGGCGTAGCTGCGCCTGCCACGGCCATCGACGCATGCCATCATGACGGATTCCAGTTGAATAATGGAGTGAGAATTGCAAATTATGATGGGTGTTTATTAGTTGACGGGGAGGCTTTTACCTGGAGGCCCTGGAAGGCCAGCAGCGATGGTGTAGAAAGTGGTAAGAGGAGTTTTGTCAATGAGAAGGGTCAATGGGAGGTGCCGGAAGGTGCATGGGGTGCTCTACGGCTTTTGTGGTCTAAGCCAGGTACGTTTTATATGTTCGATATACTGGACATTTATCCCTGTTTTCTCCCGTTTTTATGGGCACATATTATTTATCTACGGATTGTATTAACCTGTCTACCGTGATTTAGATCTCTTGATTCTTGGACTGGGTCCCACGATGCGTCCTATCTCACCTGAGACAAGGAGACATATCAACGAACTAGGCATAAGGGTCGAAGTTCAAGACACAAGGAATGCAGCGGCGCAGTTCAACTTGCTGGCCACGGAGAGGGGCGTTCGAGAAGTTGCGGCTGCCATGATACCTATTGGATAGGTGGAGCAGGCCATGGCCATTAACACCAAAATCTAGCGAAGTACCTTGTAATATAACGATATGTACTATAGACAAAAGCAGGAATATACGTCATCTCAGAGCTTACCTACATGTATACCTTCCAGAAAGTCAGCTGCAGGTACTGGATATCGCTGATATAGATATAGCCCCTTGCCCCTGGCTGTCCCGATGATGCAAGTCATGTGCAGGTACCCACCACGTGACTAAGGAGATCGCTCGATCTTGAGACTTCCCCAGCTTCAAGATCGTGAAAGCTGCAACAGGGTGTACAGGACGACCGCACTGTACCCCATATCGCTCATTTTATGATCGGGCTTCCTTGAGCCTTGTTTTACTTTAGGTACACCTATACTCGGGCCCGCGCTAGCTCTTTGAAGCACCGACGATGGCGTCCCAAGATCCGACACGGCCGTCGAATGACACAGACCGAAACGACGAAGAGTCGACCCTTCTGACCGGCCAACGGGTCGATCGTAACATCGATAATGACTCTAGTCGTGGCCCTCAATTCTGGCGTCAAGTCGGGTTGTTTACCTGGGCTCTCGTTGCTACTGCTGCGGTGATTGTCCTGGCAATCGTTTACCAGCATGATCACTCAGTCGGCAAAGACCCTCACAAGGCCAGGCATACGGGGAAGAGGAACATGATATTCATGGTATCGGATGGAATGGGGCCTACCAGCTTATCCATGACACGATCATTCAGACAACACGTTGAAAACGTCCCCATCGATAACATTCTTACCTTGGATAAACACCATATCGGATCATCGAGAACAAGGTCTTCGAGTAGCTTGGTAACGGACTCAGCCGCTGGTGCTACCGCGTTTGCTTGTGGAATGAAGAGTTATAACGGTGCCATTTCTGTTCTCCCCGACCACACCCCTTGCGGAACCGTTCTAGAAGCCGCCAAAGCCGCCGGTTATTTGACCGGTTTGGTCGTTACGACACGAATTACGGATGCCACGCCTGCCTGTTTCTCGTCCCACGTAAACATCCGTGGCTATGAAGACTTGATTGCTGAACATCAGCTTGGTGAATACCCCCTTGGTGTGCAGGTTGATCTTATTATGGGAGGAGGCAGGTGCCACTTCCTACCCAACTCTACTGCTGGCAGTTGCCGTGCCGATGATAAGGATTTGGTCAAGCTTGCAAAGTCCAAGGGTTTCAACTACTTTGATGACCGCAAAGGATTTGATGCTTTGAAGAAGGGAAAGGCCGCGAAACTACCACTGCTTGGACTCTTGGCCCCTACTGACATCCCATATGAAATTGATCGTCATTTCCGCAATGATGAGTTCCCATCCTTGGAAGAGATGACCCGCACCGCACTCAAGACCTTGAGTGATGCGACCAAAGACAGCGAACACGGTTTCTTCATTATGATTGAAGGTTCCCGAATTGATCATGCTGGCCACGGTAACGATCCAGCTGCACAGGTCCACGAAGTTTTGGCATACGATAAAGCATTTGCTGCTGTTCTGGAATTCCTAGAAAAGGACTCTACCCCAGGTGTGCTCGTCAGTACATCTGATCACGAAACCGGAGGTCTGGCTGCCGCAAGACAGCTCCACCAGAGCTACCCAGAGTACAGATGGCTGCCAGACGCCCTTGCAAACGCCACCCATTCTTCCGAGTATCTCGAGCCCAAGCTTAATGCCTACCTTGAGGGACAGGGACATGATCATTCCCGAGACAAGAAACGCGAATATATTCGCGAAAAGCTTATCAAGGCCGACCTTGGAATTCTCGATGTCACCGATGCAGAGATTGATCGTCTTATCGACAACACCGCCAACCCAGCCGCTTATCTCTTTGCAGACCTGGTCAGCCGCAGAGCTCAAATTGGCTGGAGCACCCATGGTCACTCTGCGGCTGATGTTAGCATCTTTGCCTCGTCGCCTCACGACGCTATCCCATTGGTTGGTAACCACGAGAACACCGAAGTAGGAGGTTTCATTGCCACCTATCTCGATCTCGACTTGGACGCTATCACCCAGAAACTGAAGGGTGTCAAGACTAAACCCTCTACCAGCAGCGAGGGTGCCACCCCTGACTACTCATGGATGGGTAAGCCACTCGACAAGGATGTGGTTGTCGATGAGCTAGACACCTACCACGGTGACTTTAAGCGCCGACTGAGAAAGAGAGGCGCTGATGAGGCCGTTCACGTCGAACGCTCTAGCTGCGGATGTGATGGCCATTAATACTTGGCATCCCAATCGTATGTTCTAGCTTCTTTTCCTTATGTTTTCTTCTGCCTTAATAGCATTTCTCTCATTCTCGCTCTTTCCTCTTTTTTTGGTTATTGTCATTCGGCTTGTATACAGTTAGGTTCGGGGCCACGTTTGTTCATGCATGTTTTATATGGTCCTATTCTTCTAGACACTGCTCTGTTCGATGCTCTGAAGATTTTATAGATACAGTCTATACACAAGAATTATATACCACTAGATCTAAGCGAGGCTTCTTCCCTTGTTCCTTCATTTACACCGTAGCGTAAGGGTGGATTTAATTCCTAACAAAACGAGGCTTAACCCCGAGACCGTCCCGTAGATACTTGGGTAAAGACCTCCAAAAATATTTAAATTAGCAGTCAATAATTAGCACAGATTGCCTCCTAGCCTTTAGCCCCATATATGCATCCCCCAAAGGGCAACTAAGGTACAAAAAGAGAAATAATAGAGAAAAGATACAGGGAATATTCGCCCAACTCCTACAATATCCTCTCATTAGTCCCAAACCACATCTGGAAATAATTATTCCAAAAGGAGCTTCTTCGGCATCCATCACACGCGTGCCCCCTGTGTTCTACGCCAATCATATTATATCTCGTTGGAGCGCATCCGGGCTCGTCGTCAAATGGAATATCGTATCGTGCACGTTCTTCCGGGTCGTTAATCCGGATTAATTGGCGGTAAATAGCTGGGCAGAAATTGACGAGGACCACGGCGGAATGTTGGCAGATAAATCGGACTATTCGGTACTGGCACATTTTGCCTAGATAGGGTTGTATCTCTTCCTTTTTGTAGCCTGATTTCGATACATGGTTAATTTAGGTAAGGGCTTATCATTAAGGAGGGGTTTAAGGCCTTAGATGTCCTACTTTCTGGTGCTTTTAGGTGACCTTGACCTTTCTGAGAAATTGAACTAGGCTCCTGGGGGTTTATTTGTCCTTGGGTTTCCCCGTAGCTTTCCCTTGCTGTTTCCTTAATAGTCAGAGTATAAAGTCAGCTTCTCTAGAAGGGATAAGTAGCAATAGAGGCAAGAGGAGCAAATATCACTAACTAGATGGTAGTTAAGGGCTATATCAAATCTTTCTTGATCAAATCTGCAAACGTGTGAATGTGTGAACGTGTTCCGTGCGTGGTAAGTAGAGGACAGAGAAAATATCAACTTATACCGACCAATATCTAGCTGAATCCAGTAGGGCAGGCTCGGCGATGACCATGGATCCAACCCCAAGTCAAAGGAAGAAGACATATTTCAGCATGCTGACTACTGATTCCAGCATGAGCCAGGCACCTGTTTGCTTGATTGGCGACCTAAAGCATCTTTGCTTGATCTACACCATTTCAGCATTGTTCATTGTATAAACCCCCTCATAGACAGAGAGTGTGTAGCCAGTGCCTGACCCAACTAGTTAAAAGAATGAAGGGAAAGAAGGAGTCATAAAGAACAACCAGATCAGTATGCTTGCTGAGATATTGAAAGTTTTAAATATGACTAGATATTTAGAGGTAGCAAGCTGCAAACTTCTTTCGTTGTAGTAAAGAGGAGTGCCAGATGAGGGGTATCAAGAGTAAGGTAGGGACTGGCTCTAGAATATTTCTCTAAAGAGCCTATTCAGGGACTCCCGTGGTTCCGATTTTCGTAGTAAATAAAGTAGGCAAACAATGGTTGCCTGTCAAAACAACCGTCTATGCGATGGGCCTCAGGATTGGGTGGGGATGGGCCTTTGGCATGCAAACATTTTCCACGCCCAAGGCAAAGAAATTCAGCCTAAAGTGCAGGGCATATTGTGGAATGTAAGTACCTTTATAATAAACTGCTTGTTTGTCACTCTGTACTGAGTACCTTGCAGCGTATAAAAGGATAGAACCGTAATTCCGATATAGACGGGTTCTATACAGAAATAACGTGGCCCGCCATCTAGAGCCAGGTATGGAACGCCTCCCGCAGCCACTGCATGAAGGTCCCTTGCCCCCAAAAGCATAGAGAGCGTTGATATTGGAAAGGATTGAAGATGCTGCATGAGGTGTGGAGGTGGTGGAATTAAGGTTTGTAAGTATTTTAGTTTGTAAGCAGGCAACTTAACGGGATGCTAAAAATGGATCATACATCAAGAGAGGACTCTAAACTGATAAAGCGATGCAGAACCGAGGAGGCAGAAAGGGGGTTGATAATCAAAAGTTTTGGGGAATTATCGATAATTGGGAATAAAAGTACGGAGTAAAGATCCAAAAAAGGGGGGGTTGGGACATAAACATTAACAAGAAGGTGGGAAAAGAAAAGAAAAGCCAAATAGCGGCTGAATTACAAAGTTACAAGTGCCATGATGGCAACAAAGACTGCGAATAGCGAACCTTGAAGGACCTGGTCTCCAGGCGCAGAGGCACCGCTTGAGCTGCCTCCGTTTCCGCCGCCTTGGGAGAAGCCGGTATGTGAAGGGTCAGAGGATCCACCGCTGCCGCTGCCACCGTTACCGCCGTTACCACCCTTACCACCATTGTCGCCGGGTCGTTTACCGTCGAGACCAGGGCCGGCACCGCTGAGGCCAGGGATCACGGCAACGTCGCTGGTTTGAGAAGGGGCGTTTGGTCCTTTGGTGGCGCTGGGGTAATCCTTGTTCATATCTTGGCCGTTACCGAGGAAGGACTTTAGAACAGTGTCCTTGTTAGTGATCTTGACGGAGCCTTCAAGACCGCTTCGGTCGGTGTAGATGTACGATTTGCTGCCTTCAACCTTGGCGCTCTTTGGAGGGTCGTAACACTCGATGGTGACCGAGTCAAAGGCGGCGTAGTAGTAGCCGTTCTTCTGGATGTCTTCGGACTTCCAGTCGACAAGACCTCCGGCCCAATCAACAGTACCCTTTCCGTTGGTGGACAGACCAGCGGGCCAGAGGGAGAGTTGGACACGGGCGGGAGTTTGCGGGTAGTCGTATTGATTGGTGGTGGAGTTCATGGTGTTGGCACGCTCGAGGGTACGGATCACTTGGCCATCAATGCTCCAAGTAATCATATCAGGCTTCCAGTCGATCTCATAGGTGTGATAGTTGGTGAAGGTATTGGAGAGCGATTGGTTCTTTCCATGTGTGTCTGGTAGGACGGAAAGTGAGTTACCGGGGTGAAAATTTGATATGTCAAAATGACAGGAGGTGTACTTACAGTCGGTGATTCCCTGGTAGTAGAAGTTGGTTTGGGCGGTAGACAGATCGGCACCGACAAACTCGAAATCGATTTCATCCTTTGCATCAGACATCAAAATGAAAGCAGTCACAACACCTTGTCCTCGGCTGGTCCTTAGTTTGGCGGTGGTTTTGCCGTACCACATGTAGTGGCTATGGCCTAGGAGGGTGCCGACGGTGCTCGGAGCCATGGTGAGCAGCAGATTACCGTCACTGACCTTGGCCTCTCCGCTCGACACCCAATCCGCCTTGCTGGCATCACCTAGGTACTTGGTATTGGGCGACACGCTGTCCAGATTGTCCCAGTTGTACGTCTTGCTCTGACAAGCGGGCATCGGCACACAAGAGTCAACGGCAAAGGACGATTTCATATCACATCCTCCCAGGCAATAGGCACCAGAGCCGCATTCTCCATATACTATATAGATATAAAAACGCACGTGAGCAAGCAACCCTCATGTTAAAATGAAATCTACAACAGTAAACGTAGGGGAGGGTAACTCGAGCACTCACATGAACAGCAGGGCGTCGAACTGGGACACTTCTGAGACGGGCTACATTTCTGTGAAGCACCGGCAACGAGCATAGACTGCGCGGACAGCGCAACCGCCAGCGCAAATGCGATAAGACGAGTCATGCTGCGTAACCCAGACGGCCTAGATGTGTGTGTATATATATATATAATGCAGGAGTGTTCGATGTGTATACCCAGCCAAAGAGAATTATGAGATATGCTATAGTAGATATCTAGTATGGAGCACGAAACACGGTATGGGGTCGCGCAGGGAGTAACGATCCACCTTGAGCCTGAGAAGAAAAAGCAAGCACGGGCGGCGAACGAGAGCTGAGAAAGGGAGACACAGATATAACGAGAGACGAGAGAAGGGCCCTGGGACCTCGAAGGAGACAAGAAGCGAGTGACAGGTTCCTTGGAGGCGGGCGACGTTGGGGATAAAGAGAACAGGGAAACCAGGGAGGAGATGAGTTCTTGCAAAGTGAGACAACTTTCGCGGTCCCCGATGGTCACGAGACCAGGCCTCAGGGGCCTCAACGCCTTGCGCAGCCGACGCCCGCTGATTGGTCGACGGCTGCTTATATGCGCTTATGTTTTCCTATATAGATATTACTTACTACTTAGCTGTGGACTATATCTATGGCTAATTTACTTACTACTAGACAGCACGACCCCGCGTCAACCTGAGACGCTGGACCATGCACGGTCTGATGCAAGGCGGGTAAACGAAACGAAGGGGAAGGGGAAGGGGAAACGAGGGGCAGTCTCCGAGATACTCCGTATACATGCACAACATGCCGGAATACTTGATTCCGAGATGACGTAGATCGGCTGCTGCCTGAACTCAAGGATAAGTCGAGGCCGTATGTATAGATATCAGTGTCCGAGTGAAGTGCCATCGAGTGTAAAGATATCGATATCAGTGTCGAAGATATAAAATGGCATCTCGCGAGCCCTACAGAGGCTCCTGTCGCTGCGGCCACATCCGCTACATAGCATACATCAGCCTGCCTCCCGTCATCAGCCCAGAAGGCACAGTCGACCGCTACTCTTCCGTCCACTTCTACAAGTGCAACTGCACCGCCTGCCTCAAGTTCGGCCTCTTCCACATGCGTCTCCCTAAGGCTACTCAAGACTTCTACCTGCTCTCCCCGCTGGAACCGGAAAAGGAACTCACCGGCTACAAGATCACCGATGCCGGGTCTACGTGGTATTTCTGTCCGACGTGTGGAGTACGCTGTTTCTCGTTCGCAGGGAAGGGTAAAGTCGAGGAGGTCGAGGTCGAAGAGTGGGCTACGAAACAGGCGAACGGGGTCGATGTGAAGGCTGCTGCTGCTGGAGGAGGCGAGGGATCGAAGAAGGTAAAGACAAAGGCGTGGAGGATCGATGAGGACGGGTGGGATGAAGGAAAGAAGACCTGCTATCTCTCTGTCAACGTACAGACTCTCGAGCCGGAAGATGGGCTGGATTTGAGAGAGCTGGTGGACAAGAAGTGGGTTGGATTTCTCGACTGTCGGGAGTATGAGGAGAAGCAGCGGTTTGACCGTCCTCAGCTAGGCGGAACATGGTGATGTCGCTATTACTCAAGTTCTTCAACATGAACAAATATCCGCTAGGAATAACCACAACCTTCCCGAGGTCGGCTATTTTCATTGCAAGTCACATGATCTCTAGATTTCCAACGTCAGAGATAAACAAGAATTGAAACAAATAATAATCATATTCATTTTAGGAGAATTTCTTGATGAAAAGTAGTTTCTATGGAAATGGAGAAGCTTATCGGCGGCTCTTCATATCGTATGATACCCAAGAGAAAGTTCCTGTATTGTTCTGATGCCCCTCGTTGGAGTGCTTCTTGACCTGGTTCCAATGGAAAATGCTAGCAGACCGGTGAACTAGACATGGATACACTCGGTCGGGATAGAGAGTGCTGAATTCAATCATACACTCGTCTGGTCCGGCGGACACCACCTCTCCGAATAGTCTTGTACTTTGGGGGATCCGCCTTCTCGTCGTTGGCCTTCTGGTTACCTCCCTTCGTAACCTTTGACTGCTGGGTACTCGGCTGCTGCTTGTTAACTCGTTGAGCTTTCAATGGTTGAGAGTTCACCTTTGGCTTAGTTTCGGGCTGGTTGATAATCTTCTTGATATTCGCCTGCACATTCTCTATCTTCTGGCTGTCGACCCAATGGTTGTTGAAGGCCGTATTGTTGGTAGCTGCTGACATCTGTGTGCCTAGGAATAACGGTTTCTCGCACGGGTCTGTTGAAAATGTGACTTGGACGTTCTTGAAGGGGCCCTCCTTGATCGACTGTTCTACAAAGTGCTGTCTCACCAATCTAGCGGCTCTCACGCTCTTGAAGGCCATAGTCACTATGCAGATAAACAGTCAGCCACGGCACTGAAATATTGACTGAAGTCCCCCTGATATACTCACCATTACCGGTGTTATAAGCCCATGCAATATCAATGGCATCAGCTCCACCAGCCACAGCAGCAACATACGCCTGAAATTGCGTAAAGTTCATGTTATTTCCAATTAGCCTGGCTCTGGCGAAGGTCAACCGACGACGCTCCCGTGGCTGCTGAGCCATCCTACGGATATCAGCATCCCACTCAAATTCCGTAACGCCAACGATCGAATATGCTGGCCCAAAACGACCATATCCATGCTTAGAGTGCATAACTCGGTCTCCCTCGATGAAGTTAGCTGCTTGCTCAGACTGCTGGAACGTGATCTCAGCATATCCCTCGACAGCGTTTATGTCGACCTTGTACAGTGGACCTTCGCGGATCTTGGATGTGAGGAAGCTCAATATTCCTCGTGGAAAGGCTCCAATCACTTTCAATGTGCTAGCCTTGGGCTCTACGGGCTTGACCTCGAATCGAGCTGGACCACCACAGGGCGGAATGACTTGGTCCACTGAATAGGCGACTTTGGCCCGTAGGGCCATGGCCGGGACTGGGGTGTCGGGGTGAATCTCCACTCCATCCCCTATCACCCTGGCCCACGTATTAGCCTGGCGAACGGAGAGCTGATTTGGATTAGCAAAAACGCCAGCCATGACCTCGTTTCCTTTGGGCGTAACTTTTTCCGCTGTATCCTTCTGCTTTCTGTCGCCTCCTCTCTCCGCTCTGAGCTGTATTGCTGTTAGCATCCATTTGATATCAGTTCCTCTACCAAATCGACCGCTGGGCCTGGCCGAATCCTTACATTGGTTCTAATCTCCATCTGGTCTTGTGGAAGGCTAACTGCAGCCTCCATAAATGCAGCCACAATATCGTTTGTGCACTTAGCAATCTTATTGCAAGATCCGTTCAGCTCGTACTTTTGCAGCTATTTGTTGCAAAGGTTAGGAAGTTCCTCTCAACTAGTTATTTATAAGATATCTTTCTGTTAAGAGTACTTACATGCTGAATGATAAGCTGCAGCTTCTCCATCACTTCCATCATGGCAGCGTCGACGCGTTGGGTCATGATGCCTGCTCCTCCTGTTGATTCACTGGGCCTGGAGGCCTGATAAGAGGTGACAAGGTATTAATCGGGTCCGGGCTGGCCTATACAGGCCAGATAATCTGAATATGGGCACACAGATATGTTCAGGGGATGTTGAAGTCTGAAATAAGATATAAGAAGAGAGGGTGAGAAACTGTTTTCCTACAGTAGGACATTAAGCTAGCTAGTGAGTGAGGATAACGGAACTTCCCATACAACACAGTAACTAACGTTGACTTAGCGCTGACATAGGGGCCTTACTAGGTTGATATCTAGCTAACTCTGTTATAAAACTTCCCAATAACTGCTAACTCACACACTTAACAGGAATATAGAATGGAAGTCCCATTACGCATCCAGGATATTTAGGTATGTATATCAATATATTTCCCCTTAGGGCATATAATGATAATCCTAACTACTACCACATACATCATAGCTAGTGGGAAAAACCGAGGGATGCATAATACCATCTTTTAGGTTATGATATTTAAGGGCTTAAAGGGAACTTCCGGTAGACCAAGTCAGTCCCTATTCACAAAGTGAGGAGACAACGATGAAGTTGATATACATAAAGGCTTATGAGCCGCCATTCATCTAATATTAGAAGATAAAGAACTCTTTGCTCTTTATTTTCTCTTGTGGTAAGTTGTTTTTATATCTCTCTCTATATTCCAGCTCAGGCACAAATTTTCCAATATGCTAACTATACTTACAGCCGCACTAAAAACACGGCAACTACAGATACTAATTATGAGGCATAAGAAATTCAGATAGTACTGTCCATTATTATATCCAAGTTGCCTCAGATATTTACTAATCACTAAGAATAGATCGCAATGAAACTCATTTAACAAATCAGGCCCGGAAAGCTTGCTCGAATACACGCATGAAGTACTTGAGAACATGTCGTTTGCGCAAATCAACACGAAGCGAACGGAGATTGCTCACGCAGAATCTTAGAAAGCCAACGCTATTGACAAAGTCATTAAACATGAAGAGTAATGAAACGCATTTCATTCAACCGCTCGCAGCGAGTTCTCGGTTGGGTCGTCGTCAACCATTAAAATCCGAATAGCCTCCTCCTCAGCTCCTTCGCCATTGCTCGCCTGGTGTCCGAGGTCCGCGACGCTGCATCCTTGTTTTCTTGTCCTCGACGAACAAGATATCTCATGCATTCTCGCACCGATCCCCAGACCACTGCCTTGTAGACCTTTGGTTTAACTAGCATCGTGGTGTCAACATCCTCGCCTTCATAGCAGATCTTGCCTCGGTGAATGAGCTCACAGCTCAGCTCGTCGGCCATTCCATAAATCTGGCCATACGCTAGCCCAATCTGTGTTTGTCCTGTGTGACTCTGATGGTTTCGAATGTCCTGTGCCCGCTTGACAGAATTGCGATTATGCGAGGCAACGAGCAAGTCGACTTCTGGGAATGGATGGTTCCGTGTTCCTGGATTTGGCGCCTTTGAAGGAACTGAAGTTGGAGATGTTGGCGAGGGTGAGAGAACATGGTACTTGAGGACGTCTTTATATTCTCTCCTTATCAATGCGTCAGCCAGGCCATCGTACGCGGTATCTGTTTCTTCTTTGGTGTCCCAGATGTAATGCCTTGGCTCGGTTCCCAGGTATGCGCCTCTAACCAGCTTGACACCCAGAACAAACCCTTCTTCCTGTGCCATGGACATATGCTGAGATAGAGTCTTTGGGGTTGATCGAAGGTAAGCCTGGTATGTGTTATACACCAAGGCCCTTTCGCTCGCCATGCTATCGCTGCGGTCGTTGTACTTGCGTTGCAACTCGAGTGCCCAAGCATCGATAGCTGGTTGAACAGCCTGGTGCTCCGCATCAATTAACAATCGAACATTTCGAGCTACCGCCCTATCACAGATTTCAATCATGGCTTCATAAAGTAATGGCGGTGGAGGTATACCCCGTAGCAGGTACTGAAGCGCGTCGCTCCCTGCTCCTGTGAATTTAATATTCACAAACCCGCCTTCACCGGCCAAATCAACCGTATGAAGGTTCCCCTCTTTCCAGGAGTTGACTTCATATTCCGTGATCTTCTTTTCAACTTCCGTTGGATCTGCATTGCTGCTATCCACTGCAAGCAGTGCTGCAGCTTCCTTTTCATCCATTACACCTTCTCGTGCATATCCAAGGATAATGCCTGAGAATCCAGCTTTTCTGATATCGTCGATGCAACGCTGAACTTCATGTGGCTTCTCTCCAGCGCAGAACTGCAAGTAGAGAGTTTTCCGCAGGATATAATTCAATACGATATTGCGGTCAGGATTCAATAACGCTGATTTTGAATCCGCTATAAAAGACAGGATGTTCATTGCAGATGTCAGGAGTAGAGGAGAAGAGGACAATGCAGTGGTGAACAAGGAACGAGTGATTGATGATAGGGATAGCAGGGAGAGAGGAGATGTTGCAGCCTGGCATTGGGCTGACGAGAAGTTCGAGAGAGGCGGACTGGGTGGCTGGAATAGAGACGCTGCTGTCCGTTGTCTTCCTGGTGTTGACAGGGCAGTCGATGGTGGTGATGAGGGCGACTTGTCCCTATGGGCTCGCATATATTTCTCATTGTGATGGTATCTGGCCCAGTTGTAGATGTGCTGTGCAGGCCGGCACTGGCTGCCTATGATAAGCTGTGCTGGCCTGCAGCTGAGGTAGAGGTAGAGCTGTTGCTTTGTACTCTGCAAGACTTGGATGCTGGCGGGAATCCCTCCCACTGGGGCCATGCTTCGGTGTATGCGAACGAATACTTCAGCCAGCGAACTCGTCGATAGAGTTATCGTAATCTTCGATGGTCAGGCAGGAAGATAATCTGCTCAAGGTGCGAGAATGTCCAAGGTATAGAAAGAAAGGCGAAGTCTTTAAACCCGCCACTCCTGTTCCAAAGCTGCGTATGTAGATGGGATGTAATAGTAACAAAAACCACCCCCAAACGACTAAACAAGCGGCCACTTATATAGCTACACAGTTGCTAGATGAACAACAAATGCATCCTCGCAGCTAGCTACGCAGCACGAATACCCGCGCCTTGCCACCTGTCTAGTTTGTGATGCTATACAACCAACAAGCAGCCAACCCAGCACCTTCTTCTCCGCATCCCAGTCCATATCGCAAGTACAACAACAGAGAAGCGAGCATCGCAGGTAGCTCCAACCTAGCAGAAACCATCTGATAGGCGGGATACGCCCGGAAATGCCTGGATAGACAGGCCATATGTCCCTTGCATGTATATCTACAAGTTTCTCCCCCTATCCGGCTTTGGGTTGGACATGACGAAGCTCTCTTCGGATAGAGGAGCCGATGAACACAAACTGTTGCTGTCATATCCTCTGGAAACAAGGCGTTGGACTTGTCTATCATTCTCCACCCTTACTAAGACGATGATGGCAAGGCGTAGGGTTAGTTGGCTGGGCTAGCAGGGGGATGGGAGGATATAAACCGTTTTCTCGCCTTTATGACGCTATTTTTGGTCCATCTAAACGCCAACTATCCACGAACCATCTTTCAGCATGGCCTAAGAGAGTCAAAAGTGTACCAGCTGACCATAGGAAGGTTACAGTTCTCTTGGGAATGACGGACTAGATCTATATCGACCTCGTACCAGAGCCAGCCAGTATCGTTGGCATGACATCGCGAATCTGTAGCTGCATGAGGATGTTTTCTCCTGAAGGGGACATTGTTACATTGGGCTGCGATTGGCCACTGGTCAATAGATGATACCCTATTCTTACCTTCGATATGGGCTCGAGAAGTTGGAGGTAGAACTTGGTAGAAGTTGGAGATATTCTGATGCTGATGGTTATTCTTCCATCCTACAATGGGTTCGAATAGGGGATTCAAGCTGAATTCGAACAGTATCTCAATGGCCGTCTTTTATCATGTTGCTAGAGTGTTTCCTAATAGTTGTGGTCTATATCTCCGTTGTCATGGAAAGTACAGCGTTATAGATGAGGGTAGGAGCGAGAACTTCATCTGTTACTCCCCAAGTCTCCATCGGATACGCAACAGACGTCCATGAATGCCACCAAATACGCTCGATCCATGCTAGATCCCTCGTGGAATCCAATACATACTCAAGACCAACTATCCTCTAACCAACTGCTAGATATGATGCGCACAGTTGTTGAGCCCTTTTTCCCGGACCGCGTCAATCTACAAGTTGGAGAAGCCAGTTTTACCACAACCGTTAAAACGTTAACGGCGAGGAGTAACTACTTCCAAGACGTTTTCTCTAGCCAAACAGCCACTGAGATAGAGGATGACGGCAGTGTCTTCGTTGATGGAAATGGTGCTGTGTTTGCATACGTGATGGAATACCTTCGACGCGGCGTCTTCCCCCTCGCCTACGACCATGCAAAGGGCCACGACTACGGACTTTACGCGCGGATACTTGAAGAGGCGAGGTATTTCAAGTGCACGAACCTAGTCCTCTGGCTTGAGGGAGAATGCTATAACAAGTGTGTGGTCAAGAGGGTTGAGACGGAAATGCAAGATTCCGAGTGGCCGAGAATCAGCATGGAAGGCTTCGTTGATTTCACCGTCAAGTCCTATGCTGTTGAGAAGGATGGAGCATACGTTTGCCCTCGGAATATTCCTGGACACTTAAGCGCTGGTATGTGTGGCGCGAAATGCCTGAAGAAGACGGCAAACCGCGCCGGTCAAGACTACACCTGGATGATAGCAAAGACTAAGTGTGTCTTCAACCGAGGATGGATGACCGACTCTGGGTAAGCATATCGTTTTAATCCTATTTTGCAAAAGGTTGTATTAAGTTTCTTACACCTGGCCATAGGTCCTCATTCCTCAAATTTGTAGAGGAAACCAAGGCCAACGTCTCAAGAGGTAGCAACTCCAGGGTACAATCACCTGTCAAAGTTAACGCTGCACCAAAGCCCAGCACAGCACCGAAACCAACCACTGCACCTAAGCCCAGCATTGCACCGGCACCCAGCACAGCACCAACTCCGAGTAGTAAGAATAACGCCATGAATACAAAGACTATACTCGTCGGCTCAGTGCCTGTGCGCTGGGGTTAGGTAGCTAAAGTGTGAGTCCTCCAGTTAGCACATATGATATGGAGGGTATACAAATTGCGAGGTTCTCCAAACACGGATGTGCCCTCATGTGTATGCAATTAAAAGACATGGCTTAACGTTATTGTTCATTTATCATATGGGTATCCCTATACTTTCATCATGCGGACACTAAAGGGGGAAAGTCCCGTACAAAGCTATAAGGGAAGTGGTTAGCATCCTCTTCTCATATCTATATAAGTTGATGGGTAATAGACTGGACTTACTGAGCTGGGCACATGTAACCCTCTGGATTTTTCTCCAGATACAACTGATGGTATTCCTCCGCGGTCCACCACTTCCACTGACCGGGACCGCTAAGTTCGGTGGTTATAGGTGCTTTCCACCACCGTCTAGCAACTTGCTCCGTTATGCTTTTGGCAGTCTTTAACTGCTCCTCATTATGGGCAAATATAGCACTGCGGTATTGTGTTCCTTGATCATTGCCTTGTCTATCCTTGGTCGTGGGGTCGTGCATGGAGTAAAAGAATTCGAGAAGCTGTTGGTAGGAAACTAGAGATGGATCGAATAATATTTCGACGGCTTCGGCGTCTGCTCCAATGCAAAGAGTAATGAAAGAGAAATGGTTAGCCAATATATCTAATCGGGAAATAGAACGGTGGCTCCATATATGATGCCGTTCAATTGTGCAATATTAAAGGGACAACATACGGCCAGTTTGCCCCGTATAAACCTGGGGATACGTAGGAGCCCTGGTATTCCCCCCGCAATACCCGACAGAGGCGTCTAGCAGCCCCTTCCCATCCCCAAACCGTCGACGGTATATGTGCTCAACGCCCCAGAAGCAACCAGCCGCAAATGTGGCCTTTTGCACATTGCCGGGGATATTCTGCTGCTTTGCTACCACCCCGCCGGCCTGTGACTCGGCGACGACTGTCATATTGGAGGAGCCGCTTGAGAAGGGCCGGAGTAATCGTAATAGGTATTTTGGAAGCCCAATGGACGAAAATGCCATTTGCCTGACTGTAGCGGAGGGTAGATATTTATCCTGTTTGATCGTCGGTTCAAGCTTGGCGGTGGGAGGTAGGGATTATGGATTCTGCAGGACAGAGAAAAAGAAAGGAGCCGAATTGCATAGAAGATCCCTAATGAACACCTTGGTGTAGGGATCTTGTCGTGGTATACAGAATTGCTCGAGGGTGAAGCTGAATATATAGCAGTGACGGAGGGGGCCAGCTGGCTAAGGGCGCCATGATGCCATCGGCGGGATGACAAATCTAGGCCTTTGATGATTCCATGCTAAATAGCTAGTTAATAACCAAATAATCAGTCGGTCGGGATCTTGTTCGGCAAGTTCTGCTTCGTATCTACGGGGTTCGGAATATTCGGTATTTATTTGGAATATTTGGAATCGACGTCCCCATGATGCACCGAGAATGCCATGCTATATATAACTGCGGGCTATTCAATAATTACAAACTACCTAGCTATGCCAGGAGACAGACAGATCATACAAATTTTCAGGAATCCTTTCAAACGCGCCCACGCAGACGTCAATTTCTTTCAAAAACAGGTCCGAAAAGGATCAAATATTGGGCAAGCAATATTAGTAAAAAAGAATGCGGTCGATATTCAAATTAAACCGAGAGTGGGAGAGGGCTTCAAGCCTTGATCGCCTTCATCAGCTCGTCCAGTCGTTTCTCTAGCGCCTTTCTTCCATCGAGCGTGTCCCAAACCTCATGTGGCGCTCCCTTGACAACGTCCCATGCAACGAGGTTCTTCGTGATCTTGGTCAAATCCTCCTGCTTCTCGGCCCAGGTCTGGCTCTTTCGTACCTCTCTTCCTGAGCTGACGACCACCAACGGCGTGGATGGGCTCTGGATGTGGCGGGCGCTGGATATTTCGCTGCTGGTGATGGAATCAGCGACCAAACTTTCCTGTAGCTGCGCCTTGATAAATTTGCCTGATTGGTAGGCGCGTATGCCGTAGACTCGATCTACGCGGGTTCGTCCCTTGAAAATTGCGCCAGCCAATCTGTCGAGTCCTAATGGCGAGAGGATGCCCCATACCCAGAGCTTTAGCCCTCGACTGGGTTTGCCTAAGGTATGCAGCAGATCCTCATGCAGCGTATCGACGAGCATAATACCCTTGACGTCGCGAATATGACGGCTGGCGAAGATGCGGCTATATATACCGCCGACGCCGGCTGAGACGACAACCCATGGGCCATCTTCATCAGCCATTGCCAAAGCCTCCGAAAGGGCGTCTGCAGACATGCCGGCTGAATGGGGGGAGGGTGCGTTGTCTGACCACGCGAATCCTGGACGGTCCCAGTAGCAGTATCGTTTAATTATACCATGTTGATACGCATCGTCGACCCAGCCTTGGAAGGTATGTTCCACTGGATACTCTCCTCCTTCCAGTAGGACTGTCACTGGGGTCGTATCGTTACCACCATGAGAGGTAGAATGTTCGCCAATGCAGTGAAGGTGGACTTGATACTTGTTGCCGTCGACGTAGTACTTTTGTCCAGGGGCTGGCAGTGTGGCATCCTTTGCGCGCAGGCTCAATGTCGACATCAACAGGATGGCGACGAGGACAGTAACTGCCATGATTATCACCTGAAGAAGAACCGCGAGCCACTCTCCGAGTGATCGACGAGTCTCCTCTCGGCCAGTGAGCCTCTCTTCTTCTTCCCTCTTTCCGCGAGCCACCAGCTGGGTCTGAGCTACTAGGTAAAGGGAAATAAGCATTGCCCATGCTACTGATGCAATGCCTACCCAGCCTTCTTCCACCCGAAGGCGTGGGATACCAAGCGTGACGAACAGGCTGACGCTCAGGAGCACCGACAAGGCACTTGCCCATATCGTCATCGGCGTTGATGGAATGGAGAAGAATATCAACGCAATGAGGAGGTTGGATATCGTCAGAGTGGTGTACGCGAAATCGAAGAATCCTGACCCTCGATTGCTCATTCCAGGAGGACTGACGAAGATCGAAACGAGCAGTATGATCCACCAGAGGAGCGATATAAACAGCACCGTCAGGGTGAACCCTCGAAGCGCCCGAACACTCCATAGATTATATGGTGATACCTGCGTTGAGAAATAAGTCAGCTATGTCGTGCTTCACTAGCATTATAAGAGTTGGAATGCATACAGCGGGATCATCAGGATGAAGATATCCATTCCGTTCACCGGGCAAGAGACGGGTCCTTTCATCTGCATCCTGCGATCTTCTCCCTGGATTTTCAGTCTCGCTAGCAAAGTCTTCCCGGCCTTCTTCCTGGCCGTTATGCCGTAAACCCCAGAGAGGGGACATGACGAGCACCTAATTCATATACAATCCCCGGTCGATATAAGGTACTGTAGCGGGCAATCTATATAACTGCCCAGAAGCCGTTTGCAAGTGCGATAGAAAGGCTAGCGGGGCGTCAGGGAATCAATCTGACAGCAGGCTCCCTACTTATACCACCAGCTAGCCCCATGTCATACAGGATTGAGTTCGCCATAGATGCAGAGGTATCACCCTGGTTCAGGATTTACCTGCTTTACCTGTGGCAAGAAATCACCCTTGAAAGCTCTCGAAGATGTTGATGATGTCATAAGCTGGGCGATATCACGTGTTAAATGTATTCGCTTTATTACTAGCCGTATTCAATGCGTATGGGGCATACACGATATAATACACATCTTTACCACGTTAAATCAGCCAGTATCAGGCTATATATCAGGCCATATATCAGACCATAACCGAAGAACTTGCACCACGACCTCGAATAGCGCACATCAATAGCTGTGTAAGTGGAATAGCCTTACAGATGCCATTTTAAGGCCCAGGAGAAAGACGTTACTCTGTTCCACAACGGTGTGGTTGTGCCACCTGGCTTAGCTGCTGTCAAGATACCCCCCATTTTGGACGTGTGCAATATAGAATATGAGCGACCTTCAGAAATCATTCGCCAAATCGCGACTTGCGCAGTTACCGCCAGAGGTGCCGATGTTTGATGAGCTCAGCGAAGGCCAGGCCAAGTCTGAGATATACAGTGAACACCACGAGGATGATTCGTCGTCCGCTTCCTCAACTTCCTCCACAGGGACAATAGTACCATCTGCAAGCCAGAAATTATTCGAACGGCCTGGGTATGTTTATATCTGTCCGCTTGCATACGAGCACCCTTATTATTTTCATCTTTTCTACCAGGATACATATATATCGATGTTCACCCTGATGATTTATATTGACCCGGTCTAATGTTTTATTTGCAAAGGGCACGCTCGAGGTCAAATTACGTCGCTTCCCCTTGGCAAGAATTTTTCGAAACAGAGCTTTTTATTGAAGATGATGTCGACGGCCTCAAAATCACCCACCACGTCTACCTCACTTGCCCTTCTAAATCCGGCCCGCTATTTGTGACCCATCACGGAGCAGGTTCTTCAGGCCTATCATTTGCCGCCTGTGCTGCAGAGATTAGAAGAATCCTGCCCAACGCAGGTGTATTATCATTAGATGCCAGAAACCATGGACTAACCGTCCAGGATGCTGATACCTCACAACAAGCTGAATTAGACTTAACACTAGAAACTCTAAGTCGCGATGTCATTTATATTATCAATAATACCAAAGAAAGAATGAAGTGGGATTCTATTCCTCCGCTTGTTCTAGTCGGACATAGTCTTGGAGGTGCTGTGGTCACAAATGTGGCCAAGGATGGTCAACTGGGTTCGAACGTTTTAGCCTATGCTGTCCTAGACGTAGTAGAAGGTGCGTTAATAAAGATCTTCCAATATACGTGCCGAATTGCTGATTCACTTTTCATCTCTGTGTCTGGATTATTCTAGGTTCTGCAATGGATGCACTCCAAAGTATGGAAACATATCTCTCTACCCGCCCTTCGAGTTTTCCATCCCTAGCTTCAGGAATTGAATGGCAGTACGGTTTACCCCTGATATCCCCCTTTTACTTAATTGGATCCTTCTGACCTTAAAGTAGTATCCGATCTCGAACAATAAGAAATACCTCGTCGGCACGAGTGTCTGTCCAGGGCCTTCTCCGTGAAGAACCTCACGAAGGAGACTCCGATTCGGCGGGATCTTGGAAATGGCGTACAGACCTAGCCAGCACAAAGCCATTTTGGGAGAATTGGTTCACTGACCTTAGCAAGAAATTCCTCGAAGCGCGTGGTGGGAAGCTGCTTCTCTTGGCCGGAACTGACAGGTTGGATAAAGAATTGATTATTGGGCAAATGCAAGGTATGACTTAACGTGTTTGGGTTATTTCATATGCTATGATTGTCATATACAAGAGTGATACTAATGTATATTCGTCATAGGGAAATATCAACTTCAAGTCTTCCCTGAAGCTGGCCATTTTATTCATGAAGATCAACCAGTTAAAACAGCACAGATTCTGGTGAATTTTTATAAACGGAACGACAGAAGTGCGCTTATCCTCCCGCCTAAAGTCAGTGAGATGCTAGCTTCGAAGGATGGCGCACAGAAATGGGGGCTCAAATGAACCTCGAAACCCGCATTTAATGCTAACGACCACAGCGTGCGTTAACAAGTATATAGTTGATGAGACTTGCCACTTGATATCCTTGGAGAGGATACAAGTCATACAAGGCTGGTGAAACCAGCGCACTCCACTAGAGAATAAAGCGAGACTAGTAGGGCCCGTTCAGTTTTATCTCATCAATTAAATTCTATCATAGGTATTAGCCTGAACCTGCCCATATCTTACATTAAATATAGCAGGTCGATTGAAAGATCTCAAAGGAAGACGACCAATACCGCCAGCAGCCAGCACTGCAATTTAAAGTCATCATACCCGATTTGTCCACCTTAAACACCCCCGAATGCCAGCAGTGAAACCAGAACTCCGCCGCCATAACCCGGCAGAAACATAACAGGTAAATTAGTTATAAAAGGCTTATTCAGGGCGTGTAAGCTCCGCCAGCAATCACTAAGTTCATCCTTGTAAAGCTGACATTGAAAACTGGCGTTTTCTTAGTGGGGAATGCGCTGATTTGGTCCGCTGTAACGACGGCGTCTTTTCCTTTCTTCTTCTTAGTAGGATTTCCTTTGGTTGTACCTGATTTAGAGGCGCCAGCCCCTACTGCTACAGTGCTTGCTGTAGCTGCCTGGGCAGATGCAGCATTTGCTGAGCTACCTGCGTCGATCTTGGTTCCACCGCCTGATTCACTTAGGACACGACCTTGCCCAGTTGAAGCATCACTGGCGGGCCCAGCGACATCCCATACACGGACTGTACCATCTGCACCTCCAGAAACAAGGACATTGGACTCGGCACTCCAGGATAGGGACCAAATGCCACCCTTTGCATGGCCACGCATGCGTTTTAGCAGCCTTCCGGGAGCAAGATCCCATAAAATGATAGTGCCATGATCGTCAGCGGAGGCAAGGAGTCGTCCATTGTTGCTGCATGACACGGCAGTGATGTTGCCAGTATGCCCAGTAAACATACGGACAGCATTACCTGTGCTCACAGACCACATGCGTACGGTATGATCGGAGCTTGCGGTAAACACATACGCAGAATTAGGGTGGAAGCATACGCAGTCAACGTCCTGATCGTGCCCAGCAAAGATGCGCTGTTGTCGAATCTTATTTGTAACCCATAGTCGTGCGGTTTTGTCATGTCCACCGGAGACGAAATAGTGACCGAATGGGCCCCAGGAGAGGCTCCATACTGGACCAGCGTGGCCTTTATAGACGACGATACACCTCCAAAGGTCAAGAGACCAAAGGCGAATGGTTTGATCAGCAGATGAGGAAAGGAGCCAGCGAGTGTTTGTTTTGACTTCTGCATCGTCTGGGCTTGCGATTGAAGGGGCAAAAGCCACGGCGTACACTGGGCCAGAGTGACCGTATAGTCTATGAGAATTTTTCGGGGTTGAATCGTCAGCATCGGGATATGTGGCGGGAATTGGACGTCCATCAAGACTCCAGACACGAATGTAAGAGTCTTGCATTCCTGCAGCAACAAGTGTGTTATCTCCAGAAAAATCCATGCAGGTAATTCTAAGGAACGGTCAGCTTAAAAGTATCACGACGAATCTTGCCCCTTAGTTCCAGCACATACCCCTGATTTGCATTATGGAACGTAAACATGCATACGCTAACCCCAGGAGCGACCCCTCCGCTTCTTCCATCGATTTTGAACCTGTCACGGTTCTCTTTAACCTTCTGAACTTCCATTGCCACGTCTCGCGCAGTTGAAGGGGGGTAGGGTATTTCTGAGCGGGAGGGGGCATCAAGATCTTCCTCTTTCTTGATCATTTGGTCGAAGTGTTGGACAAGGGTCTCTTTGCCGGGCCCTAGATCTTCCTTGGAATCTTCTTCTTCCAACTCTCCACGAACGTCTCCCTCCAGGGCTGTTTCCGGGGGTAGTTGTCCCAGCTTGAGACGTGGAAGCGCTCCAGCTATGCCTGGATTATCACCAGTATACGCTGAACCAGGGTGATGACCAGGGATACCTTCATCTTCAGCTGGTACACCAGCCGAATCTTTCCCTCTGGCTAACATTGCGCCAAAACTAAACCGGTCATCAGAAGCGCGATCCTTTGTGATAAGAGTGCAATAGCTACTCAAAAGGGCAGACATAACTGTTCCGCCTTCTTTATGTTTTGTTTCCAGGAATTGCATCAAATTGGAAAAGGCTGGGTTGCTCAAGGTGAGTCGGTACTTGTTTTCCAGGTATAACTTGGAGATTTTATTGTCTTGAACATGCTCTGGGAGATTTATCGACTGTAGTGCACGAATATCGTCTGTGTGTTCAGGGAGAAATAGATTCTTGTTGGCATCAAAAAATTGGTGGCCCTCCATCGGCGCCATAGACTTGATAAGGTTCAAGTACGAGTAGACAAAAAGTGGCCAAAGGACCCGTCTAAGCTCGGGCTTGGATAAAAATGCTGTTAGGTAGGTTTATCATAGAAGGCTCTGAGCGGGTAAAAATATACCTTGTAAATCTCTAAATTGTCTTCAACCCATAACTTTGTCATTTCTGTTGGAAGGATTCATTCATTAGCCTTGTGTTAACATATGTACTCAGGGATGTAGATATCACAAACCGAAGGCAGGCCGGAACTTTGGATGAGTATCACTAGAGACGGGTAGAAGTGGCCGTCCATCAATCTCCTGATTCGCTGACTCCATTCTGAAAATCGCTTCAGTTCGATTATAGCCCTTTTTCGCCAAGTAATCGATAACCTATACAGGGAAAAGTTCATTAGTGAATAGCTCAAAGGTCAAATATAAAATTTCTCGTAATAGTAAACACATAGAAGTAGCCTCGCAAAAGATGGCAAACGCAAGTAGATCGAAAGCGAAACGCAGAAATAAAACAAGTTATGATGACCCACTGCCGTTTGTATATATGGAGGAATTGGATCATGACGGGGACGTGTTTGCGGTTTCACTGGTGCTTTGTTGGGCACTGGCGCCCATCCTAGCGGACAACCGGGAGCCATTTCTATTGCTTCGTTCTCTATAGTTGATATAGCTGATGAAACGGCACTGGTCCCTGGAGTTGATTGATAAAGTGATACCGGGAGAGGGGAGTGGTCGACGAAGTAGAAGTAAAGAGGCAACAAGATTAGGGAGTACGCGGCGCAGTGTGGGAAAAAGGATATTGATGTCCCCACGAGGGACGGTGTTGTAAGATGAAGGAAACATGACGAAGACGGCAAAGTGTTGGCTCTTAAGTTTGTGTTCAAAGGCAGGGAATAGGCTTGGTCCGGAGAGTGAAGATGCCGAAGTTCGAGACCAAACTTCACCACAATGATGAAGTAAGACCAAAGTGATAGTAGTGTCCATCAACCTGGATGAAGGAGAGCCTAGGTGACCATTGGCCGGATGGGGGTATACAAAGAAGGCAAAGTCCGACAATAACACATAAAAGGGTAGGAGCCAAATAAAAAAAAAGCCATCATCGAGGGAACTTCTGCACTTCTGCAGTATAAACCCAGCCTTGAACATTTCTTAACTTACAATTTGGTTCAAGTCCTGCTGGGACACAGGTCCAGGGGGCCGGTTTGGCACCCCCGGCGTGCCGCCACCAGACGAAGGCCCGCTGGATATAGGTTGCTGGTGCTGAGAAGGCATCGTGACTCCGTTGTTTGGGCCAGTACTGCCGCTCCTGGGGCCAGGACTGGGAGCTCCAGCAGGTCCTGACATGTTGCTCTTTCACTGACTCCCTGGTTGTATGTCTCCTGCTGCTGGTCAAGTTGTTGGAATCGGCGTATCTCCAGAGATACAATCAGTAGTAGACGGCCTTGACGTTCAAGCTTTAGATATTCAATCACCTCGCAAACAGGCTAAAATTCATGACCAGAGAGACTAGATGGCAAACCGAGACGAGATATTGATGGCTCTTGTAAAAAAGATACTGAACTTGCAGTTTAAAGGTCGTTTCCATTCAACTCGATCTTTGGGTTGATCACGTGAGAACATATTCACGGTTAGTGATGACATAAGCAGACACAACTTCTGGTTGGCTTTAGACGTCGCCCGTAGTTAGGTATCTTGACAGTTAGTTTGCGAATATAGACTGATACATCTGGCTGGAGATGGCGTCTAACGAGGAAGTGTTCAGTCCTGCTGACCGTATTAACCAGCTTAATGAGATTGATAAAGTACGTGGGAATTCTATGCTGGATAATGACACCACTAACCCGAATCTAGGATGTAGCTCAAATACTGCAGTCTGCTGGACTTGCTATCCAGGCACTTACCAACAGCCCTTCACAAGCTTCGGGAATCTCAGAGACGAGAGAGTCACCCGTAGGAGGCGCTTTAGAAGCCCGTAAGAAGGCATTCAAAACCGCATGCTCCCAATACTTCGCCCTTGTTTCGTCCGTGGATGTCAAACTACGCCGACAGGTCTATGCTTTGGAAGAAGCCTCGATAATACGTGCAGAATCTACTGTTCCGGTCAAAACAGGAGATGGTATGGTTGGTGGAACGGGCGCAACCGCGCAATCGTCGTCCGGAACCGTTAACCCACTTGAAACAAGCTGGCTAAACAGTCGGAAGGATACGGTTGGGAAGGACAAAGAGGCGGAATTGTGGGCTGAGGCTAGCAAATTCATGAAGAGCGTTGCATCTAAAACACAGGATAACAGTCACTCTATAGGCACCGCCGATTCCGGTGGGAAAGAAGGCATGGAAGTGGATTGAGATGGCCGGTGATCAAGTAACTATTGACGGATAACCGAGAAATTTAAGGGCAACCGTGGATGGCCGATTTTTCGTTACGCCTCCGCGAAACAAGAGCCGTGGAGTTTGTAACCCCCGTGTTCCCTGCGCACCTACGCCGGAAGAAAGACCTACCAACCGATGGTTGTATATTCCCATGCTACTTCAAGATATCATCACGGCGACGCAACTACATTTATACCCATATGTCTTGTTGTACAAGGATGACTAATTCATCTAAAAGCGGCGTGTGGAAGAAATGTGGAGGTCAGAATAGTGTCTTTGGTGGGATGGTACACGCAGACTACAAACGGCTCCTTGACGACATAATCGGAGCATAAGGCATCGAACTCACAAACTGCTCATAGAACGAATCCCGTTCGCGCCTGTATGGAAGGATATTGCGGAAATATGATCATGTCGATTATCGAAGCGTCTGATACAAACATCATATTCGTTAAAATCCACGTCTGCCATATAACTTGTGTCTATATACAGGGATGGCAAAGTTGCAACGCTTTCTTATGCCGAGGGTTGGATCGTCAATTCCGTGTAAAGCTAGTCTGTGAAGAGAGTCAATCCTTGAATATTGGCAATGAATAAGTGCTTCTTCTCTATTTCATCATAGCGTTGATCACATTGCGATGAGCGGACTTCTCTTCGTTTGTTTCCGAGAGTGGTTGTAGACCTACAAATGCAACAGGTTAGTTTTCAAAATCAAAGTGTGAGCTGGAATAGGCTCTGAGGAGTATACTCACTTCTTAGCTCAGACACGACGTCTTTCGCTTTTCCGAAATAGACCTCCTCTAAATGAACAACTGTTGTTAGAAGACTTATTCAAGCTTGCCAGAGGGGGTAGGGACTGGGCATCCGTACGAAGTAAATTCCGCATCTTAAATTCCATATCCTCTACCAATCGTCCGACGTTCCAAACATGGCTTACATCCCCGTTCACAGCCATATCAGACTCAATCTGTCTCGTCATATTACCGCTCAGGTCCATTTCACCAAGTGAATCCGAGCTGGTAGATAGGTGGAGGATCACGGTGCTAGTGAGCCTATAATGGCATGTTCGACCACGGTCTGTAGCTTCGAAAACATGGATACTATCCCAGGCACCTGAGTTCTTTGATCCGGGGGTAATTCCTGTAAAGTGACAAGAGGAGCATGTTAGTTCGGTATTAGAACATTAAACCACACGGGGTTGAAACACCTTTCTTCAACAGTACGACTCCCGCAAACCCGTCCTCCAGGTCCCAGAAATAAACACTCCCAACTCCGCCATCATAATAAAGGTCTCGATAGGTATCAAACGCTCTGTTTGCCTCAACCTCTAGCTTCCTCACTCGCTCACTGGGTACTGTTCCATCTTCAATTGGTGGGTCAAATTCATTACTCCATGGGCTTCGGTAGCTGTCTCCATCACGGTTGTAGTCGCAAAGCAAGTAGTCGCGTTTAGAACGAGGGCATCGTCGGACTTCAAGTGGTTGGTCAACCGATGCGAGAAGGTCTTCTGTCAGCTCGGGAACGAGAGTGGTGATATTCTGTAGATTCTCCTTTGTGTTTCGTGGAGAGAGTCGGCGGAGAAGATCTCTGGTTTAGAATTATGTCAGATCATTCGCTTGTTCGGCGTTGTTGGGTTGATATTTCCTCGATAGTATACTTGGGAAGGCATCCGTCCTGGTAGGCGGGGGAGGGGGCCTGGACTGAATTGAGGGCAGTAAGGTGAGCTAGTAACTTACAAGGCGCTGTCAAACTGTGTATCCGCCATGGCCTCGTTGTAAAATGAGAAGTAAGAAGCCTAGAGATTCGAGTTGTTCGAGATGTATGAAGCTTGGGGGTGGGAGTGTTTGAGATAGAAGCATGTAAATAGAGATGACGAACCTACGGAATGAGGTGCGTGGTAGGAACTCTTAGTCTGCGTGTCCGCAATGTATCTATCAACGACCACTCTGGAGCCATACTTTATAACGGCCACCAGAAACACCAAAGGGTCTAAAATATTAATACAAAAGTCATAGCATCGTTAACCCAAACCATACACCCTCAAACCAAGCCTCAGATAGTAAGCAAAGATATACAAAGTTTAGAAAATACTAGAAAAATCGCTATCGTCACCAAGCATGTGTGCGAGGTCATCGTCGTTGGCGTCTCCAATACCATCTCTGGCGTCCTTCTCAGTCTCAGCTGCATTTTTTCGAGCCAGAGGATCATTCCCGGCAAATGACTCTGCAAATAATTGATCAATGTCCGGGAAATCATCGTCGAGGTTACCCTGGGATGGGAATACGTTGTCGTTATTAAGGCCGAATGACCCTGATGGCTGGGTGCACATCAATGACGAAAATCCCGGCTGAGGTAGAGTATCTTGACGCTCATTCTGGCGTTGATTGAGAGAGTTGGCGGCAGGACCGGTGCCAAATGCATCGGAAAAAGGATCATGTTCGTCAACTTCAGAAATGGGAGACGGCACCTCTTCATCCGGCTCCCATTCTTCGACATCGAGTGGTAAATAAGGCTCGTACTTTTCGTCACAATCGGGGCCATATTCTGACATTTCACGGACTGCCTTAGCCAGTCTGCGCGTTAATGTTGTATGAGGCACATTCACTGTCGGTCTGCAAAATCTCTGTAGGACAGGGTAAACGTCAAGTCGGGGGTAACGCATAATCTGTGGTGATGTTCCAGCAACGGTTTGGAAGTTTCGTCTCAACTCGAGCGTTTGACTGGGGGTAAGGGTCACCTCACTCAATGGCGGGAGTTCTGCAAGTTCCGGGCTCGGTTCTCGATATTCAGGCGAGTCTCTTGGTTTCGGACGCTTCTTACTGGCGCCTGTCATTGTCAATGCATTTGTAAACCCTGTTTCCACACCGTCGGGCATATGGAATTTCTTCGGAGGCCGCTTGGGAGCGCGACCACGCTTTGTTGGGACAGGCAGCTCGGCTTGAGTGTTTTCTATTGGGATCTCAATGCGCCTTTCATCAACGCATGGCTGTATCTCACGGGGTATAATCCGAGGAGATTTGTCCTCATGAAAAGTGAATCGGGTTCCTGAAGCAATTATCTGTTGCATCTTTTCATAGTTGTCCTTTGCTCGGATATACTTGTCTTCTTCCTTGCCCTCCATCAACAAGAGAACAACTTTGCCTGTGCGCTTTCTCCCCGTTCTCCCCATCCTCTGCAACATGCGAATAGGCGAAGCTGACGAATCGTAGCATATAATGAGATCGACTTCTCCAATATCAAGACCTTCCTCTCCAATAGAAGTCGCAACGATCGTATTGTATGTCCCCTCCTTGAAACTCTTGATGACTTCTAACTGCTTCTTCTGGTCCATGCCATCAGAGCCTTTGGCGCTTGCCTGACCTACGAAAACATGCGGCAGAACTATTGGGGCGTGTTTTTTAAGCACTCTGACAATTTCCTCTGCACTGTCACGGAAATGGCTAAAAACCATCACCCGTGTCTTGGAAGGGGAACCTCCTTCGTTATTGGCGTCCGCGTCCAGAAAATGGTTCAGAATGACCTGTTTGAGATATTCCAATTTAGGATGGCCAATAAAATCCTCATCGGTCATCTTCGCTCGTAAAGTGGTCATCATGGATTTGAAACTCCCATCGTCCAAGATCTGACGACCGTATTTTCCTCCCTTTCCCTGACCTCCATCCGCAGAACCGTCACGAAAGGATACCAAGTTACGGTAAAAGGGCCCAAGGCCGTGGTATTTCAGAAGTTCAGTAGCATGGGCAAGGCTAGCAAGGACTGTGAATATGCTATTGACCATCCCCTTTAGACCCCAGTTAGCGTTTCTGCCAGCAGGAGACATCATCCATTTTTTCCTAGCTTCAGTTAATCCAAATGGAGTGAGAGACATTGGGTCATCCCCCCAATAGGCGTTGAGGTTACGAAGCTTCTCAACAACAGGTTTTAGTGCTTTTGAGAATTGCTCCATGCATACTCTCATATCTTCCGAGTTAGAAAAGGTTATGGTTTCCACATTTTTGGCATGGACATATCCTCGGATGTCAAGCGATTCTTCAGTACGTATCTCAACTCTTGAAATATTCAAGCCGTCGATTACTTCTTGGACAGTTTCCACGGTTGACCCGGGGGTCGCGGTTAGTGCCAGGACTCTGAAGCTAGTATTAAATCGCTGTATGAACTTGACGACCTCAACATATACATATGCACCTGTCGCACGATGGGCCTCGTCAACGACTAGAAGCACAATTCGCTTCGGATCAGCAATGCCGCTCTTCAGGTCATTAATGAGAGTCTGAGGCGTCATGAAAAATACCCGTTTTGTCTGCCATTCCACCGCTCGTAGGCCCGGCGCGACATTGCCTGTAAGCATTGTGGTTTGGGAACGAGGAATTCCAACGATATTAAAACACGCATCAACTTGCTGTGAGACTAACGGCCTTGTTGGAGCAACGAATACAATCTGAGCGTCTTTTGTCCATCTGAACCAGTTTAGCATAACCGTTGCGGCGATGAACGTCTTCCCCAAACCAGTTGGTAGGGCAACAAGAAGATTATGAAAGAGACCACGCTGAGAAATGTTATATTGGTAGTCACGTTTTGTCCCCAAATTCATAGGGAAAGTCCACGTTTTCAAAGCTTCAGAGTTGAGAGAGTGATGTGTCGGAGGCTCGTTTTGGCTTGCAAGGGGCCAGGCTCGGGAAGCCAACTGGGATTGAGACTGGTTGCTTGCAATGCCGCCAAATAATGTAGTTTGCCGAAAACTCTGCTGTTGTGAGCTCGATTGTCGCCATTGTGAGGTTTGAGGGGCCAGTTGGGACGTAATTAGAATGGTCCCATTTCTAGGTGCCTGGCGAGGTGAAGATAGGGGAGACGAATCGAACACATCAGGTATGTCATCCGGGTCGAAGTCTAAGCCTAACACTCTCAAATCTGGATTACCGTTTATTGCGGGCGGTGGAGAAAGAGCGAGATCCTGCTTTGGCCGGGGGTTATCGATAATGCGATTGGTTACTTTTGTCTTCTGCACCGATGTCTCTTCCCGCAATGATTTAAGAGAGGCACGGATGGCTGCCTTAAAGTCCTCATCTGAGCCTTCGGTTTCCTGTTGGTCATTTGCATTTTCGGCTGGTACCGCCTGAGGGGGAGAGACCGGAGAGAATGAGATAGCAGGAGAAGGCGTCGGGTCTGGGTCTGGTGGTTCGGGTTGAAATAGTTGAGGGGCGGGCTTCTTCCACCGTGGACCACGGATCCTGGAAGGGCTTGACGAGGGCTGAGTCAATTGCGTCACAAATACCGGTTCCTGATTTGTATAGTATTTGGGTTGGTATATAAGGGCGTTCGCGGACTGTTTAGTCGACTCCCTTTTCCCTATATTGGGACGAGCTTTCCGGAGTGGTAGTCCATCCTCTGATTCTGCCTCTGATTCTTCCTCCGAGTCCTCCTCTGATTCGCCTTCGGGTCCAATATCAATTCCGTCGTCATCATCAACGCTGTCCTCCCCCGGCTCTTCTTCTTCTCCCTCTTCAGCCTGGCTGTCACTTTCTATATCTGTACGGGAAGAGGGCGGAGGTTTGTATAGACGTCGTCGTTTTGCTGGTCGTGGGCTCTCAGAGAAGGCTGAAGAGTCTGGATTCGGACGAGTGGGTTCGTCAGAATCTGACAGGATCGTAACCATCACTCTTTGGCATACTGTTGGCGTTCAAAAGTGCCATCCTCGAGCACTCATTATCGTCGAAGCTGTACGGAGTAGACTTTCGCGTTCCGGCCAGTAAACGCGAAAGCACGTGATGTTCATGGGTTTTCGCACCCATTTATATTCCAACGCCATATCAAACTGCCCCTTGTATAACATTAGTATGCCAATAATTTATTCAACTGCGAGTTGCTTATGAATCTTTATATCATTCTTACTACTCCATACTTAATTATCAATGCAAAGTGGGAGCAACCAAATTGAGCATAGGTGGTGTAGGGGCTACATGAGTTGATCAAGCCAATACATCACTATAAGAGATTAAACGCGGTAGATTCTGTTCAACATGATGCAGCTATCATAGCTATGACCATAGCTCCAAATATAACATCTGTAGCCATGGGAACTCGACGTCAAATGGCTCTATCGTACAAACCAACCAGCCACCCCAATCGTCGTCCCATCGTGTAGACAATGCTGCCATAGAATACTCCCAGTAGCTTGGGTACCAACCCGATGTTTCCCAGTCAATGAGTGTGACCTCATACTTCTTCTCATCTCTAGAACTGGTACCGTCGTTGGAAGAGTTATAAGGTCGAATGATGACATTTTTTCGTTGAAAGTCCCCATGTGTGAATTTCGATTCGTGCCCTCGAAATACACTCGATAAGGAGCGGCGGTAAAAGTCTGCCCTATATGCTGATCGATACTCCGATTCAGCGATATACTTGAGTGCCAATGCCTCATTCAGGTCGGCCTCGTTTTCGAATGGCCCATTTATTGCAGGGTTTGGCTCTGGGGTCCAAAACATTCCACCTGGCATACGGCGTCTACCTAAGGAGCCGAAGTAACCTGGCGAGGGAAGGTTGCGTAGCTCTACAAAATATTGTTTAAGGGTTAAAGCTATGTCCTCCTTTTCTCGATTGGATAGTGATTTCCATTGAGTATCTAGGGTATCCCCCTCGATATACTCCATAACAATATAGTTCATGGAGGCTTCTGGCACGTTATAAAGGGCATAGATTTTCGGAATTTTAGTTTTAGTTGCGAATCGTAGGTAAACCATGTTTTCCCCTTCGACGAGATCAAGCTGAAGGCTATCGCCAAATTTCACAACATAATTTCCCACTCTGGCGACCTTATAACCATTATGATCCACAAACACTGCTGCTTCCTCGATTTCCGAGTTGCTTGGGAGGGGAACGGGTAAATCAGAAGCAAAATATGGAATCTTGACAGGCCATTCCATCGTGTGGTCTTATAGATCGAGCTTTATGACCTGGGGTTTATTGTTGAAGAGAACCAGTTGAGTAAATACATAAGTTCCAAGGGTAAATCTTAAGTTAAATCACGTGTATATACATAGCACAAACGCATCTGTCAGGAAGTTACTATAACTTACCCTCAGAAATTAACAATGATTATGACAGGATCTTAAATAAGATCAGTAGACTTAAAATAGTCACATTGTTATTACATATCATCGTTGCAGCTGCACGGCTGTAAACTGTGAAAGATATGAGGTTCAAGGAAGACCTCAATCTGCGGGGTCTGTTCGACGTATTCTCGTTTGACTAGGTGTTTTACAACCCTTCTTTGGCGAGCATATCTACCCCCTGGTAGTTAGCATATTGAACCGTGTAACGTTTAATTGGATCCGCCAACACGTACCTGCAATATCGAGATAAAATGCTACAGCATTGAATCTATTGAATCACCATGAGTTAATTATCCACCAATATCCTTCCTGCTGTGGCTTGCTGAATTCCATGTGACTTACTTCTTCTTATTACCCGTCAGCTCGGCAACTAGCCATTTGAGGCGATTTGTCCAGTTTATCAGGTCAAGGTGGCTGACTCCAACCAGGGTGCCTTTGTAACACCCCCACCTGCTACTTGCGACACTGACAAGACCGTCATTGGGGCCCTCCTCCTTGTCTAATATTCGCCTTGATTGACCAAATATCGACCAGGTCTTTGGGGATAATATGGCCCCATATGAGTAATATCTGCGTTAACGTGAGTAGGTGTTCAATATAAGCGTATTAAATACCGCAGATTTCTAACCTAACGCCATCAACATTCATAACGTTTGGGTTAAATGTTTCCGCTAGGTACTTTCGGGTAAGCTGTTTAAAAGCTCCATTTTCTAGTCCCAGGCGGTCGAGTATAAAAAAGGCCTGGGAAAGTCGTTCCTCTATGTAAGCGTAAGCTTTTGCCTTCCAAGGAATATATTCCATTTGCACAAACCGCCAAGCCACTCGAGAGCGTAGTCGGCCACTGCAGAGCCTATGTAGTCTGATTAGAGATTATACCTATGGTATGATATTTAGAAAAGGAATGTATGCCAACCTTGGTGAGGAGTTGCGATAGTTGTTAATGAAACAACTTCGAATGTCGTTGGCCGTAGCTTACTGATCATATATCGTGCATCCAGACCACTTAAACGAAGGAATTATCCAGGTTAGTGCAAGAAGCAGACGAAAAGAATTTAACAATTGAATCAACAGCGTACCCCTATTGAGGAAGGTAAGCAAACATTCTTCAGGGGGCGGATGGTAATTTACGACATCATACCATGCTATGCCTATAGAGCCAATCCGGTCAGTCATGCGATAGCTTTCAAAATTCAAACTGCTCCTGAGCTAGAGAAAACGAGCAACGATAGGTGGTTAAACTCACGCAATAATATTAACTTTTCTGCCTTGTACGCGACTCTCGATCCCCTTTATCAGCTGCTCTGCACGCTTTTCGATGGAAGCCGACGGGGAAACGGGAGCTGTGATGACTTCCACCCCGTTGATTGAGTAGGCATCCTTGATCCCCCTCCAATAATGAATAGCTGGTAATGCCCGCTTTGCGATTCGTAGTTCATCAAAACCTAGAAGTCCGTGGGCCAATACTATGGGGTGCTTTGGTTTCACTGCACCGAGCAGTTAAGGCATTCATGCAGCGTGTACCAATCAGAAACATGCTCATTGCAGTTCATTCTGTCGTGGGGGGTATTGTTGTGAACTCACGATATGAGTCTCGAATGTTGGCATATTCATCTTCAATTAGGTGGCCGAGTCCAACAAGCCGGCGATCCAATAATCGACTTGTGCGGTTTGGGTCGAAGAAGGTGAATTGTCGGGCCTGTTGGTGCCCATGCGGATAAAGTAGCGGCTTTAATGGTCTAACCAAGGAGCTGTGCACCCTTGTGCTTGCGCATTTCATGTCTTCGCTGCTTCTCTGGATGATGTGGTGGTGGCTGGTTAGCCTCAGGTATGAGGTCACACCCAACAAAAGAAACGTAGGCGACGCTCCGCAGAGCCGAGAGACAATAATAGGGCGAGCTACTTAATGTGTAAACCGGGCTCTTTGGTCGATAGATGAGTGTATCCAAGTGGGAAAACAGCTTGTTAAATGTTTGTCTGAGGTTGACCAAGGAAGTGTATTTCATGTGATGATGCATTTACCAGGGCGCAAGGCGAAATTGGCTGTAAAGCTATCTATGTCTATCCACAGCTACACTTCCTGCCAATGCCTTACACGATGACACAAACCACATATTAATTATCTCTGTGGCTCTCACAAATAATATAAATTCCTCAAGTGTTTAACCAAAGGCGCAAGTTTACCACTGCGAAAAAAATGAATGATCCCGAGCACATGAACAAGAATCTTAACCGAACCGTTAGAACATAAATCAAAGCCAGTGTAATCTAAGCCTTCTTAGCTATTTTCTCTGGGACCTGAGGATTGACATCTAAAACTGTCTTGATAAGGTCGTCGACCACCTTGGGTCCCTTGTCTTTGCCAAATGCCTTGATTTCGAGGAGCTGAGCTTCGGCATCCTTGTTGGCATCGTCTTCGGCCTTTTGGTTACCGCTAGAATGCTGGAGAGAGAGGTATCGTTAGCTTTACTCATGTGTGTATATGTCAAACTAGGCGTCTTCTTCGCTGTGGATGAGATGTAATCGATGCATTGCCGGATCATCAGCGGGAAGTTATTGCGTTACCTCAGCTTCGAATTTCCGGAATTCATCTTCCTTCTGCTTCTTGTAATCTTCGATTTCCTTTTGTGCCTCGGACTTGGCGTCCTTTATCCGCTTCGTACGGTCTGAATGGGTAGAAGGTTAGGATTCGTTCTACAGCTTCGGTGCTGGGTAGGAGAGAGGATAAACAAACATTCTCTAGCTAATGGATGAGTTAGTAAGGTTACAGACTTGTCCAGGAGAGTCCTATACGATCAAACTCACCATTTTGCACTATCTTCTGAGCTTCCCTTTCCGCCTATCCGTCTCATGTTAGCTGAGGGGTTTGCCGGAGTAAGGTGGGCAGGAGCCATCATACATCAAGGAGGGTTTGAATTCCCGCAGAGTTTTGTGCAGCCTATAGCACCCATTGTTAGATTTGCTGCTGATACCCAGATGTCCACGATGAGCACCCTTACCATAATGAATCACTTGCGTCCTGTTTCACGGAATGGATGGTGCTGGAGGTGCCGTCATTGAGTACGGGGCTGATGCCTCTTTAAACCTGCCCCAACTAAAAATCACGTGAGGCTATGATGCTCCGAAAAGCTGGAGCTTTCAAGTTTCCATTGTCGAGTGACAAAGGGAGCTCTTACTTCAAGCTTCTAACACTTCTTCATTCTCCTTCTCCTATCATTACGCTCTCATCTGAGACAAAAGGGAACTGCAATGTCTCGGGCCTCGAAAGTTACGCTGGGAGTCACTTCCCTTGTGACTGTAGGCATAGTCTACTTTGTCCACTGGTCCCAGGAGGCAGAACGATTGGTAAGGGTCCTTTTCATTGTATTCTCTTTATAAGTCTGGGATCTTACTGATTTCTTTCCGGTAGGCGATGCACGCTGGTGTTGAGCGAGACATGGAGCAGCAGCGAATCAAGCGAGAGCGACAGGCAGACTTTGAGATGCAGAGACGACTCGAGGCGGAATATAAAAAGGCCCAGACCGTCTCAGATAGTGTTCCACCTCTTCCGATATCTGGGAATAAAGGCGTCAACCAGCAAACATAAGATTCGGAGACCTTAAATCTTTCTCTCTGTGCACAGGACGAGATTGCACTTCGTAAACGAGCTACGGTTCCCCGACTTTCCGAGCTGGCCTCCATCGGTACCGAACCTGGCTGTTTCAATGGCGGAAGATCCAATACTACGAATCAATGACTATTCGAGTCATCTCGGCACCTACGTCCTGGACACGATCAATCCTTTCAATGACACATCAACAAAAGCGCCGCATACCCACGACATAGACTCACGACTGACATATTATCTTAACCTGCCATCCCTTCTGACCCAATATCACCCCGACCTATGATATTTGGATGTAGACTACGAATTTCGGTCCAATCCCCACTTAGAATTGTACAGGTATAATTATAGACCAGAGAGCCTGTCCCTGTCACTTCAACCACGTCAACCGCTTGTCAATCACCTACGGCCATTATCCTCGGATATATAGCCTTTACTCTCCTGTAGGACACAAGTGGCTAATGTGAAGCCGACTATTTGCTTCAATTTAGACCTCGTATATATCCAAGTAAATCGAAGCCATACCTGTAATTACCCAAAATTGCTGTAGTGACAAAGCCAAAGTACCCCTATCGACCATTAAATATCAGCTCAGGGTTAAAGACAGGGTTCAGTGCTCCGTATCATTGTGAGCTCATCCATAATTCATGATAGGGGGGTGGTGCTGCTGTGAGACCCAGCAAACTATTACGCAGATCAGCTAGTTTGTTTTTATCTGGCGCCGCGCGACCAAGCTTAACGACCTAACTGGTGCCTGGCGCGTTGTTCCGAGTGCTTCCCCGCCACCTAATTATTGCACCTGACACCACAATCACCGCTGTTATAAAGCGCACATCGTGGATGTTGGAGTTGAAAAAACCTGATGCCGATGACTCTGGGGAGGGAGCCGGTATTTTTCCTTGTTGACGCTCCCGTTATACGTCCACTCTCCACCTCTTTCGCCCTTGCATATACGTACCCTGCGAAATGCCGATAAGCCGACTCCTCAGCTACGCCCCTTATAAGAGCCTTACCCGGTGTCGATGAGCGTTCCCACGTCGGTTAAAGATGTCTGCGTCGAAGATGGAATGTTGCTGTGGAAGGGCTGACTGCGCGTATCTGGAACACAATTCAGCTGCTTTGGCTGTCCTGGAACGAGATGTGGAAACTGCTGCGCGACTTGGTCAGGTATGCATGCATAAGCCGGGTTGGTCGTGTTGGACGAATCAGTTTCCAACCACTCATATATCTTTACCGCTACTCGTCTGAATATTAAGCTGTAGCTCTATCCCTGCTAATACTTTTATATTGGAATCCGTTTATAGGCCCTACTTGACCGTCATGAGTCCTTCAAACTCGAATCAAAGAGCGATCGGGACCGGATGACCGTGGAGATGGAGAAGCTGGAACTGCGGAAGAAGGAAGTCGAAACTGAAAATGCACGAATAGTGGAAGAAAACCGTGGCCTACTCGATCAGCTGGAGAAGTTGAATCAACTCCTCACAGAATCAGATGCACAAGTTAGGACCTTGACCACCACCCTGCAAAGTACACAGCTGGAGGTTAGACGGTTGTCGTCTTCCACCAAGCGTGTGGAACAGCTAGAGGAACAACTACTTCAACTAGAGAATGAACAGGCACAGCTGGAGGAAACCCTGCTTGTAACGCAGGAAAGCGAGAGTGCGGCCATTCAGCGATGGAGAAAGGCGGAATGCACTCTGGGGGACCTACATGACCAACTTGATCGAATCGAAAGGGAAGCACGGCAAGAACGCGAGAAACATGTTGAGATGATTGGGAGATTGGAACGAAGGAGATTGGTGGAGAGAGATTTGGATGCAGCTGCAGGTCGGATAAAGGGGGCCGCAGCTACTGCCTCACTATCACGTAGCGGAAATGGAACGAACGTGGTGTCCCATTTCGTGCGTGATATTCTGAAGGATAACGCAAACCTCCAACAATGTGTTACCGAGCTGAAAGAGATGCTTCATAACTCCAACGAGGACGTACGATATCTCCGTGATCAACTTCAACTTCACCAACCCCTCGCTCCCAGCTCTATAGAAGAATATGCCTACGGCAACCTTGTTCCTCTCAGCGAAGAGCTCGAAGACAAAGCGCCGGAACAGGTGCCTCAGGAAATCCATGTGCATCATCATTTCCATAACCCAATATCGACACCACCGAGGAGAGAGAAACAGATCCCTATACATCGACGTCAAAAGAAAAGACGGCCAGTTCTACCTCCGACTCTTCATGAGATCTCTCCAAGGGCGCTGTCAATGACGCAGTCCATGCATCGACCCACCAACTCGACGTCTTCAGTCTCTAGTACCTTCTCACAGGCTTCAACTTCACTACCACATCACGGAGTGACGTCAGCCCTATCCTCCATCCCCAGTTCCCCGCTTTCAGGGTATAGAACATCATCCATATTTGACCGGCATGATTCTGGCTTTGATTCGTCTCGACCTACCAGCCCGGAGAGTGTGGTCTTCTCACCCCCACGATACAAACCAAGCCACCGCCCGAAACTTTCTGATGCCTCATTTCGTTCTATTTACGAAACTGATGAGTACGAGAGGAGCGAAACTCGTACGTTAGCGATTGAAGGAATTACCGATCCTCAGCCAGAAACGGAAAACTCTCAACCATCTGAATATAACAGCACAAACAACAGCCCCGTCGAAGAATTGCCGGACTCACAGCAGAAAAATGAAGACCCCAAACCGCAAGAATGTGACGACACGGACAACGGTCCTATTGAGAAGACGGCAGAAAATTCCAACGTATCTAACCAGTCGCACAAAGATACAGTGGAACCCCACCTTGATCCCCCAATTCATCTTTCGTCAACACCTACCCATCGAATACGGCGTTCTGATTCCCACGAAAGTCTCATTTCTGTCTCCGGCATGGATATACATACGTCAAGTAAACCTCCCAGCTTGGCGTTAATGTCTGCCCCAAGGTTTTTTCCAAGAACTCCAAAGCGTGTATCATATACTGGTACAATATTCCCTTCCCCCGCCCCGGTTATCTCGAAGACGAACGCGATTGTGACTAAAGCGTCCTTGACCGGTGACCAAACGTCGATTTCCTTGCTTTCTTCCGTTGTGTCTACAAGTACCAGAAACCTCCGAATCGTCTCGGATAGTGCCGTTCAAACTCAGAGCGATACGGCATCTACCATTTCAGCATCATCAGAGCCCACGTTACCTTCCAAGGCCGGAGTACCTATCCGAGGTGTCGGTATTGGGAAGCGTATGGGTGGCTGGGTACGGGATAAGTGGTCCACAAACGCAGCTGATGAGGTGGGTGGATATCCATCCTCACTTCCTGCGGGATCGTTTATGGCAAGACCACCGGGCGTCAATCAGATTGGCCCAATACTTGGATTACGCCCTCCTCCACCAGCACCAGTATCACTCCACCCAGAAAATCTGAACCAAGATCTACTACAAGAGTCTCTACTCGAATAATGGGAACTGGTTTCCCCTACTTTCGAACGACCTTCTCTACCTCTTTTTTAATAATATTAACATACCACAGCCGACCACCGCTCCAGCTAATACATAAGTCACCTTTCTTCCCATCATCGCAACCGGAGTCATCTGTTTTCATCTCATTTGATCATATACTGCTCGTCCTAGACTTTTCATTTGTCGCATAATGATACCCCGGAGTCTTGCAATCGTTTAGTCTGTCGTTTAATAACTTTTTAGCATCTTGTTCATAATTTATGCGCCGGTGATGGTGTGGCCTGTCGGATATGTATATATAACTCTGCATAGCGGTATCTACCTTGTTAATCTTACTCTCAATATATGTATTGATTCTGTTAAATTCCAAGTCGAGAAATATGAGATGATGACAAAACAAAGACTGATGAGTAATAACCTTATTTAGACGCTGCCTGGCCCCTGCGTCCGCGTCGGAGTGGAGCCCCGCGGAAGGAACGTCAACTCTTGCTTGCTTAGATGTGCGCAGTCCATCCCACTCTCCAATTCCTGACTTGTTTCGCAGTAAACACTCGAGGAAAGCCGGTTTTCTCTAACGAATATCTCGCGTAGTCTCAGAGTACGCAGGTTTTTGGTCTATCACAGAAGTCGGTTGTCGTGTGGCCTATGACGTAACCATTGCTGTGATGCACATATATTCACCGATTATATCTTCTGCAGCCTTTATATAATATAATATTACCTACCGGCTACCATGTTGTCAAAAGAGCCAGACTCTATGCGCCAGGATGCTGGCGGAGATGCACCTATGCGCCAAGTGGAGTTATCGCCAAACGACCGTTTCTTCCGATACTTCCAAGAGGAAGTAGCTAGTATGTTACTCTCAAGTTCACGACATATATTCTTTTCCAGTCTCTCACTAACCGCCAATTCTAAATCATGTAGATTTGGAGGAGAAAATAGGCCAGCTCCCGACAATTCCTGTGGCTGGAGGTGTCGATGCAGCCGACTATTGCCTGGCTGATATTTCACGCTTATCAAATGAGGTTAAAGATGCATCGTCGTATATCCCAAGCTATGACCAGCGGGTATATTCAGAGGTAGGTCATATAACCTTACCAATGTCATTTTAAGGAGCTCGCTTCGCGATCCTCAAGCTAACAACTGGAATAGTCCATCAAAGCCCTTCAAGAAAAACTCGCAGAGACAAAAGCTGCTATAGCACCACGCAAGAAATTCGCATTCAAGAGGGCTCGTCAACCTACGCCTGTAAGGGCCTCACCTGCCGCGGAACCAGTTCCTCCTCAACTCTCCCAATCTCCCGCGTTAAGTAACCCCGACACGACAATGGGAGGAACTCAAACACCATCCAACGGCCCACCCGTCGTCTCCTTCAATAACATCAGTAACTCACATGTTGCAATTCCCGAATCAGCCCCCCTTGAAAATTCCTCTGCTGTAGCCTCCGACATCACCCATTGCGTTCTAGACCTGTCATCTCCCCCCGAAACAGGCAGATCGTTCGCCAACTTCACAATCAAAAATGTTACAGACAGTCTATTGATTTGCGGAAAAGTAGATGGCGCCGCACATATTACTGGAATCAAAGATTCGGCGCTAGTGGTATCCTGCCAACAGTTTAGGATGCACGATTGTACTAATGTTGTAGTCTACTTGAGCTGCGCAAGTAATCCGATTATCGAGGATTGTCAAGATATTCGGTTCAGTGCACTTCCAGACTCTTATGTGAGTTCGCCTACTCTAGTCAGTGTATCTGTTACCCCATTCGCTGGTTTGGTGCAATACTGACTTTTCAACGTATGGCAGGCGGCTCAAAATGGTAAGCGGACAGATATGTGGTCTCATGTGGAAGACTTTAAATGGCTCAAGGCCGAACAGAGTCCCAACTGGAAGATTTTGGAAGCGGGTGAGGCTGTGCCGGAGGCAGTTTGGGAGACTCTATCGACTAAGAAGCATGAGTGGTCGCTGGATGAAATTTTGAAAGCGACGAAGCTGCTGATGCCTAAGTTTGAGCATTTTTTTGCGCAAGGACTGGAGTCCTTGGGTTAATGAAGGTGATTATTTCGGGAGTTACTGTCAGGCATTCATCGGTGTATGGGTGGAGTGGGATGTAGATGGGAATTGGAATTGGAATTGGTCATATTGGGTTTTCCTAGAGATATATGTCTATCGCTAATGGGTACAAGAAATGCACTGAAGCAGGGTAACCGAATAAACGAGCTTAAATGAAAAAAAAAAAGCCGTAAATCAAATCAAATCGCTTTCCGCCCCGGTCGTAAATCAACAGTCTCAAACTCCAACCCTTTAGCCTCAAATACATGCCCCGGCCGCAACGCATCGGTATATATATTACTCTCATCATGCGGATGGAACAAGCCAGGCTTAGTACAGTTCAACACAGACTTCAAGCCAGGCGGATCCGTAAGTCTAAAAACCCCCCAACTCGGCTCATGGCTAGGCGCACATACTATCGCAATACTCTCCGATAACATCACCTGATATCCCGACTGAGTATGTAAATCTCTCGAGCTCATGAAACACGTCTGGCTAGGATGGGTATGTATCCAGCCTAGAACCATCAGGTCTTCTGATTCGCAGTATTCGAAGATGGCAGCTTCATTGACCATTTCGCATGTATCGGGGGTAGATTCTTGTTCGGGGATGATGAGTTTTGATATGAAGAAGGCGTTTGATATAAGGGTTCCGGCTAAGATGCCGCATGTTTCTAGGTTGGTGCGGGTATTGGGGGAGGCGATGGCGAGGAATTGGCTGCGGAGGTCGGGGGAGATGAAGATTGTTCGGAGCGGGGTGCCGTTTTCGAGGTATGAGGAGGGTTTGAAGGTGAATGTTGATGGGTGGAGGTCTTCGTTGTTTACTGTGGTTGTGGTTGTGTGTGTGTGTGTGGGTGTGGGTGGGGATGTGATTGTGTGTGTGCGTGTGCGTGTCGGTGTTGGTATTGGGGAGGGAGTTGCTGAGCCTGGTCTGGGAGGGAGAGGAGGGACTTTGCTTGGTAACGGTGGGAGGAAAAAGGAGCTCGTTGCTGTTACGTCTCTGCTGAGGGTAAGGCTGGGACTGGGACTGTGGCGGCGAGGATCGGCGATTTTAGCAGGTATGTTTGGCGCTTTGCCTGGAACCGGTGGTGGCGGAGGTGCTTCTTCTTCTCTGGGAGGTGGGTGGGTATATTGGCTCTGCCTTGGTATAGATGGGTATCTGTATCCTGATAAATGCTGTTCAATGGGCATGAGAGTAGGCGATCTAGTTGTTTTGCCGGCCTGTTTCGGTTTCGAACTCGATACCGATGTCGACGTCGTCAATGTAGATGTAGACTGCCCTGTCTGACCACCGCCCAACATCGATCTCACGTCCTGCAACCTCCTGGCCAACACGTCCCCGTCGGGCCTACTGCTAACACCACTCGCCTCTGAGCTAGCATACGACGTCCCGCCCGATCCACGCGCAAACGCTCTCCGCCTAAACTCGCTCTGAGCAAGCCGTACAGCGAAATCCCTATTATCCGCCGCCTGCAACGGTTCTGGCCGTCCTGCAAGCGCGGGATCTTGCACAGTCGTAGCACTTTGAATGGTAGCATCTATATCAGGGAATGTACCGATCTCCGTCAACGGCCCCGTCGAGTCTCGACGAAGCTGCAGTTCCAGATATCGATCATACAGCTTACGCAGACGAGGTTTCAGCACCTCTAGCTTGTTCAGGGAGGCCTGCACCTCTTTCTTTGCAGCTGCCAGCCCATGTTTGTTCTTTGGGTCGCTCGCATCCGGGTGGGCGGTCAGGTTGATGAGGACCAGCTGGGCGTGTCTGAAGAGTAGGAGGTATGCTTGCTGGTCATTCCCTTCCTGTTCGTAGATGCGTGCCTACACGATGTTAGATATAGACTAACTGAACATGAACAAGTAATGGTCTACCTCTTTGACTAGCAGGCTGGCGGACCGGAGCCAGTACCGAAGAGGCACCTGCGGGTCATACTCATATTGACCAGCCTGGCGAGCTATCTGCTCGACCGTCAGAGGAGGCAGCATCGAAGGGCGAGTCACTGTCTGCCGGCTCAGGGTGTTATATAAAGCAAGACGATGCCTGGTATATCGATATCTGGTCAAGTCGTCATCGGTGGGGTAGTGTAGAGTAGTTGGTTCAGCTGTTCAGCCGGTCCTGTAGTAGAGTACACTGTAATTGCTGTACACGGAGCGGGTGGTGTAGATGCTGGGACCCATGCCGTACTTGTGCTGTCCTGGAAACAGGGTCTGCGGTCTGCCAGCGAGCATCGTGTGCTTCTTATACAAGCTGCTGGAATCTTGAAGCCTTTCGCGGTCACTTTTCAGAGCTCCGGGAAGTAAAAGCGGCGACACAATGGATGGTGTGCTTATGTAAGACTTTACAGCGGCAACACTTTACTACCGTTTGGGAAGACGAGACGACGATGAAGAGAAGAAGAGAAGAAGAAGACGAAGAAGAAGAGGAGAAGAAGACGGCAAGGATGTGAGGATATTACTACAGGGACAAGGGCCACGGAGCGAATACGACTGGCGCATCGACGGATCGATCTCATCTTCCTACTCCTTACACTCCTCCAGCTCTACTCTTTCATACGGAGTGCAAGATATCTTCGATCGACACGGCTAGCATGTAAGTCATCCAGACGATCACGCACAACCATCCATCCGCACAGTTCCATCTTTTACCTACCTACGAGCAACTGTGTCTACCTTGCCGAAATATATCCGTGAGGTGCCTCGCTTGGAACCACCAACGGAAGAGCGAGTAGTGCAGCCAATGAGCAGTGCGCAAAAGGGAAATTATTAATAAGAAAGGATAAAAAGGATAAAAATGAAAAAAAGAAATAAAAAAGAAAGTGAAAAAAATTGAAATATAGGGAAGAAGCTAAAAACACGTTGCGCGCGATGTCAGTGGCGAGGCGAGACGAGGAAAAGGGCCGGACGGCAGGAGATAGGGTTGGCCGTTAGCTGATGCCATGGTAGACATGCTAGACGTGCTGATAGATGATGGTAGATGATGGATGGTGGATGATAGGTGGTAGACGGAGATATGTTCATGGTGGTGACAGGCATGGTCTATAGAAGATCAACAAGGACATGGAATGGGGCCAGGGTCGGCCGTGACCAGGGCACCAAGAGCATAACACAGTCGTAATCCGTAGACAGTCGAAGAGGTCGTAGATAGTTGATAATAGAAGGGATGAAGAGTTGAAGGATGGAGGAAGGTTGGCGATCAGCGAACTCTGAATAATCCTGACATCCACATCCTCGTCCTTGGTTTAACGTCGCACCGGTACCTGTTCGGACACTCGTAGTATAGAGGGTAGGGATGAGGGAGGGAGAGGGAGAGGAAGCAGGCGGCTAGTAGTAGTAGGTAGTAGAAGTAGGCTGGCGTGCAGGGAGTAAGAGTGAGAGATGGCCGGGAACTGCGTAGAGGACGAGATGCTCGTTTGGTAGACGCCTTATTAACTTTGCACCGTCATCTCTTCTTCTCTTCTCTTTCTCTCTTCCTTTTCTTCTTCTTCCTCCTCTCTACTCTCTTACTCTCTCTCTCTTACTCTCTTAGTCTTCCTCTCTTAGTCTTCCTCTCGTATACCTGTAAGTGTCCGCCTGCAAACGAGTCCATATCTACCTGATACACCTACGCACCCCTACTCGTCACCTCCATATAAGCTAGTTATCCATATATGTCTATCCCTTCTACCAACTCTACTGCACTCAGTTATGTTTGACCTTGAACAACCCTGAACCTGAACTGGACTGAACCTGAAGCATCTTCCATCTCATCCCCGGCCGGACCTGCAGCCACAAAGAACTTCCTACACTATTCCCTACTCCCGTCCACTCTGCCCTTCTTCCTCCCCGTCCCGTCGTCTCTCCCCACGCTCGGCCTGCACTGTGCTACTACTTGGCGTCTCCTTCTTCCTAACCTTCTTCCTGACCTTCTCTCTTCTCTCTCTGTCCTCTCTCTCTCTCTTCTTTCTTCCTCTCTATCTTACTTCTTCCTCCCACGTCTTGCCCACCCGCGCTAGTGCCGCTAAGTACTTTATTTTTCCAGACCCAAAGACAGGACCAGAGGACAGGGCCTAAGCCAACCACCCACGCCCAACCGGCATCACCACTATCTCTACGCTCCTCTACGCCCTCTCCGTCCCAATTCCTTGTACAGGGGCTGTCCGTCTGTCTGTGAATGCATCACGACCCGCAGCCATAGCCAGGTTGCGCCTGAGGCTGCTCCCTCGCTCCCCGTCACGCGCGCTGCTTCTCTCTCTCGCACATGGCGGCTGCTCAGGACGAGGACGGACGAGATACCGCCAGCACCAACACGCCTTCCACCCGGGACCAGGACCAGGACAGGTCGGCCATGGCGTCTGACAAGAGTCCTGCAAAGGAGACGGCCAGGGAGTCCAAAGATGCAGCTCCAGCTCCGGCTACAGCTACGGCCACAGCTACGGCCACAGAGTCGACCGCTCCCTCAGACACCGCGTCGAATTCGGCCTCCACGCCTGCTCCGTACAGCACCAGATCGCGAAACCGCGTGGGTGCCCGGATCAACTACGCCGAAGACAACAACGAGCTCGACGCGGAGCTCGACCAGCCCATGCCCACGCCCGCTGCCAGTAGCAGTGCTGCCGCCACCACCACGCACACCAAGGGCACGCCCGGACGGAAACCCAAGGACCACTCGGCCCAGAACAACAACCGCATCTCCTCTCCGGCCTCCAACAGCGAGCGGACGGCCGGAGTCAGCACGCGCAGGGCCAATGCTGCTGCCGCTGCCGCCGCCGTGAACGGTACTGCCTCGACCAAGGACGCCGGTATCCCTGGCACCTCGAGTTTTTCAGCAAACCCTAACTCGGTCGTTGTCTCTAAGAAGAGGAAGCAGCCCGGTGCCAGTACGACGGTGCAGAATGTTGTTCCCGCCAACGGGACGGGTGCGGTGGGTAAACGGTTTATTGCGGCTGGTTCGCGCAATTCGGAGGAGGCAGCTGCTACTTCGATGATGACGTTTAGGAATTCAAAGGCCATGCTGAAGAATGGGAAGCTAAAGGCTGACGATGGCACTCTCTTGGCCCCGAACGGTACGTCTCTCCTTATTATATTTATTGATTGCCCTTTAAGTATGTTTGTTGAACTAACGATATGTAGACCACGTATATCTCATCTGCGAACCACCGGGTGAACCGTACTATCTCGCGCGAATAATGGAGTTTCTCCCGTCAAAGGACAACCCTTCCGGCCCCATCGAGAGCGTCAGAGTGAACTGGTACTACCGACCGCGCGACATTCAGCGCAAAACCAACGATCTGCGTGTCGTCATCGCCTCCATGCACTCGGACGCCTGCCCACTTACGTCCTTGCGTGGTAAATGCACGATAAAGCACAAGACCGAAATCGCGAACTGGGATCAGTACATGAAGGCCAAGGACTGCTTCTGGTTCGAGCGCATGTATGATCGGTATATACATCGCTATTACGATGTGATTCCCACCAGTCGCGTGATCAATGTACCCCAACATGTCAAGGAGGTGTTGGACGAGCGGTGGAAGTACGTGCTGGTCGAGATCGGGAGGAGAAAGGAGCTGACGAGCGCCGTCAAGACGTGCAAGAAGTGTAGCCAGTATGCTGCAAAGTAAGGGACACCACGAACATCTACTATTCGTATGTATCAAAGCTGACCATCTTCTAGTAATAACTCTGTGGATTGCGCCGTTTGCCAAAATACATACCACATGCACTGTGTTCGGCCAGTGTTGCAGAAGAAACCCGCCAGAGGGTTCGCGTGGGCCTGTGGTCCGTGTAGCAGGGCACAGGAGAAGAAGCTAGAAGCTCGAAATACCCCGATGATGGGCGAAGCGCGCAACGACACCGAGCCGGAAATCATCGAAGAAGACGAAGAGGAACACCCGGCCGAAACAGCAGCTACTCAACGAAGTAGTCCGTCAAATGTCGAACATACCATCAAACCAGCCACCACAGAGCAAATAGCTCAAGCGAAGTTATGGCAGTTCCGATATCTGGGTATCCACTGTCGTGTTGAGGATGCGCTCGACTACGATGATCGGATATATCCGCGCGCCAGCTCACGGTTGGGCACGAGACATCAAGCGAACGTCGTGCCATGGTACGGACACCCGGTCGAATATTTCAAGCCCGCAGAGACGAAGCGGAAATACATGAGATCTGGACCGAAGAAGGAAGTCAAGTTGTCCAAGGAAGCACTGGCGGCGCAAGAAGCGGAGCGTGCTGAACGTGCACTGCGTCCGAAGTGGATACAGGAGGCGCCACCAGGTTACATACCGCGCGGAGAAGACGAGGCTATAACCGTTGACGGCAAGAAGTTTCATACAGCTGAGTTGCAGTTCAAGATGCCTGATGCGTCGCAGTTGCCGGCGAGGGGAGAAGACGATGCGCCCGGCTCGCATCTGAGCGTTGAAGATAGAGAGAAGTTTATCGACGAGTATATGGTCAAGGCGAAGGAGGTTGCAGTCGCAAAGGGGATTGCAGAATACTCGACCAATTATCTCGATAAGGCACTTGCTCTTCTTTACGAGGAGAATTTCAACGTCGACACTGCTCTTGTGCGATTGAAGGCTGTGCATAAATATAACGATCTGAAGGAACCGCATCTCAAGCCTGAAGAGGTGAAGCTGTTTGAAGCCGGCGTGGCGAAGTATGGCTCTGAGCTGAGAAATATTACCAAGCACGTCGGAACGGTTAAACATCGCCATATCGTTCGATTCTACTATATGTGGAAGAAGACGCCCAAGGGTCGACAGATATGGGGCAACTACGAGGATAGAAAGGGAAAGAAACTCGCCAAGAAGGCCGATAGTGCAGCGAAACTACTCGATGACGTTGCTGATGACTATGATGATTCTGCATTCGATAACGACAAGGCAATGGAGAAGCGGAGAGGGTTTACCTGCAAGTTCTGCAATACTAGGTCTTCGAAGCGGTGGAGACGAGCACCGGCTGTTCCGCCGGGTTTCACAATTCCTACAGAACAGTCTGGTAAGCGTGAGAAGGGCGGTAGACTTACTGTTTCGCTATGTCAGCGTTGCGCGGTGTTGTGGAGGAAATACGGAATTCACTGGGAAGACCCCGACGAGATCGCGAAGAGGATTTCCCAGGGAGGCAATAAATCGTGGCGTCGAAAGTATGACGAGGGACTTCTTTCGCAGCTTCTTACGACGTCTGAGTCGGATGTTAGGATTAATCAGACGACGGCGACTATAGCGACTTCGATCGGTGTACATGTCACCACCGAGGTGGCTAGGGATACCAACCCTGCCGAACCAGTGAAGAAGAAGACGAAGATGGCCGAGAAAGAAGCAATCGCCGCCAACACCGTCATGTCTGATGCGCCGCCTCCACCACCGCCGCCAAAGAAGAAGGTCGTTGAGAAAGTGGTGGAGGCTCCTCCGCCCTTGATACCGGAACCGCCTAGACCGAAGGTTCTGCCTTGTGCCGTGTGTAAGAAGATGGAACCAACGGGCGACCAGCACCTGTCGTGTAGGGATTGCCGATTGACCGTCCACAGAGGCTGTTATGGAATCGACGCTTCTCGAAGTGCAGCGAAATGGATCTGCGACATGTGTGCCAACGATAGAAACCCGACCGTCTCAACGTCCTATGAATGCGTTCTATGTCCCATCACCGAAACAGAGCACGAACTCATGGAACCGCCTAAAATCTCACATAAGAAGAAATCCGACCGTGAGCGCGAAAAGGAACGTCTGGAGAAAGAAATGGTCAACGAAGCTATCAAGCTTTACCGCCAACGACAAGAGGCTGCAGGTAAACCCGTTGGACCTAGGGAACCGCTCAAACGCACAGCAGGGAATAACTGGGTACATGTAACTTGCGCGATATGGGTTCCAGAAATCAAATTTGGAAACGCCAAAGAGTTCGAGCCTGCCGAAGGCATCGAGTCGATTTCGCAGGAGAGTTATAAAGAGCGCTGCAAGATTTGCAAGACGGATAACGGTGCTTGTGTCTCTTGTCGTGCGACGACGTGCAATGCTCGATTCCACGTTGGATGTGCCCATCAGGCGAACTATACGATGGGATTCGACGTGACGCCGATTAAGAGTAGTAGGAAAGATGTCGTTGCTACCGCGACGCTAGGCGAGGAGACGGGCGTTGTTGCGCCAGCCATCTGGTGTCCGCATCATAGCGTTCCGACCATTGTTCATGATATGAGCGAGGTGACGGGTACCGCTGATGATAACGCGCTGCAGATCTATGCTCGGACATTCAAACAGGCTGATCTTACGCTTACGGGCACCGCGAGGAAAGCAGCTTATGTTCAGCAGTCGTCGCCGACGGGTGCTGGTAAGCGAGCTGCTACGAATGGCGCCGCGCCGGCAGGCCAGGGACATAAGGAGGAGGTCAATGGTGATCAGAACGTCACTGCCCAGGGCAAAGAAGAGGTTTCTAAGAAATGCTTTAGATGTCAATCTATCGCTAGTCCGAAGTGGTGGCGTTGTGGACAGCAGCAGATGGTTAATGGTCTGGGACATGTAGACCTGATGAGACGACCGTCTGTTCCTGGCTCCTTACATCATGGCAATGATATCATCATGGGAATGAATGGTGATGGGCCGGATCACGCTGTGTATGAATGCCACAAGTGCCATCTCAAGAAGCATCATACTCCGCCAGCACTCACGCCTGCAATTGCACCGATTTCGGCTCTAGATCCTACCCGCCCGCCAGTACCTTATGGTCCAGACCGTGATCGTGATATGAGCGTTCAACCAGCTCGTCTGCCAGAATTCCCTCGTAATGGATTCGCATCGTCTCCTCGCGCAGGGCCCGTTCCATCCCATGGTGTCGTTGGTGCGCAGATACCGCCCCTTGCACCCCTATCACATCCCCATGGCGCTCCAGAATGGCGACCAGAATACGACCAGCGACCAACCGACTATGGCAACCCATTACATCGAAAGGGCATCTCTCCTGCCCCCAACGGTGTCCAGCTTGGTCCTCCACCGCCGCCCTTCCACAATGCACACCAGGGCCCTCCTCCGCCCGCACGAATGAACGGATACCCTCCCGCCCTACCTCATCCGCATCCGCATCAACATCCACCTGCCTTCCCCAACGGCGGGCCTCCACCACCTTCCCTACCACCACCGCATCAAGCCTACCCGCACCAAGGCCATTACGGACCCATGGCACCACATCCAGCCAGCCAGAACAACCCCTCTCCACACCCCAACCATCCATACTCAGGCAGCACTACGCCAGGCATGCACTTCTCCCCTCCTCCATCTCGAACATCCTTACCAGGCCCTCCACCACCTCCACGTATGTTCTCAGTAGACCGCACAGCACCGCCTAACCTCCCATCACCCTCAGCGTCTCGAAGAAGCCTAGACCCTCAACGTCCTCAGCCAAATATGGCACCAGAGCATGTACAAGGACCGGCCGATAACCCATCCACATCCCGCCCAAGGTCAGAGAGCATGGGACGACAGAACTCCCTCGGCGGACCACCGCCATCTGCGCCACCGCCGTCCGGCTCAGCCGCCAGCGCCAGCCCATCACTGAAGAATTTACTTCTCTAACCACCCAACCAGCAGCCACAATTTTACTTCCCATCTTAGCAGCTCAAGGAGTCAACGTTGATGCGTCATCTTACCTTTCATTTCCCACTATATCTTTTGCTTTTTATCTCTTAACTTCATCATACCATATCATATCATACCATACCATATCACGCTTTCTCAAGCGTACGTACCAGGCGGCACTGTTTTCTGTTGTATTTTTTTCTCCCCACCATCCATCCATCCCCCCTTCAGTTCAGCTGCATTCATCTGTGATAGTATACGAAAGTCTTACGGCGTTTTTTTGTTATTCCTTTATGTACCGATCTCGAGTCCCCTTTCATCTCTCTTAGTGAGCTATATTGCTAACGGGGTTCCGGCTCTGGCGAAACTGGATAATGGGTTAATATGGGTTCCAAAAAAATATTCATAGACCTCCCTTTTTTTTTCTTTATTTTCTTTTTAGAAACCTGCAACGAATATTAAGGCTGATTGGAGGGAAATATCTTCTTTCTTCGTTTTTTTGCTGGTTTAGTGGTGCTCTCGTGGTCGTCTCTTTTCTTCGCTAGTGGGCTCTCCTTGGTGACTAGCTGGGGAAATGCTGATAGTGAAGATGAGGGACTCCGAGAGTATTAAAAAGAATATATCTAATGTTATTAATATGTCTATCGTAATGAATTAGTTCTATCTCCTGCCTTTGATATACTATGGTTGGGAAGCTCTGGTATATGCTAAGGATACTCTGCCTTGGCATTGCTGGGCTTGCTAACCTCCACCGCATTCTAGGCATACGTCTTAGATGCTGAACACTGCACCTCGCAAGAACATACTGTTCCCCGGAGAGAAGGATATCAATTAACCAGACCGGTAAGTAGGTGAGGCTGCATTCTATAGCTATCGGAGATTTTGTTAGCTGATAACTGCAAAGAACCATAGTATCGCCGTTCCTATCCAACTACGTGTTTATATAGCGGACTCCATTATCGACGGCATTAAAGCTCATTCGCAAGGAGATATTGAATTAATACCGTCAATACTGGTATTGCGAAATAATCTGGCTATAACTCCGGACTGGAAGCGATGGTCGTATAATAGCGCGACCGATGGGCCCTACGATTGAAGGGAGCGATGATGAACCACGAGACGACGAGCTGGACTTGCTGGAGACCGGCGCGGATATTGATGCCGACGCTGATGCCGACGCTGATATAGACGAGGAGGATGAAGAGGGACTCGTTAATGCGGGTGACAATGGTGGTGTCGGCGACCTCGAAGACCAGGCGGGCAACGAGGAATATCCTGAGGACCAAATGCTAGATGACGACCATGTTTCTCTCTCTAGTAGTCGGGACCCGTCTGCGGTGGGATTATCAGGGTCAATATCTGATCATAACGGAGCAAGCTCTCCGCAGCGGTCTCATGGTCGAACGCACGATAGCATTGATGATTTGGGATCTATACCGGATGATTCTCCCTCGGTCCAGGTACGTCTTGCCTCTTATTGATGCTAGCTCAGCTTTATGACCAAATATCTAATAGCCAATGTGCGAAATAGGGCTCCCTTCTCTCCTCTCCTGGCAGCAGCGCATTTGCCCATCGCGGATCAACTTCGAACCTCAGTCCAACCCCCCATCGGCCGTTCGATCGCCGATTCCAATCTCGTCTCTCAGTCTCGTCAATCCCTCCCAGCGCAAGACCGGTGTCCCCGGCCCTAAGTCTTGCACATTCTCGAAATTCGTCTCTTGCTAGCCATCTTCGATTTGACACCAGTACGCCGGATTTACCTGAGGAATCCGAACCAGCGCCGTGGGAGGTAGTTCGATGGACAAAGCTTAAGAGGATAGCTGGCCAGGTGTTTTCGGAAGTCGGAAAGCGGAACTTTGGCCGTCCAACGTGTACGGCTGTGTCTACGTCAATTGTGCTAGGAACGACCAAGGGAGTTATCCTTGTCTTTGATTATCAGCAGAACCTCAAGGCTATCATTGGGCCTGGCACAAAAGGTGGGTTCTATAGACATACCCTTTTTTTTTCTTGATGTCGATATTCTAACTGATTATTAGCTGTTTCATCGGGTCCTGTTACTTCGCTGGCTATATCTGCAGACCACTCAACTTTAGCGGGTGGTCATGCTGATGGAACGATCTTTACTTGGGAAATTGCGCGACCAGCGCGGCCGTTCCTTCATATCCTACCTATACCCAAAGACCACCTTGACTCCCGCCGGACTGATGGTCATGTTGCAGGTGTATCTATCATTCATATCGGGTTTCTAGGGATTAGGCATACCGCTCTTGTCTCAGCTGATGACAGTGGCATGGCATTTTCACACCTTGCGACTAGAGGGATGGGAGCCGTCGGACGAGTTGTGAGAACTACCCGTATACTAGGTCGCTATCCTGATTATGCCCCGACTGCTCCGCCTCGAAAACCCAGCTCAGTGCTTGCCTTTTCTCCGCTCCCTTTGGGCAACGTTGAGCAGCCAACCGACCCGCTGGGTTTAGTTGCAATGCTCACGCCATATCTGTTGGTGATCGTTTCCACCACTCCCGTTGCTCGAACTCAATATAAATCAGGGCGGCCCAAAGAACTCGCTGCTCATAGTGCACTGACAGCAACACTGGCATGGTTCCCAGCTATAAAGCTAAAAGGGAAAAATTCCGAAACATCCAAGACAAAACTTGTATACTGCTGGTCAAATGTCCTCACAATTCTAGACGTTAACGACATCAGGCGAGTGGATGCTGACGATAAGGAGAGACCTATCAGTCTCCAGTTCAAGCCACGGTGCCGGTGGCGGGCAGACGAGGCTATTGTTGCCGTGCAGTGGATAAGCCGTTCCGTTCTTGCTGTAATGACAATTACTCAACAGCTTCTTATCCTAGAGGATAACTCTCTACGAGTGACTGATTCATCCGACTTAATACATAAACATATTTATCACGCTGACCTTTTCTCGAGGCAACTTCACTCACTTGTTGAACAACTGGACGACGATGACGATGACAGCGAACCGGACCAGTCGATGCATGGTGTCATTGCTGATGCATTCTACATGAGCTTCCGCGCGTATAAGGGGCGCCTATTTCTACTGGGATTCAACGATATTTGCGTGGGTAGCTTATCGAACTGGGCTGACCGACTACTTGCCTTAGTCGAAAGTGGTGATTTCATTGGAGCCATTCGCCTTGCTACATCATTCTATATTGGTCATTCTGAGAAATTAACGGTCGGGCTTCCAGAGGAAGACGATCTAAGGCACCAGGTCGTGCAGGAAAAGCTACTTGAGATGATGTCAGCTTCCCTCAGATTTGCGTTTGGAAAAAATGCGGAGTCGGGTATTGAGCGGCTTCAAAAGTCACAACTAAGCGAACTGGCGGATGCATGTATATTCGCCTGCGATGCCATGGATAATCATGAGTTCTTGTTCGAAGATGTATATTCCTGGTATGAGGAATATGAAGCTGATGGCATTTTCATGGACGCTCTGGAGCCATATATTGTGAAGGGCAGTGTGCGGGCTCTCCCACCAACGGCCGTCAAGTCCTTAATAACTCACTTCGTAACGACCCATACTGCGAGCCGACTTGAAGAAATCATCTGCCTCCTCGAAACGGATACGATGGACATAGACCAAGTGACCACTCTATGTAAAAAGCACAATCTTTATGATGCTTTCATCTACGTCTGGAACCGTGCTTTACACGACTATATCAGCCCCCTCCAGGAACTGCTCAACCTGGTTACCAAGCATGGAACACAGGCTGATAGCGCTGATAAAGACTCAGACCTCATCGCGAAAGACCATGCCAACGCAATGAAGATGTTTCCATACCTCTCCTATATTCTTACCTCTCGCATATACCCAACAGGAGATGAACTCGAAGAACACGAAGCTTTACCCGCGAAAAGTGAGCTCTACAAACTGTTGTTTTCAGGGAAGGCCAATGGCGGTAATAGTCGATCAAATGGCTCAACCCCATTCCGGAGCCTCCAGACGATGTTAGAGTTCGACACACCCAGCTTTATGAGTATGTTGAACGAGGCTTTCGAGGATAGTTTCTTAAACGATCCAGTCGACCAATGGAGCAATGGAGAACAAGCCAAATCTGCCGATGGTTCTTCAATGAATCGCCAGTATCTATTACGAATTCTTCTTGAAGTTATGGATTCCAACTCGTCCAATTTCAGTCCTACTGATACCATCTACCTTGACATGTTCATCGCACGAAATCTCCCAAAATATCCCCAATACATTCTTCTTTCGGGCTCTACTCTACAGCAAGTCCTCGTCAGACTTTGCCAGTACCCGAGTGCTGAGATGCTGGATGATTGCCAACTCTCTGCTGAATACCTATTATCCACCTATCATCCTCCAGATATACAAGCTTTGATCCCTCTTCTTGAGGAGGCGAAATTTTTCCGGATACTAAAGTCAACATACAGAGCAGAAAAAAGGTACTCAGATTTGTTACGAACGTACCTAGCAGATCCAGAAGATCAACAACAGATCTTTGCCTGTATTCGTGACTATCTGCGGCCGACCTCACCCCTCAGCAAGAAACAGCGCCGTGCATTCATAAGCACGATGGAGGAGAACGCAAAAGAGTTGGCTTCTATAGATATTTCCGAGACAGCGCGTACTGTGCAGTCACTGGCTCCCGACCTACACAATAAATTTCTCCAGGCACTAGAATCTGATCTCGGAAGTCAGTATGAATACCTCCACACCATCCTTGAAGATGAGCGAAAAGCAGGGACGGATGCAATATCCACAAATAACACTGGCCACGAGCTTATTGAACGGTATCTCCAGTTGATGTGTCAATATAACCCATCACACGTTGCTGATTTTATTAACCTTATAAAAGTGGGCGACCTCCATCTGGAAACTGTGCTACCTTGTATTGAGAGTAGCGGGATCGTGGATGCCGCGGTAATCCTCCTCGCGAAACAAGGAGAAGTCACCAGTGCCATGGAGAGGTTAACCAAACACCTTGCGACATTGGACGCTGGGCTCTCCGGCCTTTTACAGAACGCAGACGAGACTCCTGATTCGGCTAATGCTGCCGAAGCAGTGACTGACCTGATCCTCTCGGTAGAGAAATACACTCGGGTTGGAACTTGGCTGTGCAAAGAACAGAGTAAAGTTGCAAGAAGAGTTCATCAGGGGGGCAAATTTAACAAACGAGGCAGCTCTGTTTTTGAGCAGCCTTTGACATACGATGAGAACTTGTGGCTTGTCGTTATCGAGGCTGTCGTGAAAATTGCTCAGCATATCTCACCATTATTGAAGCAGGGCCTTCTTGAAGATAATAACAAAGAGTCAAGGGAGGCATGGCAAGTGGAAGCTGACGAGGATAACGAGGACGTTAATCGGCCTGGCCATTTATCAGCCTCCTTCAAATCCCTAGTTCAACAAGTTTTCACCTCATTGCTAACCAGCACTACAAAGGCCAAGCATGCACCGCATGAGAAAACAGATGTTTCATTCCTCCGGATTCTTCGCGCATTCCTCACTCGCGCCGCCGCGGCGTCGCCGTCACTATCTGAGCTTCGAACGGTGATTGGTTCTATATTCTCTGCATACACGTATGAAGAATCTCTCTTATCCCTTGCCAACACAATGCTTGACAAAGACCTATTCGTACATGTGGATGAAATCACCAAGCTCCGACAAAAGGGTTGGCGGCCACGCGGACAGGTCTGCGAAGTATGCCGACGGCGTGCCTGGGGTCCTGGTACCGGAGCGCACATATGGGAAGCATGGGAGAATAAATGGGACCAACGGCGAAGGCGAAGGCAGAGTCAGCATTTTGATAGAGACGGAGATGGAAATGAGGATAGAGACGCCAGCAACACTACCTCAAGAAATAAAGGTAAAGGCGTCGCTGTACCTCCGCCACCCACCACAAGCCTTACTTCGCATGCACCTCCATTACAGTCACAGTCGGAGGCAGAGGCAGCGAACTCGGCTGTTTTAGACAGTGCCACTGGCAATGATGATACAAATTCCAACGGAGAAGGGCCCTCTCGCGCAATCAGCGAATCATCGAAGAATACACCTGGCTTTACTACAACCCCATCCACAGATTATGGGCCTATCGTCGTATTCGGCTGCAGGCATCTATATCACCAGTCCTGTCTTACTGAAGCTGTGGCGCAGAAAAACATTGGTGACAACACTTCTTCTCCTGCATCTCCCGAGTCGAAGTTCCATCCATCACATCATGCTTACGACCGAGCTGGGCCTCGACAATTTTCCTGTTTGTTGTGTATATAATGAATTCTAGCTAAATTATTTATTTTCCACCTACCACTACCCAACAATATATAGATCATGCCTAAGCATCATATACACTGATTTTTGTTGGACTGAATGGGGACATTCTTCGACTTAGCCTTATATGAAGGGTGTCTAGCATTGCATGTGTATGAACGTTTAAAAGGGTATCGTAGGGCTAAGTGCCATAGTAATTAAGCCAAACTATGTTCCTTTCTAGAAAAACTCCTCTCGATCCTGGAATGGCCATCCCCTTTTGATTTTCCCAAGCTCATCTGTGCTGCCGCCCTCGGAGAATTCCTCTATCAACGACTGGTTTCGTTTAACAGCATCATCATAGGCCTCTGTTCGAACCCATCCTTCTTCAGTGAGCCCACCAAGCTCCTCACGCCAATGACTGACGAGGGCATTCAGGTTGCACCACATTGGGTCGTCGTCCGTCTGCTTACGGATCTCATCTTCCGAGAAGCTAATAGGGCATCCACTTTGGCTGTCCTGCCCAGATGCATAAGACCAGGAATTGCACGTACTCATGAGGGCGCCACGTAGTGTCATAAGATTTCCAGCCCACTGCCTCCCTGCTGATTCCACAAGATGTTGGCGTAGTAAATAGAATGGATCTTGCATAGCTTTGAGATGCACCTTATTACGCCCTCCATTGAAAACACGATAGAGGTAGAAGAGGCTCTGACGTCGGAAAAGCTCATCAGCGTTAGCCTTCGCTTCCGGGTCCATGGTATTGTAGTCCTCCGGATAACTAGGCGGTTTCAAATCTTTAGAAAGTTCTGCATCCGGATTTTCAAAAAGCCTTGGGTATCCCGCGATGAGAGATAAAGGCTTAATGGATGTGTGTTGCCAGTCAATGATACATTTCACTTGGTGAGTATCAGGACAGATAAAGACATTGCTAGGTGTTAGGTCTTAAACAGAGTCAGCTATGTTATATTAAAAGAACAGACTCGGCGGCTTACCAGGATGGCGTATTGTTGGTTTGTTCAAGGCACTCTTCATGTCCTGTGGGAGTAGGTAAGGAGTAATCATAAGATACTTCTTAAGAAGGCTCAGATAGTCCTCATGGGAATTCATGCCAGGGAAAACTGTATTATGTGGGAAATCGCACTCAAGAGGTTTTCCGAACTTTTCTATCCACTTGACCTCTTTTTCAGCAACAGCAGCAAGGTACTTTTTTGAGTCGTTCCCTAAGAAAGATTAAGTCAACAATTGGAAATATTTCCACTCATAAGGGATGAATCATACATGGCCCACGATAAATATCCAGTTCACTCCGTTTCCCGTACCAAAACATATAATCGACAATCGGCCCTATGCAGTATTTTCGAGAATCCTCGTCATTGCCTGGTGTCTCTGGTGCATATAGGTCACTTTGTAACTCAGGAGGTATATCTGTCTTGAAATACAGACTTCCAGTCGATGAAAATGGGATAGTGAAAAGTTTGGTTTCAATATCAACTATTCCAGTAGCCAATGCATGCTTTTGGTATTTTGTTGTATTAAACCATTGAGTATCAGCGCCAACTCCAGGCGCATATTCCATGATAATATACTCAACACCCGTAGGATTATCAGTTGAAGACGACCAACCATAGACCTCAGGTACAGGTATATCCTTTGACCGTAGAAAAGAGAGTGTTGCAACTTCACTAGCGGTTGCATATGTCTTTGGACCTTTATGATGGCTCGAAACCCGTCTTCCATTGTAGCTAAGAGGATCCGATTGAAACCCCCTTCGCTCAGCTTGATAAGATCACGAAGTCTTCCATGGTGAACATGTTTTGTGATTTCATCTTTGAGTGCAGCGACGTTGAACGGCACATGGCGTTCACGGAGACGCGCCTCTTCGTTGTATAGAAATCGCCCAGAGGAATACGAAAATAATGAATTTTCCGTCGTTGAATCTAAGGGCAAAGAATTAGATAAGTATTTGGTTGAGCGTAATGGGTGTAGCCTGACCCTTGTGAATTTGACGCTTGGAGGCTACAAACCGTCTTACGGTTGTTTGCCGGAGATAGCTTTGAGAGCGCAGAATGCAAGACGCCCGCGCTCGAGGTAGCATTGGGAACATAGATATATGCTAGATTCTCGGCTAGATATATCTTAAAGATCGCTGGAATAATACCGCCGTGCAAGATGATGTCGAGCTCATCTAATAAATAATAGTGGGAAAATATAAATCCTGTCAGTGGCTTGACGCCATAGTAACATAGCCAACAGAAGAATATCATTCATCATATCACTTCCTTCTCTTCGTCTTTTTGTATCTTATAATAGGTCTGTTGAGCATAGCTTTGATTTGGCAAAGTCTATGGGACTGGATCATAACAAGTACCTGTAACCAAGTCTCGTATGCTCATGTTGAAGTTGCAGATCCTTTTGTCAACCTAGCTTTGACTATGAGATAAGAGGCGATCATGATGCGTGCTAGTATCACTCGTCGTCTTCTTGCTCTGAAGTTGAGGTCATGTTCAATCGAAGAGTAGAAGTCAAGTCTCGGGACATCTTCGGCCTTTCCCTCAGACCGAGAAGAAAGGTTATATATGAATTGCGGGCTGATGAGATCACCAATGATGCTTGAACCTTTAGTCAACATGAGTAAACATGAATCATGCCCCGCGTCAAGCGTAGCGAAGTCGAGTATATATAAAAAGCCAGTAGCCCCGAGCAATATAAACCATAAGCCACTTGAGTGTATCCTATTGAATATCCAACCTTAAGCCATTCATACCTTATTATCAAACCAATTCCCAGACACAATACCCGGTCTACAGGAGAATATACCGTCCTTAGACATGTCGACCGCAACTAATATCGTCTTCTATGACATCGCCATGCGTCCCCCCGCAGAGAAAAACTGCTGCTCACCAAACCCGTGGAAAGCCCGGATGGCACTCAATTTCAAGGGCGTCCCATACTCGACCTCATGGGTGCCTTTACCAGACGTTGCAAAAGTCCGCAGCAGTCTGAAATTGCCAGCCGTTCGCAAATTTGCCGATGGCTCTGACTTCTATACCCTGCCCATCATCGAGGATCCCACCACAAACTCGTCGGTTGGCGACTCCTTCGACATCGCAGTCTACTTGCAAAAGACATATCCTGACGCGGGCGCGGGCGACCTCTTCCCTGCCCAGACGATTGACTACACTTTCACGCCCGATTCAGCGATTGCGGTACCGCTATCGGATATTCCTGAGAGCGGATTTCCTGAATACGCCAAGTTCAATGTGCACGTCGACGCGGCCTTCAGCGCCCATGCACAGCTTTCTGTTCAGTGTTTCCCATTCGACCCGGCTACGGCTGAGATCAGTAAGGCAGAATTCGCCCGGCGTGCGGGTGTTAGTTCCTGGGATGACTTTACCTTGGTCGGCGAGGCGCGAGAGAAGGTGAAGGATTCGCTTAGGAATACGCTGGGCGGCCTCGCTAAGCTATTCTTGAAGGACACCAGTGGACCCTTTATTCTCGGTAAAAGGACTTGCTATGCGGACATCATCGTCGGTGGATGGCTGAGGATGATGCGCGCGACCCTGTCGGAGAGCGAATGGGAGGAGGTGAGAAGCTGGCATGACGGTCTCTTTGGGCAGTTGCATGATGCATTAGAGGTATATGCGGAAGTGAAATAGATCTCTGTTCCTTAGATGGATTATAATGGGAAGATGTCAAGGTCATGACGTTACTTTGATAGCTTTGAGTAGTTAAAGATGACACTAGAAAATGGTATTCATCTCTATCGGGTTCAATAAATATCACTACACCGCGGCAGACGTGGATGAAAAAGCTATCTAGTCATAGAATAGAACTGATGATGTCAATGAACAACTTCCGTTAATCCTTCGGATTCTTTAGACTCAGCCTCAAATACGAGCGGCGGGTATGCACACTTCTAGCCTAGCTGCAGAAGATCAGCCTCCAGATATAAATATATAACTGTTGAGAGAGGAAGCGCCTATCTTCTGCTTCCAAGATCAAAAGCCATCACTATAATAAAAAATGTCTTCAACACAGCTCCTTCGCCTGCCACTTAAAGGCATCCTCCGACACTCTCGAGTCCATGTCCAACCCCCAACTCTACTCTCCCGAACTGGCCCTCTCTACGGCTCCCTTGGGCCATCCAGACTCTCGACGGCGTCTACCTCTGCATTCTCTACGCGTGCAGCACCATTTTATACAAAGAGTCCCGTTAATGGGGCCAGGCCTAAATCTGATGCGGAAAAGGCCGAGTCAGAGAATATAGATCCGTTTAGTAGCCCACCAGTCAGCCTGGAGTCTCTTGGTATTGGGAAGAATATGAAAATGTTTCTGATTGCGGTATTTTGTGTTTTGGGGACTATTGAGACGTGGTTTTGGTGTAAGGCTATTTGGATCTGGTGGAATGGAAACAAGAATGAAGGGGAGGTTGAATAGGGGAGTTGTCTGTGATAGATGAGGTAGCAATGTACGATACTATAGTTAGAGGCCTGATAATCATTATAGCGCCCATGATGCCTGTGTTTATGCTGGTAATAATGAATGCTCTCAACTGTCCGTTCTTTGGTTCGTTATTTTTATATACATCAGCTGTGGAAACAACAACGAACGACCTATATACCTCCTCGGCGGAGCAATGGTCCTTGAAAGAGGCTTACATATCTCACTCTGCTTCAGAATATGGCCACGTCATCAAGGATGTAGTCCTCCGTAATCTTGGAGTGGCTAGGGTCTTTCCAGTCTGGATATTTCACGGCCTGCAGAATCCCGAGATGGTTGTGCCGACTTGCCAAAGAGACAGTTCATATCCGGCAAACGACGTATCCTCGCCTCAAAGAACGCCCGACGAACGAACAAACCGCGTGTTCAGACTTTCTCAAGGGGGCAAGTAACTCTTTGGCAACTTGGCGATGTCGCTCAATTGGCCACCCCTGAATACGGTATCTTGGAGGACGCATCCTTTTCGCACATCGCGAACATTTACTCCGTTTGCCAACTCGACTGATGCCTATTCGGACATCTTTATGGTCGGCGTTGACTCCTTTTCTCTCCTCCGTTCCTGCATAAAAATTTGTAAGTGCATTCCTCGCCCCTGCAGTTATAGGAGGTTGGATTATATGTTGCATAGGGCATCTATTCTTTCGCCGCGTGTCTAGGCCTAGAACTTGGCCGCGTCTTCCGGTGTCTCCAATCGGACAGCCACCACTGATATTGCGGAGTGGATAAAGCCTCGGACTGTGAACGAACGAGAAGAGATTGTTGACATTCCTAGGTAGCATCGCAGGGCAGCACTCCGTAGCCAGGCCAGCACTTGCATCTGCGCTGCATGCACTCCATACGTAAGCAGGTACGCCATGATATACCACTGATCATAACGCGGCTAGGGCACCAACTGTTAGTATCACTAGCTCTGGAGGCTCACAGACTCGTTCTAGGCGAGTCATGTCGATGCATAGTAAAGCAGGTCGACCGTGCTTCTGCCTCGGCCAGCCTCTGCCCATATTTATTCAGGACATTTGTTTCCATATGTATTTATATATCGACCAGGATAATACACGGCGTAAACGGATCCTGGAGAAGCGTCGAGGGTCCTGTGGCGACGGTGGAATCGATATCTCGACGATGAAAGGCCGATATCTCTCCTGACCAGGGGCGCGGGTGGCTTGACATCTCGATGTACCCTCCATGCAAACAAAACCCCCCAGCAAGTGGATCGTCCAAGCATTGCCTAACCCGCGACTGCGCTGGCGCCGGCGACAGCGGATGTGCCTGGGTTGCGGCCTGCCAATATGCATGTAGAGGCTGTGATTCGATGCTGGCAATGATGTCCAGGGGCCAACCCACCATCCTGATACACCAAACCCCTCAGAACCGTTTCGTCCGCGGCCGTGTCTGCTTCACTCTTCACGTCTGCTGGATGGGCTCATGACGGCCAATCTCCCTTCATTTATGGGCACTTTGGTGGACGTGGTTGGGCGGTAGATCGCTGTACGGGTGTACTGGCCAACGGCTCGCCATGTCAGTTGGCGCCGTGGGAAAAACGTCCGGGGCGGTTAGGAAGACAAGCACAAGTTTGATACCTCCGAGAACTCTTTGACGCCCGGTTCCCGGGGGCGGATCAGGGCAGGTGCTAGCATTGGTCTAGGTCGCAGAGAGAGTGTAGTTTGCTCCATTGTCCTGCATTCGGGACAGGGCCCAAGAATAGGCAAATGGCCATTCACAGCATTCTATACGCCGGGGCTCAATCAACTGAAAATAGACAAAGTAAACCTGGCCCACCAGAGGACTAACTCACCTCCTTGCGCCTGGGATGTATCAGAGATCTGGTACTAACACATCTGGGGGGTTCTTTTGTGGGCAATATAAGCTGGCACTTCGCAAACATCTTTTAAATACTTTTATCCTTGCCCATGTTTCTCCTTTTGCTCTTCCATCACACTCCTTGATATTCACCTTCTTTTCGCTTTTCTTTCTTTAATAGGATCCTCTGGCAGGATAAAATCCCTATTTCTGAAACTGTTCACCTTCTTTTCTTTCAAAAGTCGTTCTTTATACCCGGCAGGCCCCTCACATACCCTCAGGCACATATACAGCCTTTGATCCCACTCACTTCTCCAGAAACAATTCTGGGCAGTTTTATTTCGTTTCGTCTTTTTTTATTCCTTGAACATCGAGTGAACATGCGTTCTACCGGATTGTTGCTGGTGGCTGCGTTGGCGAAGTGCGGTGTTGCTACCTACATACTAGAAGACGACTACCAGCCAAACACCTGGTTTGACCAGTTCAGGTTCTTCTCTGTACGTTGTCTGATCTAGAGACGTACTGTTTCCTTTCATACTAATGATGTTGAATACAGGCCAAAGACCCGACCCATGCATATGTCAACTATCTAGACCAGGCCGAAGCTCAGAAGCAAAAGTTGATAGATTTCGATGCCGCCAACAACACCGTTTACCTTGGTGTCGACCATGACAACATTGCTACTGGAGAAGGCCGAAGTTCTGTTCGCCTTGAGACAAAGAAGACCTATAATCATGGCTTGATCGTTGCTGATATCGAGCATATGCCCGGAGGCGCCTGCGGGACATGGCCTGCCTTGTAAGTCTAAGCTGCTCCTCGCTGCATGTCTGCGTCAGATCAGTTCTAATGGCGCTATTAGCTGGACTACGTCTTCCTCTTGGCCTAGTGAAGGTGAACTCGATATCATCGAGGGCGTAAATACGCAGAAGCAAAATGCCTACGCTCTGCACACTGCTGATGGATGCAGCATCTCTCAGCGACCCAATTTCTCCGGGAAGATCATGACTCCCAACTGCGACGTGAAGGCCGCTGGCCAGGCTGAAAATCAAGGCTGTCTAATCGAGGATTCGAAGCAGCAGGGATATGGGCCGACGTTCAACCAGCAGGGTGGTGGTATCTTTGCTACCGAATGGACTAGCAACGGCATTTCTATCTGGTTCTTCCCTCGTGGTAGTAACACGACTCCTGCCGATATTAACAGCGAACACCCAGACCCATCCAAGTGGACAGAGAAGCCCGTTGCTCACTTTGGTGGAGAAGCTTGTAATATCGACAAGCATGTCCGCAACCAGCGCATCGTAAGTTAACTATCTCTAAGATTGGGAAGAATATGGAATGTAAAGCTAACCAACTCTTTCTCTCTAGATCTTTAACACTGCCTTTTGCGGTGGCTGGGCTGACGGAATGTGGCCCACAGACGAGGTCTGCTCCAAGAAGGCTCCCACCTGCATGGAGTATGTGCAGAAGAACCCAGAAGCTTTCGTGGACACATACTGGTCAATCCGCTACATGAAGGTCTATCAACAAGGAACCGCACCCACCAAGTCTACCCAGGCACCACCAGTCCCCTCCTCATCAGCACAATCCACCATCAAATCCACCTCGACCACCATCGATACTACCTCTACCACTCCAGCTGGTTCATCGACCCAGGATGTCCCTGTTCCTACAGTGAGCAGTTCTACCAGCGCCGTGTCCCAGCCCACCGGCCAGCCAACTCAGCCATCAAACCCGTCCAGCGCCGACGGTACTCAACCCACTGATGCACCCTCTAATGGAGGCAATGGCTGCCCCAAACCAACCCCACCAGCATGCCGAACTTTCGTTACCACGAAGGTATTCACCGTCGTGAAGACCGTTCTCCCAACAGACGCTCACACCACTGCCAACATTATCCCAATCCCATCCAGTGCATTAAATGACGATAAGGGTGCCGCTCGACGTCGACGACGGGATATGGCACGCCATGTCGGACGTGGCCATCATAACTAAACCAAAGTCGGACTACAGAGTTATTTTCTATTTTTGTTATTTTTAAGCGTTAGATCTTTGTAAAGCTATGTCCGAGGGTTTCTTCTTTTCTTCTTCTACGAATGCTAAGAAGGGTTGAGCAAGATGGGGATAGAACGCAGAAAGAAGGGCTTTCATTCCTTCCAATGCCTTATTAGAATATTCGTGTATTTTTTAGTGAATATTACCCTTCTATTCTCGACTATCAATAGCCGTCAATGCTGAACGAGATGGCTCAAAGGAACATGAAATCAAGATGATTAAACATTATATTAGAGAAATTATATCTTCTATAAAAAATACACCATTGCCCCTTGCGTTAATATCGTATACCTAGGGAAACAAGACCTGCTCCTGGAAAACGAACCTCAAATAGTCCAAGATGTCTGCTTACCCATACAGTACGGCTCATATCTGGGTAGACCCCAAAGCCTCAAGCACATTATTTTATTACAGACCCTACGATTAGCATTAATAATTGCCATGGGCCAAACCACGGACAAGTTCACCCGCTGAAACCCAACTCGTCTCTTCGATCATCAGTCAACCGACCCCATTCCAGCAATAGTCGAAAGAGATAGATCTCCATATCTTCTTTTCTAAGGGTCTCTTCTGCCCATTTCTTGCCCTCTCTCGCAATTATCTTACCCTCACGATCATGCGGGTTCATCAAAACCTTCATAGTCTTACCATTTTCATCCACGGTCTTAGCTCCAGAAAAGAACGCCAGGGTACTCCACATATCATGGAATCTGATATTCTGGGGCACAAAGTGTAACCACGGCGTTAATCTGGAATCAAACCATTGGCGAAATAGTGCAGCTCGGAACGGGAGACTGTTGCTTTGTAGAAAGGGGAGGAAACGACCGCTGAACCCGGCACCATCCAAGTCGTATAAGAAGCGGTATTTCCAGTGGTTGTCAAAAGGCACGCGCGTAGTGATTCCGAGTTCGCGTCTTTGGGTGTCGCAGTCTTTCCCACCGCATCGGGCTACGTCCTCGGCGATGCCAATCGACGGGTTTATTCCAAGAGATTGGGAGGCCGTAGAGGGTGTTAGGGTGTTATAAGAAAAGCCACCCCCTTTGTCGGTTGGAAGTAGTACGGAGACGTGGTTAGTATTATTGTTGGCCATATGTAGGAAACGTTGGCGAGCCATTCCCTTCCATGCTCCATTCTCACTGAATCCTTCTGATGTTGTTCCTCTCCAGAATGCGATGGCTTCCTTTTGACCATAGGGCGGATCAGAGTGTTCTTCGGAGGGGTTATATTTCGCTTTCTCCACATAGTTCCAGGAGCTAGGGTATAAAATGTCGTTAAAGCCCGATACTTTGCTCTGGCTAAAAACTGGGAGTAACTTTTGGGAGACTTTGAGGGCGCTTGGTGATATGAAAAATCCATGTAAGTTGGCTAGGTCAGGCTGATGACAGATATTGCCGGATAGCTCCCAATCCTGCAGGAACTGCTCCATTGAATGTGGCGCAACACATGACAGACATATAGTATCGTGTTGCCATTGATGCCTTTGAGCCTTCGAGTCTGGAGGGCATGATTTAGCTGCAATGCTATGGAATGTATCTTTTCTCGAATGCTCAGTGAAATGGATGTGGGTTTGTCGGTCATTCGAGCGACTTAGTGCCCATGATAGTGACCTATCCTTAGACCAGGCGCTGTCCATATTATTACCTAGTGATGATAACTGATTTTTCGCTGTGTTATTCATAGATTGGATAGTGTCCCATGGGACAGAGACGCGACATTCGTCATTAATGTTGAATCCAATATCCATATCTGGTAGGTGACTCGCAAACGGGGCAATCATTTGGACTATTCCCTCGATCATCCACCGATGAGTGGGTATTATCTCTGGCTGCGGTTCAGCAACACCGTCACGAACCACTACCGCAGCTATATCGTTCCATTGATTGCTAATCATGGAATTGGTAAGATCCCTCAATGTACTCGGTGCGAGAGCGCGGAATGGGAGGAGATCTATGTGTATTTGGTCATAGTTATCAATAATTAGAGATGACCTGTTGTTAGCATACTCGTACCATATGTCAAACCCACTATACAAAAAAACGTTAGAGACATTCAAGTAGATTCGGTTGTTAGAGGAATAGACATACGGTGGCGGCAGCAGACCATAACGCTCCTTATACTCGCTAACAGCCTCCTGTAGGTTAGTACTATACTTTGCTTCAGCTACCCATTGAGCGTGCCCCTGCCTAGCGTTTGCCATTAAAATATTGATGGGGTGCTGAGGAACAGCTGGCTGTTGGAGAATGATCCAAAGGGAGCAGCTTAGAAAGGAACAAAAACATATACAGTAAATGGTTATGGTTCGAGCCGAGACAGTTTCGAGCTCCCTAAAATAGACACTCCTTAGGATGATAAAGCCCACGGCGGCATGAAGGAGCACGACGGCTAACAACGCCGCGAAATATGGCATTGACAGGTATGGGTGGAGTATAGAAGTCATGAGAGCTTCACGTGTGGTTAGAATCGAGGCAGCGAACGAAATCGTTAATGCTTTGACGTCCGCAATCTATTCCAAGGAATGTCAGTATAGTTTTAATGATACCAGCCCTAAAAAGGAGGGTGATAACTTACACATTTTCCGGCGGAGATGAACAATATGGACATAACTAGACCCTCCCAGATGAGATCGCCAATGTGCAAAGGCGGAAAGATCGAAAACAATGGCACCCTGTTTCTAACTGGAAGCAGATATGCCCCAGACTTTCCAAATGCCCAGAAAACGGTACTTCCCTAGCACGAGAACAACATTAGGTTGTGATTGTGGAAAAGCCGAGGTTCGGATATTGGGGCATAACTCACTACTAGGAGAAGCCCCCAGGTTGTTGTTACTTGCCAGACTGTTCCGTTTGACCGACGAATAGAAGATTTGACCAATAATTCAGCGGAAATGACAATAGTAGAGTCGATAACTGCGCGTAATATCTGTAGCCAGAAGATCACCCGGTGCCCATTCGTAACTGGGCATATAATTGTCGTTTCCCTGCCCTTTCTCAGAGACCGTATAACCAAGCCAGCCATAACCAGTAAGATAGATGGGGGGAAATAACTGAAGAGTTTCCATGTAGTGTTCCCCAATCGAAAGTTCCCTCTCGGGCTTTTAGAGCTCAAATATTCGTATAGGAATACCATGAACGGCACTATTGTCTAATTCAGTTATTAATTAATTAGGTATGAAAGTGCTAAAGATCGAAAGCGCAACCGTTAACTCACGATATCATCCAGCACCGAGCACTGTACATGTCGAACGAGATACCCATGAAGCTCTATCCGAGCAGTCAAAATGGCAATCGTAAATGCAAAGACCATCCATGTTTCTCGTAATTTTGTCGAAGACGACTTCTGTCGTTTTTCCAACGGTTCTGAGGAAATCGGGGAAGAGTTTGGTAGTGGGATATTCTCGTTTTGCCATTCAGGGCCCGATGGCCTGCCCGACAAGGCCGAGGTAAGGAAGCTTGTTATTAGCAAGATGATGCCTGAGGCGAAGAGGGCGATGGCCAGCGATTCTGCGGGTGGATCTGCAGATCATCGAGAATTAGTAAAGTAACCACAGAGACGAAGCCTACCACGCGCATAAGTATCGATCTCTAACGATATCAACTCACTGTAGTTTATAGCTCTGTTTGAGGAGTCTCCTGAAATTTCCCGGAAGGAAGATTGGTAAATAACGCCGGCTATAAATGTGCTAACAGCATGTTAGTTATTATATGCGAAACTCGCCATGAAACCCCGAGAATACTTACCCAAGAGCGAACGCAACGCGTCTCTGCTTTATCTCCTTTTTTAGGAGCGCTAGAATGCCTTGGGTCTTCTCCAACATCTCATCGCGAGGTAGGCGAAGTGACCTACTCATCCTCAACGCTGTGTAACTGAGATGGCAATATCGATCGCAAGCACAGGGGATGTTGTCTTCTAGACTCGCCTTGAGGTGCCATTTCGCAGGTAATTCTCACTCTGACAGGTTTTTATTTCTTTATGCAGCCGGTGGTCCCGTAACCAGGCTTTGTGCGACGAACCATAGTTGCTTGACCAGACACTTGGCTACCAAGGCAGTTACAAGATCAAGACAAAGAATTAAACAAGATAATATTTACTCCTGCCAACGCCTCCAGATCTTCGTATGTAGAGGACATGGCGAACATATTTGGTACCTCGTTCAACAACTCCCTTTCCTCACGCAGCTCCATGAACATGGGAGTCCTATCGAGGCGACAGTTGACCTCTGGTTTCAGTAGATCAACGAGGTGACATTGACATTTAATATTTTATCTATGGTTACTCTCTGACGCTTCTCCTCACCTGCAGAATATTCAAACAGGCTGGGCGTTAACTCATTCATCCTGCCGAGTAAAGCTTACCGTTCTTTCATCAAGGGGTAAAGCATTTGCGTGGTTTATCCATGTCTCCCCAAAATAGATACTAGTATGAGGCTCTCTGGTATTAACACCCCGAGAGCCCCTAAGCGAATTGGGGCCATTATATAGCCAATGTTAGACGTAGAGGCGGCGCCTTTTCCAATGACCAGGACTCCAAAAAGATCGAGTCTATGATCTGATAACGGCCCGCGCTGTTGCCAAGATCTCCGCCCCGCCCATCGATGGATAACGTAAGTGTATTAGTCATAAGGCTTATCTGTGGAGTTTAACACGTGACTAGATAACTCAGGGCGGTCAAGGGTGGCAGTAAAAAAAGCTCGGAAGGAAAGTTTACCCGAAGCAGCTTTTTTTCGATTTTGATTGAATGGAAATTGAGGGAGCTTTCGTTGCTCGAGCTTTGCGACTTGCTTCACAGGCATTATATTCGCCCCGGTCAAGCCTTATAATGTGCCGTTGAATAGCTTGCGTCTTTCCTACCGAAGCATCCTCCCAGCATTCGCTCTTTTGACTGCTCAATTCGATACGTGAGCTAAAGCTAATTGAGCTTTGAACTCCGGCGCAATGCCACGAAAAGCGCTCGACTCGCGCATTCCAGCGCTGATTCGGAATGGAATTCAAGAAAAGAAACGAAGCTTCTTTGTCGTCGTTGGAGACCGCGCCAAAGATGTCATCGTGCACCTTCATTATATCATGTCCAGCGTCGATGTCAAACAGAATAAATCAGTGCTCTGGGCGTATAAAAAGGACCTGCTAGGTTTCACAACCCATCGCAAGAAGAGAGAGATGAAGATAAAGAAAGAAATCAAGAGGGGAATACGCGACCCGAATACCGACGATCCTTTCGAACTATTTATCACCCTCAACCAGATACGATATGTTTACTACAAGGAGACCGAAAAGATATTGGGAAACACATATGGAATGTGTATTCTGCAGGATTTTGAAGCCTTGACGCCGAATCTGCTTGCGCGAACTGTTGAGACTGTGGAGGGTGGTGGAATAGTTATACTTCTGTTGAAGGGCATGAAGAGTTTGAAACAGTTATATACGTTATCGATGGACATACACTCGAGATACCGAACAGAAGCTCATGACGATGTGGTGGCCCGGTTTAACGAACGTTTCATTCTGTCTCTTGGCAGTTGTAATACTTGTCTTGTCGTTGACGACGAACTGAATGTGCTTCCTATATCTGGCGGTAAGGCAGTGACGCCATTACCGCCCATCGACCCAGAGGAAGAAGCCAATTCTTCTAGCAAAAAGGAACTCCAGTCAATCAAAACGGAATTGGAAGATACGCAACCAGTAGGATCATTGGTTAAGCTAGCTAAGACCGTCGACCAGGCAAAGGCATTGCTCACGTTTGTAGACGCCATCGCCGAGAAAACATTGCGCAGCACTGTTACGTTGACTGCTGCTCGTGGACGTGGAAAGTCAGCCGCTCTTGGTGTAGCAATTTCAGCAGCCATCGCCCACGGTTACAGCAATATTTTCATCACCTCTCCCAGCCCCGAGAATTTGAAGACTCTTTTCGAGTTCGTGTTCAAAGGTTTTGATGAACTGGGCTATCTTGATCATGTTGACTACACCATTCTCCAGTCAACTAATCCCGATTTTAACAAAGCCATTGTTAGGGTCAATGTTCACAGGCAACATAGGCAGACTATACAGTACATCCAGCCCCAGGATGCTTTTGCTTTGGGACAAGCTGAGCTCTTGGTCATCGATGAGGCTGCAGCTATTCCCTTGCCATTAGTACGAAAACTGATGGGTCCATACCTTGTGTTCATGGCCTCGACAATCAACGGATACGAAGGTACGGGACGATCCCTCTCACTGAAACTGATACAGCAGTTACGTGAGCAATCAAGAGGAGGGGCCAAAGCAAATGGTGCAGATGATACCGATATCACTGACCGGTCCGGAAAGGCCGCGAGAAAAGAAGGAGGCTCTCACTCCGGGGGTCGAACGTTACGTGAGATTACGCTATCGGAACCAATTCGATATGCTCAGGGAGATTCAGTTGAAAAGTGGCTCAACAAACTTCTATGTCTTGATGCAACTTTGCCAAAATCGAAATTAAACACCCAGGGATGCCCACACCCATCCCAATGCCAGCTTCTTCATGTAAACCGCGATACCCTCTTTTCTTTCCACCCCGTCTCTGAAAAATTCCTTCACCAAATGATGGCTCTATATGTTGCTAGTCACTATAAGAACTCCCCCAATGACCTACAACTCATGAGTGATGCGCCGGCTCATCAGCTTTTCGTTCTGGTACCGCCTGTCGACGAGAATGCGACAAAACTACCCGAACCACTATGTGTTATTCAGATAGCCATGGAAGGTCAGATCAGCAAACAAAGCGTTTTGAACAGTTTAAGTCGTGGACAAAGAGCTGGCGGTGACCTTATTCCTTGGCTCGTAAGCCAGCAATTCCAAGATGAAGACTTCGCTGGTCTATCTGGAGCGAGAATCGTGCGAATAGCTACTAATCCAGACTATATTAGTATGGGATATGGCTCGCGTGCTTTGGAATTGCTAATCGACTTTTTCGAAGGCAAGTTTGCTAGCTTGTCGGAGGATGAGAATCCAGTTTCTGAAGAAATGGTCCGCGTCACTGATGCTGAGTTGGAGGAATCTAATCTTCTGGACGACAATGTCCATGTCAGGGACATTCAATCAATGCCGCCTCTCTTCGGAAAGCTCTCCGAACGACGACCCGGTGCTCTTGACTACGTTGGCGTGAGTTTTGGCTTGACACAACCTCTGCATAAATTCTGGAAACGCTCTCAGTTCGCACCAGTATACCTGAGACAGACCCCTAACGACCTTACCGGAGAACATTCTTGCGTCATGATTCGCACTCTATCAACTGGAGCCAATGATGCGTCATGGCTTGGGGCCTTCGTGTCTGACTTCCATAAACGTTTCCAAACCCTGCTATCATACCAATTTCGTGAATTCCCGTCAGTCATGTCTCTGAGTATGAGCGAGTCTGCCACCGCAGTCTCAAGATCCGACCCCTCCCTCAAACCAGCCCCTGTCACAAAGGCAGATATCGATGCTGTCTTCTCGCCTTTCGACCTTAAACGTCTAGACAGTTACGCCAACAACCTACTAGATTACCACGTTATCCTCGACCTGGTTCCCACAATAGCATCACTATACTTCTCAGGACGCTTAACCCCCGGCGTCAACCTCTCTGGTGTCCAGCAATCCATCCTTTTAGCTACCGGTCTACAGCGCAAGACATTTGACGATGTAGAAAAGGAGATCAAGGTAGCTGCATCCCAGCTCATGGCGATGTTCATTAAAATCATGAGAAAAGTATCCTCGCATTTCCGTTCCGTCCTAGAAGGAGCCGTGGCAAGTACGCTACCCGCAGCGAACAGGGCTATAACACAAGGAGAAACAACCGAAGCTCATGACGACAAGATCATTGAAGATCGATTCCGTCCTCTCGAAGTCGACCTTGAGGATGAACTAAAGGAGGGTAGCCGAGTGGTCGATGCTGAACTTCGAGAGAAACAGCGAGCTTTGATTGATGCACTTCCACTGAACCAGTAAGCACCCACTTTACCCGCACTTATGTATCGAACGGCATTTACTAATAAACCTGTATAGATATGAAATTGCACATGGAGCTCCAGGCTGGGAGGAAGCCGAAAAACAAATTCGTACTTCAAAATCCAAAGACGGTAGCATTCAAACCGTAAGTATTAAATCTACAGCAAAACGAAAGGCTGGTGAGACCGCGAGGGACATCTATGAAAAAGAAATTGGCAGTAAAGAGAGAAAGAAGATAAAAAAGGGCACTGAAGGCCGAAGAAAGGATTGATTGACGACTACTGCTTGGCCATGTGGGATGGATGAATGTACATAGCGTAGAACTGGTGTACCGGCTTAAAAAAAGATCTCATTGTTTTAGAACTTGCCTTGGAAAGAAAACTATAAATGTTCTTATAAGATAGCTTGGGCGAGACTATGAAACTGGCACAAAGTGGGATTTATCAATAAGAATAATAGCTTGCGATTAAACCGGGGTGATTCTAATCCTCCTATAATAACTGAAACATCTGGCACACTGTTTGGATGCCAGGTAAGCTGCTAAGAGCCGAGATACCACAACTTGGGTACCTAACCCATTCATAGCTCCTCATGGGCTGGTTGTTCTGCTTCCTTGGGTTCTTCGACGATGGGCTCTTGTTCTGGCTCTGGCTCTGGGGCAGTCTCTTTCTCGACCTTATCAGCCTCCTCCTTCTCTGGAACCTCCTCTAGGGCCTCCTCGGGTTCAGTAGGCTTTTCCTTTTCGTCTACAATCAGAGCACCATCGGGAATCTTCTTCTTCTCCATTTCGCCAAACTTAACAGCATCAACCCATGTTTCAAGGTCGGCACGGCTAAATCCACCACGCTCCTCAGGGTTATAAGATTTCCACCAACCCCTTCTGCCATTGACGACAATAACCTTCATTTCACCATCCGATGGTATGTTGAGTTTTTGTTTAAAGTTGGTGATTTCCTCGCTAACTTCAGGAACAATGTAGAATGGGAAAATCTTTCCGCTGTTAAGTGTGTATTTGTGGGAAACCTCACCAAGGGCGGCTATCATTTCGATTGTTGCAGGTGGGGGTGCATCGGATGGGGAAGCAGGCAATGGAATAAGTGCAAGTAAGCAAGTTCCGGTTTCATCCGATAGACATGTTGTTTTCAGGTCGGTTCTGGTGGCCAAGGGTCGCAGTGGCGGGGCCTTGCGCTCAGATGATTCCTTTTCAGGGGTCTCTGGGTCTTCGGAGCCTTCAGGCGTGTCATTGCTATCAGAGCTATCCTTAGCGCTGTCGGTCTCTGAGGCATCTTCTGCCGATTTGGTAGATGTAGTTGAAGATTTAGATGCCTTGTCAGCTTTCTTCTTCTGCGGCTTAGGCTTTTCTGACGCCTTGTTCGAGTTTGGCTCGGCTATCTGGCTAAGGAACTCCATCATTGGCTTTTTCTTCATTTCACCATCGTAAACGATGGCTTCCTTTTCGCCGCCAGGTAGGAGAATCAAGGCTGGGAAACTCGAAACGCCAAAAGTCTCCACGGCGGACTTCTCCTTGTTCCGGATCTGACCAAATGTGATGGAGCCGAGGAAATCGGTAGACAACGCTTTGAGGGTGGCACCAGTAGTACCTTTCTCGGTGAAGAGGATTGCCTTTGCGGTCTCATTTCCCTGGGAGAGGAATTCATCGATGTTCTTTTCGGTGACCCGTTTGACATGGTTAGGCATACGATCAATAAGGATTTCTCCTATGGCCTTTGCTGTTCGAGCTCCTTGGTAATCTTCAACTCTAGGTTTTCCGGGCTTCTTCGACGGGACAACGAGCTTGAGTGTGGGGAAACCCTTGACGCCCATCTGGCCGCAGAAGGCCTTGTTCTTGTCCTCATCACAATCAATGGCTGCGACGTTTGCAAGGCCTTCAAGATTTCTGGCAGCTTTTTCATAAGCTGGTTTCAAGTTCCGGCAGTGGCCACACCATGGGGCATAGAACCTAGAAAAGTAAGAAACTGTATAAAAGCTAAAATGTACCAAAATTTGCGGGTATCTCTTACTCGACCATCTATATAATGAGCATTAGCTTTAATTCCGAATAGTAGGTGAATAGATGGTAAATTCAACGTACAGAGACATGGTTTGAACGGGCAATCAGGCGATCATAGTTAGTGGCATCGACCTGGAGTACAGGTGACTTTTTGGTATAGAGGCCAGAAGCAGGGACTGCCTCTAGGGCGAGAGTTACGAGCAAAGCTGCTAAGCTTGTCTTCAGCATTTTGACAGACTGTGAGTTGGACAAACTGTTTTCATAGAAGTAATTTGCCTATACAGCCGTTAGCCCACGGTAGAAAGGAGGTAAGCTATATACCAACAGTCCTCCTGGACATGGAACACTTGTCCTTTTAACTGCGGAAGTTGCAACGTTGGCTTTTAGTTACCCCGGATACCTGCTTAGTCATACCAACATTTATAGTATATCACGTGATATCAAACTTATATCTGTCTCAGTTGCCGAGAAGGATTCAGGGGAAACTCAGGGACGGCATCATATCAGGAAGGAAAACTACTCAATTCGAGGGGAGCGGGTAGATAACGCCGTAATAGATATTATAAGGCCATCCATTTGCCTAGAGGCCGTTCTTTTTGGCTATGGCTGAATTGGCGACGTTGCCAACTGAGCTCTTTCTGATAGTACTCCTGTCTCTAGATGTTAAAGATGTGGTTTGCTGCCGTGCTGTGTCCAAAGCATGGCATTCACTGTTTACCCAGCCACGCTATCTTCAATATTATCTGAAGATGCTATATCCCCAGACACGAGAATCGCGGCGTTTGGAAGCCGACGGTACCATCGAAGGAACATCAAAAGATGAAATTCGAAAGCTCTTTGACCGTGTTGCCTCGAGATACTACCATCTTCTCCGTGGCGATCCACGGTCAGTTGAAATTCACTCCTTACAGATCCCGGAACTATATTACTCGCTACGATATGACATATTACACCGTACGGCCTTTGATGCACATCAGAGCCACCCAATGGTGGACGTCTTCCAGCCAGAAAATACCCTACCATGGGCATACGATGATGGAATTTTAGTATTTCAACCGGACAAGAAGCCGTATCTGATGTTTTCGGATATAGAGTCAGAAACTTCCCATCCTATACCGTTCTCTCTTCGCGGAAAGCCTATTCGAAACATCCGTATCCAATGCCGGATCCTATTGATTGAATGGATCAAACTTGGACCAGGAGATGAAGTAGGCCATTTTGCTACAGCTTTCGATATATTGGGCGACTCTTTCTCTGGTCGTAAACCAGTGTTCCTTGGGACATGGTGTATCGGGTCACCCTCAAGGATGTGGTTATCCCAAACGTGTTTCCACTCCTCGCATAACCGGCACCATTATGTTCTATACACGGGGGCCAGAAGTCATGTGGAATCATATACTTATGGAGATGAGACTCTGGAAGGATTGAAGATTTGGGATATCTCAAATTTGAAAGCCCTAGACTCGCACCCAGATTATATCGTGGAGCCAGATAATTGGGAATCACCGGATGACTCCTGGGACTTTATAAATGCTCCTATGCGGTTCGATCCTAGGGAAGACAGCTCTTATATCGTGCCTAAGCTTGTCACGGAAATCAGCGTGCCAATATTACGGTTCTACGACTCGCTTCGGATGATTGCGCCTACACTACAGGGCCTCAGCATCAATAGCGAGGAAGGCATCGTTGACATCGTGGAAAACATATACCACAATGAACTATATGAGGATGAAGACGGGCCATATAATCCCACCCCAATAGTAACAAGCATACCCTTCATCGGCCAGGGACCATGGTGGCGCCGTGAGGTACTAACCCATGTCTTCCCATATCGCGGCCATGACTCTTTAGAGTCGAGTCCGCTGAAAATGCGCACAGTTCTTCCATACCTTCATGTAGCTGAAGTTACCGACGACATTACAGGGGTTCGCTTTAGATTGAGCATGAAACCCCGGGAAATAGGCAGTTCAGAGCCTCCGGAATATGTTGTGTATATCGATCTACCTGGGCACGAGCCTGGTGACAACGATATAGAGATAGAGGACGATCTTGGGACAATAGTTGGTCAAGGCTGCAAGATACGCGGAGATGAAAGGATACTGATTGGCGAATACGGGAGTCAAGAGCTCTATATTCTTCGCTTTGATCGACCGGAGGAGCCGTCGGTGGAGGTTGAAAATTGACATATTGGTGACAGTTGGTACAGACATATTGATGATAGTTGGTATAATTGGTTTTACAGGACGGGACTGAAGGGAGTAATTTCAGCTACCACGGCCTTCATGATAGAAGGCGCGAAAAAACAAAACAAAAGAAATGTCTCTTGTGAATACAACTATCTTTGTACAAAGTTGGTGAATAGATCTAGATCTGTATGCGGGGAAAAAAGAACTTCACACATAAATACATGTGCGCTGCTCGCTGCATTTGAAGCTCTGACTGCGTACTTTTACATGTCCTCGGAGGCGGTAGCACCAGTGATAATCTCAACCAATTCACCGGTAATGGCGGCTTGACGCTGTCGGTTGTAGAGAATTTGGAATCTAAAAACATTAGTTATGGTGTTAGATGGTGGGTGCGTGGGCAGTGCTTACCGCTGGATCATGTCACCGGCGTTCTTGGATGCGTTCTAAATTAAAGTCAGTATGAACGACGTCTCAAGTCTCTAATAAGATACTAACCTCCATAGCATTACGACGGGCCTGCGAGTGATATGTTAGCAATTGAAGCGAAATCTATATCCAGTGGGACTTACAGAGATTTCACAAGCGTGTCCCTCAGCCAAAGCCCAGTACAAGCTGTTGGCAAGAGCATACTCACGGAGGTTGGCAAGAACCTCGCTGTCGACCTCGAACGCGACAACGTTGGCTAAGACATGTTAGATCGAAAACAGAAAGTATATACATGTAGAGAGAATACGAACGGGACTGGATGATGGCCTCTTCGGAGAAAGCCTCGACGGTGGTGGGCTCGTAGCTCTGGGCGTTGATGAACTTGTTGTAGACGATCTTGATGCTGGCGTAGTCGGTGGGCAGCTGGCAGATCTGGTCGGCAATGGCCTGGGCTTCAGCGAAGGTGGGAACGTCCTTGCCAACACCAGCGAAGGAAAGAACAAGGTTGCCCTCGTTGGATCGGGAGAGCTGGGCCTTGGACTTCTCTCCGAGCACGACGATGTCGGCGTCGGGCTTCTCCAAGATCATGCGGCGGGTGGCCTTGCTGAGACCGGAGTGAATACCACCGCAGAGACCCTTATCGGAACTGGCGACGACGTAGAGGGTCTTGAGGTCCTCGAGGGGCTTGGTCTCTGCCTTTTCGAAGACGGACTCGGACGTCTCACCGTACGCTCTGGAGAGAGTCATGGCGCGCTGGGCCTTGTTGAGACGGGTCGAGGCAACGATCTTCATGGTCTTGGTGATTTTCTCGATGTTCTTGATGGACTTCAGGCGGCCCTCGATCTCACGCAGGGTAGCGAAGTTGGCGGCATTGGCGGGAGCACTATCATCATCATCAATTCATCAATTCTCATCTTCATCTTCCACCTTTCGTCTCTTGTCTCTCATCTCTCGTCTATCTCGTGTCTCGTCTTCATCTAATCACCGCGCAATGGATAGTCTGTACTCACCGGACGACGGCAGAGCCGGCCTTCCACGCCGGGCGGGCGGTTCGCGAAAGCATCTCGAGGGTGTGCGAGGAAGATCCCGGTAGCTAGACAGATAGACAGCTGGGACAGAGTGCAATGGCAGCTGTTGAAAGGCGAGCGGTGTCTCTCGTTGTGGTATTTTGACGTCCAAAAGCCCAAAAGTCGACCAAAATGGGCGTTTCGGAGCCGGGAGCGGCGCTAGTCCCGAAGCGGCAAGGCGCCTTGAGAGCCCGAACTTTTTTGCTGTTGTTGAATAACAAGCAACCAACGCCGGAGAATGGCGCAAAAAAAAGACTTGGAATTCACTTTCTCCCCCTTCAGCCCCCAGCTCCGGCTGCTGTTTATATAGCCTCTCGCCCGCTCGCCGGCCTCGTCTGCACTCACCTCACCCCCCTCAGCACGCTCACGACGCCGCCCAGCACCGTTCACCCTCACTTCTCCCTCACGATATCTCCCCTCCGCTGGCTGGCAAGGCCTGTTCGACAGTGCAACTCTGCCCTCTCTGCCCGGTTCGCCCGTGGCTGTGTGAAACACCTCTGCTACCAGCCCCCTTTGCAGGCCGTACTCGCGCCCCAGCTGCTGGCCATGAGCTCCTCTGACGACGATGCGCCGCTTGCCGGCACCAGGAGGCCTAATGGGAGTGCCCAGAGTGAGTGAGCCTTTTATTCGGCTCAAAGATGGCCTACAAGATGAAAACGAGAAGACAGGACAGGGATGAGTCGAGTCTTGCTAACAGGTTGTGATAGAACATCCTCTCTCCAGTGCCACTATCCCCAAATCCGCTGATCCAGCCTCTACGAATGGAGAAACTCAGCCTGGAATCTCGATCCGCTACGGTCCCAAAGACACGGAGGTAGACATGCTGGATGCGGATGCCAACGGAGTCAGTTCGGCAAAACGGAAGTCCAGGGCCAGTGTTGGCCGTCCGTCCTACGCAGACGCGGAGAGCAGCGGCGAGGATGATAAACCATTGGTACGCCAAATCCCTTCGCCCTTTCTCCAATCCTCCCCCCTCGCAAACCACTTCGACTGAGCTTCTCTGGTTCTATCGCTGCAATACCGCGGACTGACTCTCCTCCAGAGCAAGCGTCGTCGTACCGCCCCTAAAGTAGAATCCTCTGACTCCGACGAAGCGCCTCTGATCTCCCAATCTGGACGAGGGAAGAGAGCGTCCATCAAGGCCGAGGAGTCCAAGAGACTCGTGGCCGAAAAGGCTGATATCGAGAAAAAGGCCGAAAAGGAGGCTCAGTCGCTGCGACAGCAGGATCGCCAGGCTGCTGCAGCCAAGAAGAAGGAAACCGCCAAAGCAGCTGCAGCCAAACCCGCCAAAGCAAAGGCTGTTGCAAACGGCAAGAAGAGTCAAGCTAACGGTATCAAAAAATCTGAGTCTAGTGATGAAGACGTTCCTCTTGCACGCAAGGCTCCAGCCAAGAAGGCCAGTGCTGCTTCCAAGGCCGCTGCTGCTTCGACGCCAGCGAAAAAGGGAAAGGCTGCCGTGAAGAAGGAGGCGAGCGAAGAGGCCGAGGAGGAGGAGGAAGAGGAGTACAGATGGTGGGAGGACCCGTCCAAGGGCGACGGAACCATCAAGTGGACAACTCTGGAGCACAACGGAGTCGTCTTCCCGCCACCTTATGATCCCCTGCCAAAGGATGTTAAGATGAAATACAACGGCGTTCCCATCACACTCGACCCTGAGGCTGAAGAAGTCGCTTCCCACTTTGGCTCGATGCTCAACTCTACCCACAACGTCGAAAACCCAGTCTTCCAGAAGAACTTCTTCAACGACTTCCAGGCCTATATCAAGAAGACGGGTGGTGCAAAGGACCCCCAGGGAAAGCCGGTACAGGTCAAAGAGTTCGCCAAGTGTGATTTCACGCCAATCTTTGAGCATCACGAGAAGCTGCGTGCAGAGAAGAAGGCCATGACTTCTGCTGAGAAGAAGGCAGCCAAGGCTGAAAAGGACGCCGCAGAGGCCCCGTACATGTACTGCACTTGGGATGGAAGGAAGCAAAAAGTTGGCAACTTCCGTGTCGAACCCCCTGCTCTTTTCCGTGGCCGTGGAGAGCATCCAAAGACCGGCACGGTGAAGACCCGTGTCCAGCCTGAGCAAATCACTATAAACATCGGCAAGGACGCACCTGTTCCAACACCACCCGAGGGTCATCGTTGGAAGGAAGTTAGACATGATCAGGAGGGCACATGGCTGGCCATGTGGCAGGAGAATGTCAACGGAAACTACAAGTACGTGATGCTGGCTGCCAACTCGGATGTCAAGGGCCAAAGTGACTACAAAAAGTTTGAGAAAGCTCGAGAGCTCAAGGTGCGTATTCATTGTTTTCGATTGCAATTGTTCAAGGCGTATACTGACTCTTCCCACCTAGAAACACATTGATCGAATCCGCAAAGATTACAAAAAGGGACTCAAGGATGAACTCATGGTTAACCGGCAGAGGGCTACAGCTGTCTACCTCATCGATCAATTTGCCCTCCGTGCTGGAAACGAGAAAGGCGAAGATGAGGCCGACACTGTTGGCTGCTGCTCTCTCAAGTTCGAACATATCACGTTGAAACCACCAAATACCGTCGTTTTTGACTTCCTCGGAAAAGATAGTATCAGGTATTACGATGAGGTTGAGGTTGACCCTCAGGTGTTCAAGAATCTCAAGATATTCAAAAAGGCTCCAAAGAAGGATGGTGATGAAATATTTGATCGACTCACAGTAAGAATCCCTTCTGCACATCTTCATCCGCGACAACTCCTTCCATCGACATCGGCTTCAAAACACACATGTTAACTTACCCTCCAGACATCCGCTCTCAACAAGCATCTATCAAGCTACATGACGGGACTTACAGCCAAGGTTTTCCGAACTTACAACGCTTCGTACACCATGGCAACACTGCTGAAGAAAATGGCCGCCACCGGAACAATTCCAGAGAAGGTAAAGCAGTATAACGACGCAAACCGCGAAGTTGCCATCCTGTGTAACCATAAACGTACTGTTGCGGCAGGCCACGCCAACCAGATGGAGAAACTTGGTGATCGGGTAAGCAAACTATTCCCTGTTGATCCTCCCACTAACTTCATCTTACAAACAAACATCTAACCCAAGAATAGATCAAAGGACTGCAGTACCAGAAATGGCGACTCAAACAGATGATGCTCGACATCGACCCCAAGATCAAAAAGAAGAAGGGTGCCGCTTACTTCGAACTAGGCGACGATCTAGATATGGAGTGGATCAAGGAACACCAAGACTACCTCGTGGAGGAACAACGCCAGAAGATCAGGAAGAAGTTCGAGAAAGAGAACGAAAAGCGAGTTGCTGATGGAGAGAAGGAAATGAAAGCCAAAGAGCTGGATGAACGTCTCAAGGCCGCCGATGAGCTAGACGCAAAATACAAGAAAGAAAACAAGACTAAGAAGGTGGAAGCTGAGGGCCGGGGTCCTACAGTCGAGAAGTTCGAAGGCCAAATCAGCAAAATCGAGCAGCGGATTGAGAATATGCTGCTCCAGGTCGAAGACAAGGAGAATAACAAGGAAGTCGCCCTTGGCACGTCGAAGCTTGTAAGTCATATAACCCAATGCACACCCGCTTTTCTATTATTGGAGTGTAAGATCACTAACGCCACCCGATCGTACCACAGAACTATATAGATCCCCGCCTAACCGTGGTTTTCTCCAAGAAGTTCAACGTCCCGATCGAGAAATTCTTCTCGAAGACGATGCGCGAGAAATTTGATTGGGCAATCAAATCTGTTGATGAGGATTGGGAATTTTGAGTTTATTTTCCGTTTATTTGCCATTTCTTGCATAGCAATTTTTACTTGTACTTATACGTTACGGTCTTGCAGGCCGTAATTTAGCTTCATCTGCCTGGCAGCCTTGCCTGCGTCGATGGCGATGTGTCTGCCATGGGTCCTAAGCGCCCCGTGTTTTCTAGAAGCAATATACAGACCATCTCATAATAGTTCCTTCTCATTACCTAATTAGTATCTCATCTCTAACCTACTCCCTGTTATACCTTTCATAGCACTGGCAAGACCTAAGAGAGAGTGGAAAAGGCAACACGAAGCATCTTCAAGCTGTACTTAGTTCGTAATAACCTATTTATTATATTACAACGGGGGTATATAAGAAGGGCGAAAAGGCTGGCGCGAGAGGAGACGGAGAAGCGAGACTGCTCATGAACGAAACGACTTTGAGAGGGGTTGAAGAAGCAAAAAAAAGAAAAAGGAAAGAAAAGGAAGAGAAAAAAAAAGAAACTCGGGCATCCATGCATCCATAGATCCTATATATCCCGTCTCGAGAAGAAAGCAAAATGCAAACCACGGGAGGAAAAGAAAAGAAAAAGAAGAAGAATTCTCATCTATCCAGTTATAAAGAATAAGTCACACCATCACAAATGGACTGACCATGCGCCAAGTGGAACCGCCACCAATTAAGGCCACCAGTTCATCCGTTCGTAACTTTTGATAACACTACTAAGCCAGTCCGGATCAAGCTTCTCCTTCAAATATGTAAAGCCCGTCGTCTGTTCAAATAGGGATCCGTCGATGGTCGTATCGGTGTCCTTGAGAACTTCCTTTTCCAGAAAGGGGCTGATAGGTCCAGACGTCGTGATTCCTTTAGCCTGTAATAGTTCAGACCAGACTTCTAGAGTTTCCTCGTTCATCTCGTCTAGGATTTGCTCCTGGTTCATTTTAGCGAATTGGCTCATTAGAGATCCGAGAAATTCGCATTTGATGCCGAAATTACGTTCGAGGGCGTCTGCAAGGTCACCTTTTAGCGTGATGTTGTGATCGACGATGTTGAAGGTGGTAGGGAAGGCTGGCGGGTCTTGGTTTGGAGGTAGAGGGCCCTTGGAGGCTCGCCATGTCGCGGCCGTCCAGAGTGCGCGGGCAGCGTCTTCTACCCAGACGGTGTTCAAAGGTCGTTCTTTGGCGTATAAGAAGGTCAGAGGGCGGCCTATCTCCTTGTACGTTCTTCCAACGCAGATGACAGACGTTAGGAGACCGGTGTCATAGTCACCGTATACATAGGGGAATCGTAATATGGCGAGGTTCAAGCCTTCTATCTTCCCGAGCTCTTCTTCTGTAGTGACTTTCCACTTGGTGAGTCTCTGGATTGGCTTCAGCTTGTCTGTCTCCTTGCGTGGTTTCTCGTCGAACTTGTAAATTGCGGCAGACGAGCATTCGACAAAGGCCTTGATTCCTCGTCGAGCAGCTTCTTTTCCGAGAGCCACGGATAGTGCGTGGCTGCGTAGACGGTAGACGTCGTCTGGGTGGGAGTATCGGGATTCACCACCGCAATTTATCACAAGGTCGAACTGGCCGCCGTTTGCACGGTCAAAGACGCGGGGGAGTGACTCTATGAGATGAGACGAGCGGTCAGATATATCGACGGGCAAATGCTACTGGGAGGGCTGGAGGGAGTGAGGGCAGCGTACGCTCACGGCTTGCATCCGCCTGGACGAAACGGTCCTTGCAGGCTTCGGTGATCTCGGGTGAAAGCCAGGCCAGCTGCGGTAGCAGTTTGTCCACCACCCGTAGCTCTGAGGCGAGGTCATTCTTGTGTATGTAATGGATGAGATGGCGGCCGATGAAACCTGAGATGGTGCAGAGAGATGAATCAGCGTGCGGCCTCGTTGACTATCCAACTTCACGTCCATGGTACATACCTAGCCCGCCAACAACCACCACGCTAGGCTTGTTGGTAGTATCACCCGACATTGCTGCTGTACGTGGGATTCTGGTGTTTATAACGGGATATGGGATGAATTGGCCAGAACAGACAGAAGCTGGGCGGGTTATATATAATAAGTTTCCCTCTACTTCCTCTCTTCGTTCACTTCCCTTCTGACCGCAGAGCGTAAGGTTCGTTCGACCGGGAGGAGATTCCCCGACAAATAGGAATTATGTTGGCGCAGGGATAACGCAAAGCGCTACTCTGGCTGAATCCAAGTCGAACAGGCAGACAGACAGACAGACAGGCAGAGAAGAGATGCAGCAGGACTCAAAAGAGGTGCAAGAAGAGATGGAGGCTACGAGGGCAGGCTGGACGTGGGGTCCGGTGAGGCGTTTGCCAGGAGGCGAGGGAGTTTGATATCGAGGCCTATGCAACGGGCAGCGCTGGGCTCGAGTTCTCGCAGCTTAGGGATCAGGACGGTCTTCCCAACAGAAGAATTCGGGCAACTCGTTGGCAGAAGGTGGGGGCACGACTTGAATTAGTAGTGTCGGTATAGGAGGACGTGTTTTTGCTTTTTCATCTCCTGCTGAATTGGCGGCTTGAACCCACTTAGATGACATGCATCATCGGATACCACAGAACAGGGGTTGATCCCACAGGGCAGACGAGAAGACGCAGCAGCGGCAGCCAGTCGACGAGAACCAGCTGGATGGCGCCCGGCCAGGTATCGAGATCCCTCCTGTCCCAAGATGGGGGCCGACCGCAAGGATATACATATATAGCCCTATATCACCGCCGGGTGTAACTAACTTAGCTCTCATGTCTGTCGAAGTTTACGGCCTGCGAGACTTGCAGGGCCCACGACGATGTAATTTACTGGCGTACCAGGCCTGTACCACTGCTGGCTGTCACACCGACAATTCTCTCTCTTTTCTCCTTGCTTTTCTCGTCTTTGCTTTTCCTGGGGGAGAGAGGAGGAGAAGGCTGGTTGCTGATATGTTGCTAATATCGGGCTGCCGTCGGCGAATATAGGTGCGGAGCATCGCAAATGATTCAGGGGCAGGCATGTTTCTTCTCAGCCCAGCCGGCAGCCTTTTTCAAGAACGTCGTATTCGAATCGTCGTCATCTGGCCATCTCGTCATCGTCGTCTTCCGTTAATCGCTGTCGGCCCTCCTGCTGGTGGCCGGGATGCTTTGCAGGAGAGCACGTTTGAAACCAGGAGTAACGCCCATGAAAAAAAAAATTATATATTTATTCATTCTAGAAGGAAATAGATCCATGCAATGCAGGTAAAATTAAAAGGAGGAAGGACGAGCCATTGAAGACGACGCCGATATTACTCAAAAGGACCCTTGCATATTCTCTGCATCTCACGAGTTGGCGCCTATTCTCCGTTATTGGTCGCCCGGAAAAAGGGGCGCATGCGAAGAGACAGACTGTCGGGAGCTCGACATGGGCTGGCACATCTTACATTGAAATATCGCTGTCCTTCATCTGAAGCTAGAATCGAACATGCAGGCTACGATCGATCGGCCTGGATGGCCCCTGAAGCCCCTTACTGGTCCTGTCCGCCTGAACTTGACATCCCCTATTATCCCCTGGGATCTATGCAATATATGTTGGTGATGAAGTAGATGTTGGTGAACCCCAGGAAGCCCTGGACTCCTTTCTAATCTTCAGGGAGGCCGATGTTGGGAGAACCAACATATTATTCCCTCCCCCCTTTCAAGTCCATCATTGATCCCTGGCTTGAGATAGCCGGTTTCTCAACCTCACGCCTATCGATCTCTCCGGACCTCCCTGCGATACCCACTCACCCTGCCTTTTATTGATGGAGATAGGGATAGAGACAAGATATGCTGAGACAGACAGCCCCCGTAATGCTCAGCTGTAGATCTAGAATGCGCTCGGTGGTGTTGTCCAGTCCGAACAGCGTTGATAGCCTATCAGTTCCGGGATACCGTCTTCTTGCAGAGCGCTGACGTTGGCGATCTACCAACACGAACAGCCCCTTGTCGAAGTACTCTTCCCCTCGGTTTTCTCGAAGGACCCGGAACTTGACCCCAGACACCAGACATGGAACACACCGGCTCTCGGACTGCACGGCTGTTCTGTATCAACACACCCAGTTTCAATAGCACGGTCAATATTTCTTATACGATAGACCACTAGCTCGTCGACTTTGCCATCAAACATGCCCAGGGGATTCTTATAATGTTCCAGTGATATCTCCTTTGACTCCCTTTATACTCGGATAAAGATTTTCTGGCATCCTTCCTTACGTTATCCTTGCAAGCCCGTTTGCCCAGGTTCCGAGAAATCCTACCGGATCGTGTTTCTTGAGGATGTCTGTTTTAGCCTGCATCAACCCCTAACTCGGACCGGGCAGAAACATGTTGAAGTCAGGGACGAACCGGCCAGGAGTAGCCCTGTTTGAATACTTGGTCTGTTAAACGGTTCGTTTCATCCACCTATATGTAGGGCTATAATTAAGATATTACGACCATCCTTGAATACCTAGGTCTACTGTGAGTCGAGAACTACATGATATCGGTGATCGTAAGGCCTGGACTCGGAGGAAGCAAAGGAAAGTGGCCAGCATATAAATTCTTTTGAGAGAGGCATGGGCCAACCTGAAATCCGCCATCAAGGCCAAAAAGGAGTATAGAGGACAAAAAGGAGTATAGAGGACAAAAAGGAGTATAGAGGACAAAAAGGAGTATAGAGGACAAAAAGGAGAATAGGTTACAATCTCTTCGTAATCCACATCAAGTGAACACGCATCGGGAAAATAAGTATAATCAAAGAGTCGGAACGCAGAGCATTATACTAACACCTGCTACTTGCCGCTGCTGGTAGGAGTTTCGTCACCACTCCGCTGCTTCACGGCGTGCAAGCCATACGCATGTTCCCCAGCCCTGAATCCAGACCATCACGTCCTCGCCCTCAGAATATGCCTCTATAAGGCTCAAGTGCTTTGAATCTACCTCCCATTCGGATTCAGTCTCTGATCTCAGCGCGTAGGCGAGTCCTTGCACCGCGTATCCATATCAGAACCCGCTCACCGTAGATATAGTGCTCTACCACATATATATATTCGTCCTTGACCTCACAATACTGCACTTGCTCCTCTTTCTTGGGCTTGTCTGGCTCAGGTTCGAACCAACCGCCGAGCCCGTGGAGATGAATTGTTCTCTTTGGATATCTTGTTCGCTTCATCTGGACTTTGCAAGCCATCCATATTTCATGTCAGACGCATTGTCCAGGCTTTTGATTAGTATTGGTCGGTGCTAGCTGGTTCTGTATAGCTGGCCTGGGGTGATCAAGCGCCCTAGGTTTGAGCTGATGATCCTTCATGATAGCAAAAGACAAGACACGGCCGCCCCGAAGCTTGGCGGGAATACGGCTTGCTGGGGTCAAGGCTCGTCTGCGTTAAACAACAACGCTGATGCATGTAGCTCCAGGATGCAGGACTCGAGGCCATGTGGTATTCCATGAAAGCTGGATAGATAAACTATTTAGCTCGCTGGTGAAGCCTTTCTTCCTTGTGGGGCGCTTAGCCGGGCCGAACCTATACTCAAACGTCAAGTCCAACCACTCTTATATCAAATATCTCATCCAGCCTAATAGTCCTAGCATATATACTATTAGTTGGCAGTAATCTTTAGTATACTGCTTCTATGTGTTAAATGCTAGGAAATACCCTTAATCTTAAATTAGGATACCCTACGAAGTATATATTATGTTGATAATAAGATATATAAACAGGATCAGCTGCAGTTGAATAAACGCGATATTCCTCGCCGACGATTTCCATAATATCCCCTAGTTTTAAAGTCGTGCACCATCCCAGGTCCAATCCGAAACGCCATATCTCCCAAATCAAATGTTATCCACGAAAGAAGTGTAGTGGTCAGTTTTCCTTCTTTTCTTTGACTTCGACGACCTCTACAATCTCCAGATCTGCCATGAGCCCATAATGATCTGTAACCCAGAATCCCAGGCCACGAGCCATCATACGGGCCTTAGTTTCTTCCCCTTCAACAACAACTCCCATGCCAATTCGCGTCAGGGCCCTCGCCACAAACCCTCCGCGATAGAACACTTTATCGAGACGTTCAGGTCTAAAGTATTCATGTTTGTCGGAAGTACGCTGGTATCCCCATGTACACCCCTCTACTACACCCTCCTCCCCACCCAACACCAGGTAAGCGTCCTTTAGCTTGTTGTCCTCTGCAATCCGGTCATCCGAAGCTTGAATGGCATTCATATCACCAGCCAGCACGCCACCGTGAATGATCTCTTCCTCCAGGTAGCTTGTAGCTTTAGCTACTTGTTGGGGCCTAATTGGGTGAGCAGACGAAAGCGAGTCTAGATGGGTATTGCAGATTCGGAGTGCCTTCGTTTCTTTGCAGCCGTTTTTACCAGTAACTGTAGCCTCGATGTCAACGAATAATCCATCTCTCCAGAATTTACTCAGCCATCTAACACGGAATACATTCGCAATGCGTAGCGTCATCATATCATGTTTGAACTCCTTGGCTGCACCAGGGGCTTCTCCGACTTGGATAAGTGTGAGAGTTCCATATGGCGCGTCAAATCCACGTGTATCAAAATTAGTTATTGCGAATCTCTCCTGTACCCATTTCGTTTTCCTGACCTGCTCGATGCCTGCCTCGACCATCTCCTGAAACATGATAATGACTGGTGGTGAGTCCTTGGTATATGGCGGGAGAACAAATTTGTTCAGATGGTCCAGTGCTGCATCCACCCGCTCTCGAGTGAATGGAACAAAGGCATCAATGCTCCAGGTGATAAGACGCAAGACGTTATATTCCTTCTCGGGGAGGTCATCGATAACCCGAGTCTTGGTGGGCTCATATTGTATCTGTGGCACAGCTGCTGGCCACGGTGGCCGGACTGACTTCCACTCTTGGGTATCTTTATCAAACACATGCCATGGATGAGTCCGTGGTTTAAAACATGCGTCTAGCATGAAAGGAAAGTTGGACGGCAGGTAGAAATCTGAGGTCATCTCTTCGACGTTCTGGGTATCAGACGAGTGTATCGGTAAATAAAAAGGGGGTAGAAGCTCTCTCTTCTACTAGGGTTTCACCAAATAAAGCCTGCTCGATTACAAGACGTGTCTTGATGCTCATTGATGGGTATCTGGGTGGCCATATATCGCGATCTCCATGTGTAGATAGAGGATAATGAGGTTATCATCTTGCAGAAGCTCGTCTCACCATAGTAGCCCATGGTTTCATTACTTAATTGCTGAGTCGTTAGGCTCCTATATGTGAATGCACATGAGGGACGTTCGGCTTGATAGTAGAGTACAGCTAATAATGTTAAGATGCATGTTCAAAAAAAAATTTTAGTTAGTGGTGGACGTCAACGAAGTGCCAAGATGGCGTATATATTCACTACTAGAATTCACCAACTTGTCCATGTCTACATCCCATTGACAGAAGCATATTTTAGAACAATAGTCACACCCATATGATGACTTTTTTTTAGAGATTCTGTATTAACTAGGTTATATGTACTCCTAAATATCGGAGCCTGTTTAATTAATTAAGACAGTGATTTGTGATTCATAGCCTGCAAGAATAATTTTCCGTGTCAAACACTTGTCATCAATGTTTACCTCCTAATATACATACATAAATGAACATGGTACACCCATTGTGGTCCCTTCAAGGGTCCATGGGTCAAAAAGGTTGTAAAACAGCCACTCGAAGGAGACTGTTGAGGCAAACGAGGGAAAAAAGATAAGTGTAGAAGGCCGAGGGTGCAGCGCGTAGAGATGGGAGATATCCTATCTTGATATCCAACTTTAGGTTCAGCCCGGACATCGCGAGGAGCGGTGTTGACTTCATTTGTTTTTGAAGCAGCTTATTCAAAGATAGAGTAAGGAATACGTTTTCTCGTGCTTTTCGTTAGTCATGAAGCTTGAAATGTTTCAATATACACCCAAAAGCGAAAGTAAATAAAAATTCCACCGAGACGAAACAATTTTAGGTATATGTACTTATATGGCTGGTATTTCTTCAACGGGACCCCAGGAAGCTTAGAGCCTTCTGTAACTCTTTAACAGCCGTGTTTACATCATCGAAATTGAGCGCAGACACTGCCCAGCGAGCATGTTTTTGCGCATTTGAAATTGCTTCCTCGTCAACTGTTTGGCTCAAGGTACTAGCCCCAACGGTTGAAGATGACGCAGGAAGCGTCCCTTTAGGAAGTTGGGTCACGGGGGCCACCATTGGCACTTTGGGGTGAGATGTCCTATCGGTTCCGGGAGATGTACGCTGGGGAGGGCCAAGCGCATGAGACTCAGTGGGAGGGAATTGGGCATCCGTAACGGGCGGAGGGAACGATTGGAGTGTATTGAGGGATGAGAAGTCAGGGGTTGGACCGAGATGCGAGGGGAAGTCAGCACTGCTTGACGCTGGTGATGGAAAATCAGAGGGTGCAGCAGGGAGGTCTGGAACGGTGGCCTGGGAGAGCTGCGAGGGCCTTTGCCGTAGGTGTTCGTCAAAGTCCATCATTCCTGACGGCATAGTAATTGGCGGGCTTGGAAGGCCGCTGCCTGGTGCGCTTGTAGGTGCGCTTGGGATATGGAGAGGACCCGTAGAACGTGGCGGAGGAGCAGCAGATGACGAACGTGAGGGATGGATGGATTCGTTTAAGGATGACTGTGCTGCTAGTTTACTCTGAACCTTATCGAAGTCATCTGGTATATCCTCGACGGAAGCCTGTCGCCCCTTTCTAAGCTCTTCTGGCGAGCCCTGCGCCTCTCCTCCAGTCGAAGGACCACCCTCTTCAGATTCTTGTGGGTTTTCTGCATTCGTAGGATTGGACTGGTTCGGATCTTCGCCTGCTTTGATAGCCTTCACAATACGGACAGCATGATATTTGGCAAATTTGGTTTTCGAGGCTGTCTCGGCATCAGGTTGGCCCCATGCCTGGCCAAGGTCTAAGAATGTGGCTGCTGCCTGGAAGGTATCCGCAGTTTGTCTATCCAGACGTTAGAATCCACGAAAAAAACAATCATAAAATAAGGGAGGATATTAGCATACAGTGTCGCTTTATTTGCCCGGACTGCGTTATCTGCTCGTTGAAATGTTTCCAAGGCGAATTGTTCCACGTATGCCTTGCCAACAGTGTCATCTGTTATCGTATCATCACCGGCATGCTCTTTTTTAAACTAAGACGAAGAGAGATGTTAGTATATGTAGAATAATCCACCATAGACCTCTGTAGGGTTAGGTAAATAGGCAGTTGAAGCTATCCAGGCAGCCATACCTTCTCCAGTTTATCCATGAGATCAGTGGTGTATTTCAGGCATTCTTCGTCCGAGTTATGGAGATTTTTAGCTAGAATCTGAGTGACGACCCAGAAATTGCCTGTAAAATGTCCTTCTTATTAGTACTTGACGCTGCACGGAGGTACTTGTACAGCTGAGCTATAGAAAATGGGTGGGGGCTGCAGCGTACACCAGTATGAAATAGCTGGCTTCGCCTTCTCAAGCTGTGCGGCCCGAGTCAGGAAACGGCTAATGTCTGCGGACTTGAGGCCGGCTGGGATATTTGTCGACATTTTGGCGGTCTGGTCCAGAAATGGTTGCTGAGATATACTTGCGGCGATGCTGCGATGATGGAGAGCTACAAGAGAGTGGAAGAAAGAGCTTCGGCCAAACGTGGGGACAAATGACGTTTATACTGCTTAGTAAGCCGGGATATCCCCACCCCGGATATAAACAATTGTGTATAAGTATATTTAACTATGTGGTGGTTAGGAGGTTTGGAGGCATTTATTTCGTATTATGGTAATGAAGCTAGAGCTTCAAGGTAAATCAACGCTAGTCTGCCTTTCCCACTTCGTTGGATCTTTAGGTCACAGTATGCAGGAGAGCTCACCCATCTCCAACCCCCCATGAGCCTATACCTATTCGCTCCTCTGAGAGAATCTCCACCTCAACACGGTCTTCAACCTGGCCACCTGGCCCGCCAATGCGTTCAACAACAAGCCATATCCCTCCTCTCTGTTCAAACTCTGGCTGTAAATCGACTGCTTCAATACGAGCACCCCTCACGTCATCACTAAAGTTCCCATCTCCAGATCCAGCGAGTATTTCTTTGTATGGCCCTTGTCCAAGTTCTAGCGTCATGAGAATGGGAGAAGGCGCGGCGTTGCGGTCTCCGATCGATGACCCACGGCGTCTGCATATCAACTTCAGCCTCGCCAGGCGAGGGGTGGTGATTGGAGCTAAGATTCGGTCCGTTCCAGGCGGGAATATTCCAATGCCAGAATTCATGACCAGGCGTCCTGCTCCTTCTGCCGGCAGTGGTTTGATCGAGCAGGGTCGGGTCGTGGAAACGCACAAGGTGAATTTTCCCAACTGGTCTGGGGAAAATGTCGAGCAGACAATGGTGTATAGCCCTCTTGCGACGTCACTCTTCTCAGCCAACGCGCAGCCACGGCGATAATCGCCGCTGCCAACCACAATATCCCGTGAGCGAACACAGGCCACTCGGCCCCCCTTCGACCAGATAACACTCACATGGGCCGCGAGACCAGGATCATCCGCCTCGAGAAGGACATTAATATCACATTTCTCGAGTACCTGCAGCTGAAACTGGGGATTTTCAGGGTATCTCTCGGATTCAGCATTACCACCGGCTGTGGATATAGTCCAAGACCCTGGTAGCTTTTTAACGTATGAATATATTTCCTTCACGGGGCTGATGGTTATTGGAGACATTGCAAGGGCGGAAAGAGAGAAACTGTATAGCGATCTCTGGAGAGATTGCTCAGACACTACAGCGGTATATGTGGAATTAGGCAGCATCTCTAACCTCATAACCGTGTTTGGCGAATCCACGTACGGGCCACGTCGTAGGGCACCGTCTGCCAGATAAACCCGAGTTCCATTCTTGTCAAACACATAAAGGCTGATAAACTCAGCTTCATCAACGTCCGAAGCCACTTCTAGGAGCTGGTTTGTGTTGCTTTTATAATCTCCGGTCTTGAAATGTTTACCCAGCAGGAGCCATACTGTTCCTCCGGCCTTGGTAGAAACGGCAAACTGGGGGTTTTCAGCGAAACATCCTGGAACAATGCTCGCTAAAGACAGATCCCAACGAAAATGAATATCTTGACGGTGGCGGAATAGAGTGGGATTCCAATTGAGATACAGGTTATCGAAATTTTGGAGAACATCATCATATGTCATCCAGAATGTGCCAGGGGCCGTGGTTGAGGGGTGTGATGGTACAGGTTCAGAGACGGCTTCATTTAGAGCATAGCTTGCTCTAAGCTGGCCTACTCCTTTCCAAACAGGCCCAGCGGCCCATGGATTTTTGATTAGCAACTGGCGAATGCTGTCCTTTTCTTGCAAGTTTAGCACGGCGTAATCATGCAAGCTTATAAGGCCAAGCTCATTTTCTTCGTACTCTGTGAGTTTCCCAGTGCCCAGTGTTAGTAAAATGTCACTCGACTTGAAAAACTTAGTAAGACGCTGCCATAAGTAGTCCGGGGCCAATTCGTCATGGTGCAAGAAGACTTGTTCGGGAATCCAGCCAGTTAGAATCCATAAGTCGGTCCCAGAGTTGCTTCCGGGGAAGTCGTAGCCACCCCTTACTTTTAGGTATACTTTCTCAACCAGTGCAGGCCATATCGCGGTAGGGTTATTCCTATCTATGACGTGGAGAGATCGCAAAGTTTTTGAAGCAGGAAGCATATCATCAATGACGACCTTTCGGTAACAACCATTGAAATAAAGGCGGAATATATATTTCCCGGATGGAGAAATCAGTGGAATGTGGTCATCCCCAGAGGGATACATTTTTACAGATCGGACCAACTGTTAGAATAATATTAGAAATGCCCCTCGCGACGAGAATACGGATTTGTGGGAAAGTACCTGAGAGACTCCTTTCTTTTCCGGGGATGCACCAGTGCAAAGGCTTGCCACAACTGAGCAGTCCGTGGTTACATCTTGCACCAAGTCCATGGGGTTTGAGCCCAATAAGATCGGAGAACCAGTAGTATGGTGGCCCAGAATCTCGGAGGGCCGTTTCCAGCCATCGAATATCTCTCGCTGGACAGGGCATATTTGGAGTTCAGCAATGTCACTTTATAATGAAATGAGTAAATTTCCATGTAAATTCCGAAAAATCAAATATTCTTACAGGAATAATCCACCCTCCTCATCCAGTTGGAACTCTCCTGGATCAGGAACTGCCGTCGCTGACCAAGGTGGAAAAACAAATCCATTTAATTTTGAATTTTCAAGTAAAATGATCTGTTCACGGTTAGATGGCGTTCTCGTAGAGGTTGGCTCCTTATCCCCTGGGCCTGGCTGTGGGGAGGGTATCACTGAAGACATGGGGGCTGGCTGCCTCTCTCTGTCCTTAGATATCTTGATCCTTTCAGCTAAAGTGAGGTACTCCTTGCACTTTGAGTCAAATAGTCTCTTCTCGGCAGGGTCATCGACCAGCCTGAGGGCATTCATATAATGCTCTGCCGCGTTAATTGCAGCTTCCAAGGCCAGTTTCTGTGTCGACGCCGAACGAACATCTTTCTCGGCCGCCTGTGAATCGGGATGTTAGCCGAGTCAGGGTCATCACCATGCTAACTTTTCATGCAGGCAGCGGAAGCAGTACCAACGCCTGGACCTTGATGTCTCTTAACTGGGACATCTCGGCAGCCCTGCGAGTCTATAGTCTCATAGTAGCCTGTGTACCTCACCTAGCGATGAGATGGGCGTGTTAGCCACGTTAAGAGAACACCGTCTCCTTGTCCTCTCGCCGTGACAGCACTATCTAACGTCCACAAGGAGTTCCCGGCCGATCCAACGGCGTGATATCATGCGAGATGTCGTCTCCTTCGTGGCTTGACGTCTTTCCCCTTTCCCCCCACGCGCCGAAAATTTGCCGACACTCTGCTTACCTAATACCGGATCCCCGTGACAGGCGAGGTTCCCCCGGCCCAAGTTAAGCCTCGGCTTTAATCCTGCGATATAGTTATGCGGTTCCTGCTGGTTTTCGTACAGCCATGAATAGTTCAACCCCCCCAGCGGCCACGGACTGACATTGAACGGGCCGGTTTCTTCTGCGAGTATTACGTATAGACTTGTTATCCCTTATATAACGTCTAACAACTTGTTCCCCTTCAAGAAACCCTGCGGAGGCCTGCTCTCTCTCCCTCTTGACGACAAGTGCATCATATTCAGCTCCATGTCCGGTCAATCGAAGCTCTCCCCCTGGCAAAGTGCCGTTGCGGGCGCGACTGGAGCAGTCGTCGCAAATGCACTCGTATACCCCTTAGATATGTGAGTTCGTCTTTAATTGCCTGTGTTCACCTTCCGCGCCCTGGGCTTCTCTGCGGCATGGTCACAGCTAATTCCGCCTTTCTTAACCCGCAGCGTTAAAACAAAATTACAAGTTCAGGTCAAGTCCCAGAAACTCCCGAAGGGCGATTCCGCCGATGGTACAGTACACTACGAATCTACAATTGATGCGATAAAGAAAATCTTCGCCGACGAAGGCATTCCGGGCCTATACTCTGGTATTAATGGCTCCCTTATCGGCGTGGCCTCGACAAACTTCGCATACTTCTATTGGTACTCTACTGTCCGAACACTGTATATGAAGTCAAGACCGAATCAGCAGTTGGGTACTGCCGCTGAGCTTGCTCTTGGTGCTATTGCCGGAGCGGTTGCCCAGGTGTTTACGATTCCCGTTGCTGTCATTACCACAAGGCAGCAAACTCAGCCGAAGGGGGAGAAGAAGGGACTACTCGACACCGGCCGGGAGGTTGTAAATAGCGAAGACGGATGGACTGGATTATGGAGAGGATTGAAAGCCAGTCTAGTCCTTGTCGTCAATCCGGCGATCACATATGGAGCTTATCAGCGGCTCAGAGAGATTATATTCCCCGGCAAGACTAACTTGCGGCCTCTGGAAGCGTTTTGTGAGTTATTCTATCCCACTCGAAGGTGTATCCTCCATTCCCGGAATATAGTATCTGACCTGTTCTATGTGAAGTGTTGGGAGCAATGTCAAAGAGCTTAGCCACAATCGTCACTCAACCCTTGATTGTGGCCAAGGTTGGCCTACAGTCTCGCCCGCCACCATCTAGGAAAGGAAAGCCATTTAAGAGCTTTGTCGAAGTTATGCGTTACATCATTGAGCATGAGGGTCCTCTAGGGCTATTCAAGGGCATTGGTCCTCAAATTACAAAGGGACTGCTGGTCCAGGGTCTGCTGATGATGGCCAAGGAGAGGTAAGATCCCTTTTATCATTCCAAATACTCTTTATAAACCCATTACTTACTATGAATTTTGCAGGATCGAGCTTCTCTTTATCCTATTATTCGCCTACCTGAAAAACATAAGGAAGGAGAAACTTCAGAAGGTTGCCGATGCTGCTGCCGCCAAAGCAAAGGAGTCACTACCAGTCACCTTGAAATAAAGGATTTATGCAATCATATGTTCAATATTTGGTCTATACATATGTATAGTGTTGCTTGATTGTTTTATTGCTTCAAAGGTGGCTAAAACTTGGTTTTGGTTTGCAATTTGTATGATTTAAAATATATAGATTCAGCTTCACATATCAACACAGGCTTGGGTTCTCATTTTCATTATTAGTATTATCACAGCCTCCCTGTAGAGATAGTTCGTTGTATGCCAATTAAAATACGCATGGCTGGTGATGCCAAGACATGCTTCGGTATATAAGCTTATTTATTTTAACTCATGCGATGTTTATACACACCACTTAAAAACAAAGAATACTGCGACGCAGTATACTCTATTTAACATTACCTGGGACTAAAGTCTACATGATATATTTGAGTTGGCTTTGGCTATATCATTAGGAGAGACATCTTCAACTTCCCTTGCCGAAATCACCATGCGATGGCTATTCTGGACATCTGCAAATGACAAGGATGATGAATGCAAGTGCAACAAAACAGCAAGCTCCAATAGTGACGATAAGCCGTCGACCCTCCTAGGATCCAAGAAGGATTGGAACTCATTAACCAATGCTACGAACTGGTCACACTTCCTCGAACCACAAAATCTCATCCCTACCGTCCTCCTCACCAGCGGAATCCTATTCGCCGCTCGAATACATCGCAAATATCTACGCCGTATTCCCGAAGCAACCAACATATCACCTTCCTACCTTCGACAGCGGAGCATACTGGGGAAAGTCACGAGTGTGGGAGATGGAGATAATTTTCGAATCTATCATACACCCGGTGGGATACTGGCTGGGTGGGGATGGCTTAGGAAAGTGCCTACTTCTAAAAAAGAGCTGAAGAATAACACTGTATGGGGTTATCTATATTGCTCACTCCTCTACTATTTTGACCATGCGATTTCTAATCGGTAGCAGATTCACGTCCGTATCGCAGGCATAGACGCACCCGAATTAGCTCACTTTGGACGCCCAGCGCAACCCTTCGGCCAAGAGGCACATACATGGTTAACGAATCGACTTACCGGCCTCAGAATACGCGCCCACGTCTACCGCCCGGACCAATACAGCCGTGTCGTGGCTACCGTGTATGCCTATCGATTTCTATTCTTCCCTCAGGATATTGGATTGCAGATGATACGAGAAGGCCTGGCAACTGTTTACGAAGCCAAGTCTGGCGCTGAATTTGGTGGAGCCGCACGCGAGAAGAAGTACAGAGATGCCGAGGCATTGGCTAAAAAGAAAGGAAAGGGACTTTGGAAAACGAAAGAATCGAGTACTTGGGAAAGCCCAAGGGAATTCAAGTCTAGGATGAGCGCGGAGGACAAGGAGACGGGCACTTCATGATTTACGGGTGACATTTTTGAACGTATGGCAAATACCTTCTTGATTTGAGCGTTCGAGCGTTTAAAGATTTCCTTGGGAGTATTTGGGACAATGTGATGATAATGATATGGTTTCTAGCAGTCCATATTTCAAAGATTTATGATGATACATATATTATGATATCTATGTGTCAGATGTTGTTACAGTTGAAACGTTGAAATCTTAATCCAACTTTAGGTTGAACAGAAGTATTGAAAGTCAAAAAAAATGCGGCACTTTGGCCGATATGACATACAGGGGTATCAACAGAACCGTCTTTCAATTTCAGCAAACAGCTTCGGGCTAATGTCATCACTGGTGTTGCCCTCAACACGCCAAACGCACCCTTTCCCTTCATAATGATCCAACAAAGGCTTGCTTGTCTCTTCGAATTTCTTAAATCTCTGCTCCCAAACCTCCGTGGAATCGTCGTCTCGCTGCACGAGGGGTTCCCCCGTTATATCATCCTTTCCCGGTACCTTTGGGGCATTGAACTCCGTGTTATATACCCGGCCGGAACCAGGATGAACCCATCGAGATGAGATCCTCGATAATATAATAGCTGGCGGAGTGTGGAGGTGGACAACTAGGTTTATCGGAACAAGAGCTTCTAGGCTGCTTGCTTGTACGGCTGTTCGTGGAAACCCATCGAGTATGAACGATGCCGATGAGTTGAGTGATGTCTTAGTTGATGGCGCGGAAGTTGTACGCTTGGATGATGGCTCGAGCCACCCTTTAGAGGTAAGTTCGGAGGATATCAGGTCTAAGATCGTTGCATCGGGAACCAGTTGTCCTGCAAGCAGCGTTGACTGGACTTTTAGACCTGCGAGTATTTATCGTCAGCGTTAGTGGCCGTCGATAACGTACTTTGTTAAGTTTATGGATATAACATACCTATATCTGTCTTTTTGCGGATGTTCTCCCGTAACAGATCTCCGGAGCTGATCGATGCAAGCTGTGGGTACCTGCTAATCAACCTCTCCGTCTGTGTCCCTTTCCCTACACCCGGCGCACCAACAAGGATTATTCGTGCAGCCTTCTTCAGCCGTCGAGTTGCTGCGCCGGCCATTATGCTTTCGAGATCGAAAAGGGAAAGGGGAAAGGAAGCTGCCGTCTATGAAGGTGTTAAAACCCGGTGGTCGTGTGAGAAGGCAGTACGGACGTCGAGTACCCTGTCAAACGCGCGGAAACTTGAAACAGCAAAATGAGATTGAGTCTAAGTCATCTTTATGGATAAATTGTCGATGAGGGGCCAGGGAAGAGCGTGCGCGACTAAGATATATAGAGCATATGCGCCTCCTAGTAGCCGTAGCGTAGCGTCGATGGAGTTCCGAAGCCCGGAATTGTTGAGATGGCGAAGGGAAGAGACAAGGGAGCGTCTCTAAGCCGGCGGGGGCCAATCAGAGGCCGTCGGGATAAATAGTTCTATCACGTGTCACGCCTGCCATGTGCCTGTCTTATCGCCGAGTTTTCGCCGTCGGCCCAGGGCATTCGCTTAGCATGAGACGGTAAAGAAGAGCATGAGATGCATTTGTGCTCGATCAGCGAAGGAGGGCAAGTCTACCTACGAAGTTGCATGTAAACCACAAAGAGCTCCATTTCTAGAGAGGAGATGTTAGGGGAGCTTTCCTGACCCTTGTAACACCGACTGGCAGGAACAGCTATATATCACGTGACTACTACACACCGAGTCAAGGACCTCAATAGGCAGTCGAAGGCCAGAGGAATAGTAAACATTCAATATAGAGTCTCAGTGACGGTTTAAGAGGATCTGGAAGTTATGTAGGAAAGGTTGCTGTATTAACAATTTCAGTCGCACCAGGTCAATTAGTTTGATGCGGAGCGATTCAATGTGATTATCTGCCTCCTCTATGGATATAGGCTGATAAATACAGCGGCCAGCGGGTCGAGCGTGAAAGCTGGTTACCTTTAACAAAAATATCAAGGAAGAGCAAGACCTTGTGAAGATGGTTTCCCAAGAATTGACTAGGTATACACCTCTCTTGATGTATGTAGGTGCGGACTTCCAAGCTGATTAGAAGAAGAACCCAGAGAAGTCATGATCACCTCCAGCCGAGTCAAGATGAGCTTGACGCCGCTTTGCATGAGGCTCGTTGCTACTGGCATGGCCTTACGCAGCAAGCTATCACTCAATACAAACATGGTCTTCCTTCGAAATGTCTTCGGCCTGAAAATATGCTCGGATGTGTTCCAGCAATGCCGGATATTCATATGAATGCTTGCCATGAGGTTTTTGATACGTTTACATCAAACGGAGTACTCTATATTAGAGCAGACGGTGTGTGGGTTGTTTCAGATGGCGGTGAGTGCGGCATTGGCGGAAAGCAGAAGATACGAGCTGCGTCTCTCCCGATAGGAGTTCGACGGCCCACGTCCGTTTGCTTCAAAAACGATGCCTTTCACAAAGGGTTCGGAGTGGACGGAGCTCCTGAGGTTAGTATCATCGGGTACTTGCCTTGGGGTGGTCATACATATTTTCGGCAGAATTGGTTAAGAGACAAGGATCAGGATCGTCCTGCTTAGACTATACCGACTCCATTGCAGAAATATGCCATGAGAAGGCAGAGGCGATTGGTAATATAATTGACGTTGGCTCCGTGAGTGCGCAGGCAGCACGATGGTGGGCATCACTCCTGGCACCTGGACAAGGTTGGAAAGCTACAGTGTTGCAGAATGATAGTGCCAGCTACATCTCGCCCTGGTCTGTGGCGCTCGACAACGATGAAGGCTTCAAGGTTAGGGTGAGTGATTTCCCAGCAAATTCAACAATGAAATCCCTAGGGCCTCCATCCTCCCAACAAGCATTGGAGTTTCTTGTCGAATTTTGCACGCTTCACGGTTCCCATAGCCAACTCTTTGCAGCCCTCGCAACTGCTATGACATTCCCAGCACACAACTACTATGGAACAACATCCAGATTGCCTCTCCCATGTGGATCGAATACTCTCAAATTTCCGCAAGTCACAGCGGATGTTGAAGAACTTTATGCTCAAATCCCCTACTATATGACGATGAGTTGTGACCATAACGTGACTGTTTCGAGTCTCTGCGGTGTATTTTGGGAACCCAAAGTATGCTGTAATTTAGTTAGTCCATGGCTCCATCCTGCGCTCAAAGAAATACCCAATAATTATTCCGGCTCTCTTTCCTTCGATGAGATTATCCCTTTACTTTGTGCGATACGATGTCCAAATCTTGCGGCTCTTTGGCTCGGAGCCACCCTTAGTGGGCTTTCTTCTACTATTATTGAGCTTGTTGGCAGTGGAACTCCTCCCCTAGCTACCAACGGTGCGCCATGGACTGGTAACCCACAGTCTTTCATGGACATTCCGGGTTCAGGCCCATATGTTCAGTCTGATTCCTCAAAGGATAAGCTCTTTAGATCGGACGCCTGGCGCCTTCTATACCTACCGCCCGCCATTGAGGATGACTTGCATTATAATAGCCCGCCGTTTTCACCATGGCAACCTGTCGGCATGACAGAATTCCAATATACAGCGATTAGAGTGAAAGCCCATAGAGATTGTCCCCGTCACGAGCTTGTTTACCATCACTGGTCATGGTGCCTGGGGAATGGTTCAGGATTGGAAGATCGCGGCTATTCTTCAGACGCCATCTCTCATAACCCCTATAAAATAGGCCCTCCTATGACAATCATGGACCACCCAACACTATCCCTGACAGATCAGGAAGCATCCATGATGGCGTCACGAGAAGTATTTGCGTGGGTTACTCGTAACTGTGAAGGATATCCTCCCGAGGAGATATATTCTGACTCATGGATACGTGATGATAGCGAAAGCGAAGCGTCAGAGGCTTGCACGTCTTCTAAGAGTACAAGATCCACTGGCGGGTTGACTGGGCCATCAAATTTTCAATCATGAATTATGAGAACGAACACACTCGGAACTATGGACAACTAGGCTCCCAATGAAAAGCGCAAAGGCTTGGTTAATGGCCATTATACCATGGGTATCGTTTGCTTCGACCATAAATTCAGAGACGATAGTGTTTTACTTCATTGTAATACTTTTATATATGACTATGATGTCAAGCACCGTATCCTGGCTCCCGACACGCAGTATATGGATTAGATCATGACGATAGCATGATCTCACTACTTGCTCGGATTCCTCGGCCCTTGTACACTGCAGGGAGAGCTTGAACATCACTATCAAAACCAGTTCCGTTTGATCATTCAGTCACGATGTGCGCCTGCAAACTTTTTATCATGCATGCAAATGCCCTCAACCAATGGAAAGACATGCGTATGGGGCGGTCAGGCCTTGCAGATAACATATACCTTGTAACAACGAGGTATTAAAAACCGGAACCCCTAGTGGGATAAAGACGATCTGCGAGCCCGTTTAGATGCACAAGATGTTGATGTTAGACTTTTCACAACCACCCCTGCCTACATGCTGATCGATGAGGGTTGTATAGACGAACATCCTCTAAAAAATATGTGGGGTCGAATCGAGAACTAAATTTCGAGTCTGAAGTAAGTACACGTCACCGGTCATGATGCAGAGAGTGATCGATGAGATAACTCTAGTTTCTCAACTCCGCGCTTATTTCTTCGATGTGAAGCTGAACCATGGAGTGGCCATTTCAGATTGAGGTTACCTAGCCAGCTACAGGAATGGTTTGTTATAGAAAATGGTGCACTATCATGTCGACTACTTCAAAATTTGAATGGTAGCTAGGGATGTTGTCAATTGTAAGGAAGTTGCTTCTCTAAAATAATCAATATGCCAAGACTTTATACTTAATAAGCAAACGGTATCTCCCACGTGATTCGTGACTGAAAGTGGTTTCGCGTTGAGACGCGTTATTGCATCGTGAATCTCCAGAACACGGCCAAATATCTCCCACAACACCACCACATTAACACAGGGTTGAAAACGATGCAGCAATACGATAGAAATCGAATCGAGGCAAAGCGCCGCGCTGGCATTGATCATAAGAAGCGGCAGTTTGCAGCTCCAACCTATAAAAATCTGCATTATTCCCATCGCTTAAACTTCTATGAAGTACCCCCAACAGCTGAAATCACGCTCGAGCAATTTGAACAATGGGCCATCGACCGGCTTCGAGGTATTCTAACGCCTTCCCCCATGCTGTAAAGCTGTCGATACTAACCTCCATAGTTTTATCCGAGCTCGAAGCATGTTCCTATCGAAACAAATCTCCCACGGAGACAGCTGCCCACATAGGCCCGTTACTTAAAAAATTTCTTCCTTTGAACTCAAACACCTCCTTGGGCACGGGCAGTGATGATATACTACAGAACGAGAGACAAAAGGACCACTATTCCCATTTCATACTGCGGCTTGCGTTCGCTGGAACAGAAGATTTAAGGCGCCGTTTCATTCGTCTAGAGTCAATGCTATTTAAATTCCGGTTCCAACAAGATGACGCAAGGGAACGACGTGAATTTGTCGATAGCTTACACTTATGTTGGGAAACGGTGACGGATGAAGAGAAGGCGGAATTGGGTGACGCGTTGTTGGCGTCAACTCCGGGTGTGAGATGGCTCGATGACGAGAGCTGGTTCAAGGTAGATTGGGAGGCCGTCCCAGAGTTAATCGAGCGTCGAAACGTATACGTGAAGAAGGGGAAAGCATACGTACCGTTGCGCGAGCAACTCAGCATGATACTCGCGGAATTCACCGCCCGGCTGGAAAAGGCTATGGAGGTATCTTCGCCTCCCATCTTTCTCTTTTCCAGTTTAGCTTGGCTACAGTTACTAATAATAAATCCATAGCTTACGAGCCGCGCACTACCTCGACTTGATGAAGACGATCGTCTATCACCAATACTGGAGCATCTGTCCAAAAACTTTGGAACAGCTGATTCTACATATTCTGAGGGAGAGGGCGCCGTTCCTGGTGCCCCAATCAACGCGGCCTCAATCGACGTTCTCTCTCAGCATTTCCCACTTTGCATGCGAAATCTACACATGCAACTACGCAAAAATGCCCACCTAAAACATTTTGGCCGACTTCAATATACCCTTTTCCTGAAGGGCATCGGCCTCTCGCTCGACGATTGTTTGGTGTTTTGGAGGCGGTCGTTCCGAAACCTAACCGACGACGAGTTCAATTCAAGATATAAATATAATGTCCGCCACGCGTATGGAGATGTTGGCGGTGATATTAACCGGAGAGGGCGAGGGTATCCGCCTTACTCGTGCCAGAAGATTCTTACTGACAACGCCCCGGGCACTGGCCAGACGCACGGGTGCCCCTATCGACACTATTCCCCTGATAACCTTATAGCGTTGCTTGAAACGACTGGAATAACTGATGCAGAGACCCTTCGCGGCGTGCGAGACGACGTCAAGAAGACCCGTTATCACATTGCATGCAATCGAGTGTTTGAGCATGTGCATAAGAGCGAGCTGAAGAAAGTTCGTGATGAAGGGATATGGGGTCAGACGGAACTCGACACCATCGTCCATCCCAATGTTTACTTCAAGCGGAGCTATCTACTGAAGAACTTGAACAACGCACCGAAAACGGAGGTTGAAATGACGTCGTGACATGTTTATGACCTGAATGGCTGCTATCGGCGCAAACGGTATATCGGAGGGCGTACTTGGTTATTCATCTATATTAATCTTCTACTTGTCCACATATCCAACAAATATTCTGGTCCAATTCACTCGCGGATACTTGTTTCTGTAGCATGTAGAAACATATCAGCTTCCTCCTCTCGACTTGAACTCCAGAACTCGTAGGGAGCGGTGTGTGTATAGTGATAGTAGAACACCTACGACGACACAACAATCGCTCGCATGATGAGAAGAATAATCCCTAAATATCGGTGAATATATGTTACCGCGGCTGATTCCCGGTCTATCGTGAAGCATCAGAATGAGCTTTCAAAACCAGGTGCCCAGCGATGGGTATGAATATTGAATCTTCGCTCGACGCGAAAACAGCAATGCCATAGAAAGAAGGCAGAAGCTGCCAACGTAATGTGAGTTTGTCGGCGTTGTTTGTTAAAAGAGAAAAAAAAAAAAGAGAGAAGAAGGGGAAAGAGTGGGAGGAGGTTCTATTTAAAAGGTTTTTTTCCCATCGAGGCTACGGCGGGCGGGAGAGACCAAACCTACTACATCCTGCAACCTGGCTTCAAATCGGCTCCCACCACCCGTCAACCCCAAAGCTGCTGGCTTCCATACCGCTTCAAGGCGTCAGTGCTAGCAATCTGTCCTCTCTGCATTCTCTTTCTGCCTAATGTGATTATGTTTGCAGACCTTTGTTATTGATACACTTGCTCCAACACCATCCTCTCTTGTTTTTCGTTGTGCTACTCCTCCAACCCTTGACCCCCGATACCAAACGACAGTACCTTACGGCAGGATGGATTTCGAGGCCCTGAAAGACCAGTGGACTGATGCGGAGGAGCGCGATGGCGTTCGGTTGAGCTGGAACACATTTCCAAGCACGCGCATGGTTCGTCTCTTTCCAGGTTCTCGTAGATCTATCTCGTCCAGTACCTAACGGTGGCTACAGGAAGCATCGCGGCTTGTGGTTCCCATTGGAGCTGTCTACACCCCATTGAAGGAGAAGGTGGATGGATTGTTGCTACAATATGAACCGGTTACCTGCAAGATGCCCTGTAGGGCAGTTCTTAACCCCTTTGCGTATGTTATTGACAACCGCCCCGCCTCCTCACTTTGAGTCGTCATTAATTGACCGTTCTAATAGTAATGTCGATATTCGCGCACGGATCTGGATATGCCCATTCTGTCTCCAACGCAACCCTCTCCCACCGCATTATAAAGATATTACGGAAAGTACAATCCCGCCGGAGCTTCATCCAGAGAACAGCACTATCGAATACCGGTTAGCCCGCCCTGCGCCTGCGCCTCCAATCTTCTTATATGTGGTGGATACTTGCCAGGAGGAAGACAGCTTGAAGGCGCTGAAGGAGTCCCTCATTATGAGCTTGTCCCTATTGCCACCAAATGCACTTGTTGGCTTGATCACGTTTGGAACAATGGTATGCAAGATAAGGAATTTGATAAATTTGATATAACCGCCACTTTTCACCCACTGACACCGCTTTTTACAGGCACAAGTCCACGAGATCGGATACACCGAATGCGCAAAATCCTACGTCTTCCGGGGCAGCAAGGATTATGCCGCAAAGCAGGTTCAAGAAATGCTTGGTTTACTTGCTCCCAACCTCAGAGCTGCTGCACCACAGCAACCAAATCGGCCTAACCCTGCAAACTCCCCAGCCGCTCGGTTCCTCCTCCCTGTTCAACAGGCTGATTATCAAATTACAAATGTCCTAGAGCAGTTACAGCAAGATCCATGGCCTGTTGCCAATGATAGACGTCCCCTAAGATGTACTGGTGTGGCACTTAGCGTTGCCATTGGCTTGATGGAGACCTCTTTCCAGGGTGCAGGTGGTCGAGTGATGTTGTTCACAAGCGGCCCTGCTTCTGAAGGACCAGGCCTAGTTGTTGGACCTCAACTAAAGGAGCCAATTCGATCCCATCACGATATTGATCGAGACAACATCAAATATTTCAAGAAGGCTGTCAAGGTATGATCACCGTTCTCTACTCCGTGTTAGTCAATGGTACCTAACATCTACTAGTTCTACGATAACCTAGCAAAGCGGGCAGCTCACAACAGTCACATCGTGGATATATACGTCGGTTGCCTTGACCAAGTTGGTCTACTAGAAATGAAGGGCTTGGTCAACTCAACCGGAGGTCATATGTTACTTACCGATAGCTTTACTTCTTCCCAGTTCAAACAATCTTTTGTTCGGGTTTTCGACAAAGACCAGAATGATAACCTTACCATGGGATTCAATGCTTCATTAGAAGTTCTTACAACCAAGGAGCTAAAGGTTACAGGTCTCATCGGGCATGCAATCTCGCTCAATAAGAAATCCAGCTCTGTCGGCGAGACAGATTGCGGAATTGGAAACACATGCTCCTGGAAAATGTGTGGAATTGATCCCGCCGCCAGTTATGGCTTGTTCTTCGAGATCGCCAATCAAGGCGGACCAGCTCCAATGCAGCAGGGGCCTCATCGTGCAATGATGCAATTCTTAACCTATTACCAACACTCCTCTGGCCAATATCACCTCAAAGTCACAACTATCGCGAGACCCCTCAGCAGCCCCGCTGGCGATGCAGCTCTTGCACACTCGTTCGATCAAGAGGCTGCAGCAGTTTTGATGTCTCGTATTGCAGTATTCAAAGCTGAAGTCGACGACGGACCAGATGTTCTAAGATGGGTTGATCGAATGCTTATCAGGCTCTGCTCGCGTTTCGCAGATTACAGGAAGGATGACCAAACCTCCTTCCGACTCGAAAAGAATTTCACCCTCTATCCTCAATTCATGTTCCATCTTCGACGAAGTCAATTCTTACAGGTATTCAACAATTCACCTGACGAAACTGCCTTTTATCGACATGTCCTCAACCACGAGTCCGTTAGCGATTCCCTTGTCATGATCCAACCTACCCTCGACTCATACTCGCTCGAGCACGAGGGAGGCCAGCCAGTGCTGCTTGACTCTGCTTCCATTCAACCTGCTCATATTCTTCTACTGGATACCTTCTTCCACATCCTTATCTTCCATGGTGAGACGATGGCTACGTGGAGGAAGGCGGGATATCAAGACCAGGAAGGATACGAAAACTTCAAGGCAATCCTTGACCAACCGAAGGAGGATGCTAGGGTATGCAATTCCCCAGTAAGACTATCTATGAATTAGTTCTAACTTGCTTTCTTCTCTACAGGAACTCATCCAAGACCGATTCCCACTCCCACGTTTCATTGTCTGTGATGCTGGAGGCTCGCAAGCACGTTTCCTCCTTTCCAAGCTTAACCCGTCAACCACACATTCGTCCGGTGGCTATGGTGGCGGACCTTCTGCTCAAACTATATTTACGGATGATGTTTCTCTCCAAACGTTCATGGACCACCTTATGAAGTAAGTACCATATTCAAAGTATGGTCAATATTTTATCTACACGATGCTAACTTATGACTTAGACTTGCGGTATCTGGCGCCAACTAATAGGAGGACGATACATGTTTTTGGAGCGGTAGAGGTGCGGCAGTGAAAATTCAATGATTGATACTTGTCTAGGTAGTTGATTCCAGTATTTGAATTTAAATAATTAACAGATGTTATTCGTTGCGTCGATGGAGTAAATAGTTGATCGTACTCTATATAACCCCTTTTCAGGGGTCGTCATGTATATCACGTGATATAGGGTTATGCCCTAACGCGCTAGTTCGCTTAAACTCCTAAAAACCAAATCCAGAGCTCGAACCTCGAAGAGTCTTTCACTTCATCACTTCAACCACTTTTGAAAACCAGGAAGATAGACCACCTTTCGCACTCGCCATGCGTAAGTATCATCTCCTCTGGTATGCTTCGGCGGCCGACTGACCTATACCATGTAAATAGCTCCAAAGCCAGACCCAACCGAAGTCAAGGTGATGTAAGTTTTCCTCAAGCACTCCAAAGCGATTTGAAACACTAGAGAATTATCACAAAGCTAACAATTCGTTTCTCTATAGCCACCTGAGGGCCACTGGTGGTGAAGTCGGAGCCCAATCCGCCCTTGCTCCCAAGATCGGTCCTCTCGGTCTGTCTCCCAAGAAGATTGGTGAAGACATTGCGAAGGCCACTGGTGACTGGGTACGTCGTGACGAATTCAATCACATCTCGCCTCTTGGTGATTTCGGCATTCCGTCAGGATAATATTGCTAATGCACTCAACAGAAAGGTCTCCGTGTCACCGTCAAGCTTGTCATCCAGAACCGTCAGGCTACCATCTCCGTCGTTCCCTCCGCCTCTTCCCTCGTCATCAAGGCCCTCAAGGAGCCCCCACGTGATCGTAAGAAGGAGAAGAACATCAAGCACTCCAAGTCCATCCCTCTCGATGAGATCATTGAGATCGCTCGCGTCATGAGGGCTCGCTCTTTGGCCAAGGAGCTCAGGGGTACTGTTCTTGAGATTTTGGGTACTGCTTTCAGCGTTGGTTGCCAAGTCGATGGACGAAGCCCCAAGGATGTTAGCGACGAGGTCAAGTCTGGTGAAATTGACAGTATGTGGCCTTCCGTTCTTCTGTCCCTATTTGAATTGACCCGAATTGCTAACGTTGCGTCTACAGTCCCCTCCGAGTAAATTAAAAAAAAGTTAATGAAATGAAATGACAAAAGACGTGAAACAAGCATAAACGCCATTTCTACTCTTGATTTCTTTTTTACCTGTACTACTACTACTCAGAGGACCACCCATTCTTCAATGGGATTTACGAAGTAACGAATTTTTCTTCTTTTTCAGCTGCTTTTCCATCTAATCCTCATGCTATATTCAGTCTGTGGTCTTCCTATTCCCTCCCCTACCTTTGCCAACACTCTGGCCTGTACCGGCACAAATATTTTTGGGCAATAATCTCTACGGTACAGGCCTATTTTGGTGCAAAGAAGATCGACTGGCCAACTACTCACCGCAGTATCCTGGGTTATGCACGGGCATTCTTTTCTTTTCGGAGGAAAGGGTACCTGTGTATACATCCTGTGGGTACGGTGGTCCATCTTGAAGGTCTATATCTCTTTCTTAACTTGAATGTCCTATTTGGTTAACTGGTTCGATCACTGAAACGGTAAGATCAAGGCAACGCCTTCAGCTAGGCTTTCTTCTACTTGCTCCATGCGTTTGTGCCGTGTCGTACACGAGGACGTTCAATGTTACTATTGCCATATCTTTTAAAAAGAATACAAAAATATTTCCAACCATACAGGATACACGTTTGTATTTTCGGGGAAGTACATTGTCCCATACGTTTATTCAAACAGGTGAGTTTGTGATAGGCTGAAGTGCTATGTATCGGGTCCCTGCGAATCATTTCTTAACGTCCCGCTCCCCCCCGTGTTCAAGTGTATCCCGAGAAGCCGTCTACTAGGGGTATCTACCCCAAGCCGATATCCCGTTTTTAGAGACCAAATAAAGCATAGTCAATGCAAATCCCCGTAGCGGGATCTAATTAATACCTGAGCGCCTCAAACGAGCAAAAAATAAAAGAGTACCACTCGGCTGTAACGTACTGCGGCCTATGTCTTTATACACAGTTGGCAAAGGAAAAAGAAAGCGGTCGTCCGGACGGCAAGGAGATCCTGTGATTGTATCTTGCATGTCACATACATAGTCGATTCGCCTCTTGAAGGTAGGAAGGGGGTTGATGAATAGATCGACTGTAACACCATTTGGAAGTGGCTTGCAGGTCATCCATGGTTTGGGACAGCGAAAATGAGACCAGATATTAGACCTATTAAGAAGATCGCCACCCGACTATGCGCAATGTACAGACATACTTATACGGAGTATACCAGGCCTATGTTGCTGATAGTGCATGGATTAGACGCGATTTCAACTATTTTATCACCTACTATGCATTTCAACCAGCTATCACCTAATAGACTGGCTTACTGTGCATATGTGTCCTGTATACTCCGTACTTCGTAAACATAGCCCCAATACTGAGTACAACCTGTGGTTTATCATAAAAATTGAAGGGAGGGGGAGCGAGGTGGTGCAGTTAACCGTCATCGATGCGTAGCTAGCCTTGCGCATGTACCATGTATAACCAACTGCATTGCGCGAGTAAGAGTAAAATAAATTAAAATTTTTCCCATGGAGGTAACTAAGCTAGCTACCCTTCGCTCGTCTAAAGCGAAACTCTCAGCTCCCGCTATTAAAGGGAACGGCAGGTGCGTGTCAGAGAAAATGGCCAGACGTCCAGCACTGTTTACTCCGTATTCTTGTAGTTCTACCAAACCACTCACATTTCTTCCAAAGAATCTGCACTCCCGGGTCATCGCCCCAATCATACCCCATATTGCGGAAAGGTGATATTAGGGTTTCCTCTTCCCGTTCATGATGACGCTCAACGTGTTCAAATGCCGGCCAGACCAGAGAGCGTCAAACCAACGAGAGAATCGAAACATAGTCCAGAAGTTGTGTGTGGGGAGGGAGGCAAACCACGATACCCCCTTCCTATGTCGATTGCCAGACATCACCAGCAGGCGAACGGTCCAGGATAATCCTTTAAGTCAGGGATCGCCTTTATCCCGGCTAAGTGGAGACTGGACTGTGGGTGAATCCATGCTTTCAAACCTTTGAACCGATCACGATGGAGACCGATGTGGATACGGCCTTGTTGTTGTCAAGTGTTTAACTGAGATTGATATCCATCGCCTTCGATTCAAGTTCGGATGTACCCGTATCAAAACAGTTAGAGAGGCAGGCTGAGGGCATGAAGCGTAGACTGCATCGACAAACGCCTGTCACATAAGCAACTGCCGAGTGCATCTCGTGTCTGCGAGGATGGAAGACCAACGCCTGGAGGAGAACGGATGTATCAGTGGGACCGTTGGAGCCACAGTGGAGTCATCCTTTCCCAAATTAAGAATGCTCCGCAGACCATGTACACTGACGATATCCAAGTGGTGCCAAGCTGCGACCTGGCCATGTACGGGAAGTACCCATGCGTGTCATCATATAGAAAATAATCAAAGCGCCGTTAGGGGAGACCGCTTCACCCTCACGCCTGCTCCCCGTTCCACAGGCCGTGACATGCGCCTTCTCAAAGGCGAAAAGCTGAGCGTAAGGAGAATGCAGATTTTCGTTAGGAGGGTTCGAAACAGGCCAGTGAAACATGATTAATCACACAGTTAAAGCCTCGTTCTAGGTGTGGAGCCGTAGAGAGCTCATCCACAGCCACGCAAAATGGGATGACGCCCAGGTATGCTTGGTGATAGGCCATGGGAATATGTACTCTATAGGAGCAGCTGGAAGAGTATATTTGATATTCCTTTCTGGACGTACAAAGTCCGAATCGAAGGTCAAAGAGTAGATATATGGCGCGTTGTTCGGGGAATGCTGTAGGTCCCAGACAAGCCACAGTGACATCTGGGCGTTTAACGGTCGTCGGTATCACCCACACAGAAGAGGAGCCCAACTTTTAAAGCACTTGATTGTCGCCTAACCGGTGGACGCTCGACGCTGGTCCCAGAAAAGTAGGTTCCGCCATGCCGTATGTAGAGTTGCGCCCTCAGCCCGTAAGATGAGTCCACACGAGGCACGAAGGGCCCCCCAGGAGATGAGATGTCATCCTTCAAGCGCATCGCCGTCACCGTCGAAATCAGCACCACAGCGTCATGGCGCCCCATACAACAGCCCTCTCTAGGCTGCACACCCAGTCCGTATCCCTGTCCTGAGACCTGCAAGCTCATTGCTTTTTTCCCTTTGCTCGACTAGTAAGAAAGGCCGCCCAGCCCGGTCCCTGTCACCACCCGTCCCACCTTCGACCCTCCCTCCCCATGCCTCTAATAATAGCCCCATCAGTAGCATATTGATGGGCGTTTTTTTGCTGCGATCGCCTAAGCCCGCCGCGCTGCTTGGCTGCGGTCCAACAACTGCTTGGACTCAACTCGCTGCGTCGACTTGGGGGAGTGTCTTGTCTATGTCGTGTCTGTAGTGCTGTCGCTCAAGCGTCCTGCAGCCTGCATTCCACTTCCCTTTTTCCTTTTTCCTTTCTCCTCCGGCCCTGTTCTTCTCTGCCTTTCCTTTCAGGCTATAGAGTTGGCGTTAAGCATACGCTTGCCGTGTGGTGTGGACCTGGCTCGCCCTAGCGGCTAAACCCATCTCCAGTTGAAAACAGATCTTCCTTTCTTCAATTTGCCTGCGTTTCTCTTCCTCTCAACTCCCTCGCTGTTCCATCTTTTTGGTCTCTCTGCGGGTGCCCCAGTCGCCTCTTTACCGCTACCCTCGTCCTCGCCCTCACTGCACCCGGCAGACCGTCTGCTGCAGTGCCTATTCCCGATCTCTTGAAGCCTCCTCTCTCCTGGCCTGACCCTCGCCTGACCTCATATGTCTCCACCGCCGCCGCCAGGGCAGGCTTCAACCTAGCCAGGAATTTAGTCTTGTCGCGAGCGCCATAAATCTCCCATCTGCAAGTAAAGTAAGTGCTCCGTACAGGAGATCGACGAACGATGTAGCTGGCCTTTGACCGGAGATTTTCGTCTCTTCTTTTCCTCGTGTTTTTTTTCTGTCGTCTCTTTTACGCCGTCCCTCACCGCCCTGCCCTGTCCTCCTCGTCCCAGGATCAACCACCAACATCACCACCTTCACTCCAACATCACCAACATCACCACCGCCACGGGGATTAATAAACAGAAAAGTTCGATACTTTCGTTTGGAGTCGTCGCCTCGTTCAGTCGGCCTGAGACGTTCGGAGGATACTGACTTTCGTTCTCCAGGCACTCACCCTCTTTCACGCGTGCGGCTGAGCCGGACGGTAACCACCCATTTAATCCTCCAATTCGCGAGCAGGGCAGTGCCCATAGCCGGATACGCATATCACCCCCGTGTCGAAAAGTGCTCAGGCTTTTACAGGCGTCGTAACGTGCCCGTGATGTGGCCTCGAAAACGAACAAGAAGATTGCTTGGTTGATGAAGAATTGCGCCTGTCTGCGCTCCACCCGTCACACTCGAAGTAGTTTTTGATAAACACGACCATAGAGAGGAGAAGGAAAGACGCTCGTTTCGGACCGAAGCAGTCAAGATGCTGCCATCCGTGGCACATCAGCCGATCCAGTTCCTGCCACACCGCCATAGTCAATCCCTTTATTCTCCCGATATCCCTTACGACCTCCACGGACACAACATACACTCTCTCCAGGATGACCTACAGCACACACATTATGGCAGCCAGGGGTCTTCACTGCTCAGGGGCAGCAGGACACATTGCCCGCGGCCGATCCAGCGGCCGGATATGCATACTCTAGCGAACGGCGGGCTACACGGTTCCTCCTCCTCGTTAGAGCATACGCTACGGCGGAAGACCCCCAATGGCACCCTCGCTGCTGGATATGATGCTACTCCTGGGGATAGGTCTATCCAACAGCCCGCCGCCAAACACATCCTCGTCTCCTCGCTCGATAATAGCCAAATCCTCCCCCAACCTGGCCTCTCTCTGGATCCTCTACAACAATACAAAACCGTCGAACCTCTGCCTCTATCACAACACCAAAATTTTCCTCCCGCGTTCAAGCAAGATGCCAATAGAATAAATACCATACACAACGGTATACCCCAAGAATTCCCAAATACTAACTGGATACGATCACTAAATCACCCTCAAGGCATCGACTCTGTTTTAAACCAGACCTCTGGCTTCTCGGCAGGCCAGAGGTATAATTACTGGCAAAACCTGCCTACTGTTCCGACCGTTCTTGCTTCCTCCTTCCAACCTGGCCTTGGAGGCCCCGAATCTGCCGCTGCTGCACAGTATGGCCAATACTGGCCCGATGGGACGTACATGCCGCCGTATCGCCCCGCCGCATTTCGAGACAACAGATTCCAATCAACACCATCAATAGGACAGAATGCGTTACATGGTAACAATCGGTTTGCGGACGCACAATCACTTTTCAACAGGCAATCCCTGCCTCCCTCCGAATTCCTCGCACCAGGCTTTTCCTGGAATCCACTGCCAGCCCAGTCGAATCTGAATGGGCACCAACAGCAACAGCAGCAGCAACAGCAGCAACAACAAATCTACGCTCATGACCCCTCCAGATCTCAGCAACACTATGCTCCAAGCCATATCCCTCAAAAGGCCCCGGAACAAATTTGGGATCAAAATCCATTGCCGTACGGCCCCTCACAACCCGCTAAACATGATCTTCATCCTCTAGATTCCGTCGATTCTCTACGGTGGCATCAGCCGTCACATAATGGCCTACATCATTCGACCCCCGATGTTGCTAGATCACCAAGGAATTCCGAATTTAAAGAGAAGACTCTTTCCTGGGCCCATAGTGTCTATGTCGACTTACTTGCATCATTACATAGCGCTCGAAAGAAAGCTAGCCAGGGAGGGGTAGATTCACATTCTCGTGAGGCCCTCAAGCCGAGCATATATCCTAAACCACCCCGACAACCGACGTCCGATTTCTCCTCACATTCCGATAACATGGCTAGAAAGCATAGAAATCATGACCAACAAGTTCAATCCATGCATATGCACCCCCAACGAAGCCATTCGGTGCACCTTGATCCCTCTATGGGTGGATTTTTCGATGCGAAGAGACACCCTGCCCATAGGCCTTTCCCATCTATAGATGGGGGTTCTCAACATAACCACATGAGACATGTGAATCAACCATTTGATCAACGAATGTCTGCCGATATGCCTATGAATGGCTACCGAACGATTCGCCGTGGTCATGGAGCTTCCATGTCTCGAATGTTCAGCCCCACGCATGAGGCAATGTCGATATCAGAAAAGGCCGTGTCAGCTTTGGAAATGCTTGCTAGTCTGTGTAAGGAGAGTGGCTGGACGTGGATCGATGGGATGCTCGTTGGTGGTTGCCTTGCCTATGGCCTTGGTGATTATAATCGAGCCATGCGCTGGTATACCCGGGTTATCAATCAAGATGTTGCGTATGTTCTCACCCTTGCTCCCGTAAATGAACCGTGAAAACTAACAAATCATTTCGAAATAGACATGTTGAGGCCATATCAAATCTTGCTGCTTCACTCCTTGCTTTGGAACGACGCGAAGATGCTCTTCAACATTGGCTACGAGCCATAAAATTACGACCGAGTTACTTCGAGGCTGTCGAGCATCTTATTGGACTATTATGCAGCAGCCAACGAGGCAAGGAAGCAGTCAGCATTGTCCAGTATGTCGAGAACGCTCTTCGATTACCACCCAGTGGCGATTGTTTCAAGTCGAATCGTGATCAATCCGATACGGAATCAGAGGACAGGGAATCTAGCGTATCTACGATAGAATCTGCGGATAAAATGGCATTCGATTATACGGATAGTGTTCAAAGTCCTCTTGCGTTTGCCCGCCGTGGATCCGACCAATCTGCCCCTGGATTCGGCTCTAGTGGCTATGCTATCCCTGGTGCAGATAATGGTAGAATTCTTGGTCTTGTACACGCCAAAGGGAACATGCTTTATGCCCTAGGAGATAATGTCGCGGCCGCTGGAGCCTTCGAGGAAGCCATCCTCATAGGCACGGGTAAGCGACGCGGAATGAAAAGTCTTATCCGCCATATCCTTTCTTCCTTTGGCGATGAGAACCGACATGGCCCACCTACGTCTCGACCGTATGATCCTAAGGAAACCGTTCTGCTTTTCCCTGAAAAGGCTTTGCAGACTGCAAAACTGGTGTTCCACCCGCATGGGACTTTGCCTGGCTTCCAATATCTTCCGGATGGCTTGGCTAAAAGGGCAGCCATTTCCACAACCAGCAACTCGCTACTTTCCCTTGCAAAGATATATCAGGATGGCATGTCATCGACGTCTTCAAATGGAACCCCGAGGAGCACGCCAGGCGTTCGAGATATCCTTGCCTTATACTATTTGTCGCTGTCGTTACAGCCCAGTCCATCAACTGCGAACAACGTTGGAATATTACTCGCTGGAATTCAAGGTACAGCTGCCAAATCCGTGCGCACGGCCGGTGAAAGTCAACTTCCCGAAATCCCTGGTGTCATTCCAGGTAGCGGCATTTCACTCGCTTTGGCGTACTACAATTACGGCCTCAACCTTGATCCGAGACATGCTCATCTATACACAAATCTGGGGAGCCTTCTTAAAGATATTGGCCAGTTACCTGCCGCAATCAAGATGTACGAGCAAGCTGTACAGTGTGATAGTAAGTTTGACATTGCGTTGGCCAACCTTGCGAACGCAGTGAAGGACTCTGGAAGGATCAATGATGCCATCGGATACTATCGACGAGCTGTGAATGCCAACCCCGACTTCGCTGAAGCAGTGTGTGGCCTGGCCAATGCATTGAATTCCGTCTGCAACTGGGGAGGTAGAGGAGGAATCTCTCCTCGCCGTGGTATTAGAGACTTGTGGCATGTTGATGATCATGGCAGACTCCGTGACGCAAAAGAAATGGCGGTTGATACCGGTTGGATCAAACGAGTTGTTGATATCGTGGACAAACAGCTGAAAGATGGTGAGCTATGGGGTTGTGGCACACTCCGAAACTTGACGCCGGACCAATTGTGCCAGGCGCTCATGTCACCATCTAACAACAGCAGAGACGCAATGAATAAACGAACAACTTTGAACTCCATATTGCGTTCCTGGTCAGGGAAGAAATGGGAAGGATCAAGGACTGTTCGACTCATCGAACGAATGGTCAAATATATTGGCTGGCAATGGTATCAGGATCGATACGTCCATCACAGAGAATACCCGGTTTCAAAGTATTCGCGTCCTCACTTCCCAGCTACACTCGCCCCGCCCAGTGCTCCGACTGTTTTGCCTTTCCACACCTTCACCTGTCCACTATCCGCAAAGCAAATTCGCCATATTTCTCAGCGCAACGGTCTGCGTATCTCGTGTTCCACGCTTCGCTCCCCGTGGCTGCCCGCCACAGTATACCAGCCGCCACCTCCTCCGAGTCCCCAAATCAAAGTTGGATACGTTTCGTCTGATTTCAACAACCATCCTCTAGCTCACCTTATGCAGTCTGTCTTCGGTCTTCATAACCCAAACCGTGTCAAAGCGATTTGCTATGCAACAACGGCTAGTGATAACTCTGTTCATCGTCAGCAGATACAACGCGAAGCTCCTGTCTTTCGTGACGTTAGCAGCTGGTCTGTTGATCGGCTGGTGGATCAAATTGTGCGGGATGGTGTTCATATTCTTGTTAACCTGAATGGATACACACGGGGTGCACGTAACGAGGTGTTTGCAGCTCGTCCAGCCCCTATCCACATGTCCTTCATGGGCTTTGCTGGATCGTTGGGTGCGGAATGGTCAGATTACATCCTGGCTGATGAACTCTCCATTCCACCAGACACATTAGCTCCTCGAGGACAAAGTGCGAGGATAGAAGAACGATTGTACGACCCAGATCACAACGAAGAGGCAGATGACTGGATATACAATGAAAAAATCGTATATACCAAGCATACATTCTTCTGCTGTGATCACAGACAGAGTGCTCCTGACGCCCGTGGCCCGAAGTTGACGTGGGAAAAAGAACAGGTCAATCGATGGAAGATGCGCAAGGAAATATTCCCGGATCTCAAGGACGATACTGTGATTCTCGGTAACTTCAATCAACTTTATAAGGTATGTGCCAGATAATAGTTTAAGAAAGAAAGGAAGCGAGAGCATGAAGCTAACAATGGATTGATAGATTGAACCCACAACGTTCCGCACCTGGTTGAGGATCTTAGCAGGTATTCCTAATGCTATACTCTGGCTCCTTCGCTTCCCTGATGTTGGAGAACAAAACCTTCGACAAACTGCCACAGCCTGGGCCGGTGAAGCAACCGCTTCCAGGATTATATTCACCGACGTCGCGCCAAAGCACGCACACATTTCTCGTGCTCGCATCTGTGATCTGTTCCTGGATACGCCAGAATGCAATGCTCACACTACAGCAGCGGACGTTCTCTGGAGTGGCACACCGCTCCTCACTCTACCACGGTACAAGTACAAGATGTGCTCTCGCATGGCATCTAGTATTCTAACAAGCGCACTTCCACAAACGGAAGAAGGCAAACAAGCTGCGAGACAGTTAATTTCTTCATCAGAGGCTGAATATGAACAAACTGCAATTGAACTGGGATTGGGGATGAAGTACGAGCTCAACAACGGCAAAGGCAGAGCAAGCGGACGACTATTTGAACTTCGAAAAATGCTTTACCTGAATCGATGGGAAAGTAAACTGTTTGATACCCGACGATGGGTCAATGATTTGGAAGAGGCGTACGAGAAGGTTTGGGCGAACTGGGTTCAAGGCGAGGAGAAGGATATATGGCTATGATGGGTGTATTTTCACGACTTGTTTTTGATTTCATTTCTTCTTTTCTTTGGATTTAAATTTTCCCGACCACTGCCTTTATAATTCCCCTTTTCGTTTTCTATCTGTTGAAATGTTCTGGAGCGATACCAAGCCCGTTTATTCACGCTTTTATGGGCAATTCTGTTATGTTGTTACCTTTGTGGGTGTCTTAATTATGTTATATTGCCGCTACACTTACACTTTGCAGCCTGCGAGAGGCCTGCCGCGATATGACCGTCCTCATGTACTTGGTTTTTCGATTTGATACCTCACGCACCCCCGTAACGACTTGGTTTTCTGCATAGCGGAAACTTTTATTAGCATCTATCTCTTCTTTCTTATCCCCAATTCAGCAATTTACCCCCCATGACTGTATTTCTGCCGTTATCTAGAGTTGTTTGGACTGTTCGTTTCAGACGATCCCTTTAGCGAATATACCACTACAGCACTGTATGTTATTTCTCCTTCTTTCTCTCCCCAGGCATCGATTCATCTTGTCATGTATAAAAACTGTTGAGTTTATAATTATTGTTTTCAACTATTCCCACTATCTTGTCTACCTTGTTTATCTACTGTGAACAGCGGCGTGTCATTGACGGGTGTGCATTATCACTATCTCCGTGTACTATCACATATACAAGTTCTACGATCCTGTGTGCCTGCAGTTTTCCTCCAATGGCGAGGTCCAACGAATTGAATACACATAATAGCCTGGCTAACGGCGGAGGATACATACCATGTGTGCCCTATACTGTAGATATACCTACTTGAAACATGAGATGCATTCGGAAAGGGTCCAACCCTGCTATATCAGAGCACATATCTCCGTGACTTCAAATAGCCGCTAGAATATACCGTGCAAAATGGCCACGTACTTGCACAATAAAGAGTGACTGCAGAAGGATTTGGATCAGCCAGCACTGTATGAATTGCCAACCTATATTTTCTCGACTAAGACCCCTCAGAGCTCAACAATGCCGTGTTATGCATGTATGTATGCCCTACCACGGCAGGAGAAAGAAAACATCCCATCCACGCGTCCACAAATCCACATGGCCCTAATTCGAAATTCAACGTTGCGATATGTGCAGACCTGATTAAAACTGCCCATTCGGCGATTCCGCTGAGCAGGCTGTTTCATTGTACAACCACAGACTTCTTTTTCTCTCGCTTTCTTTCTCCGTACTCGTGTGGTATGGCGTTTTTCCTTGTCTTGCTGCACTTCGGGGCAACCTGCATAAGAGATGCACCTCTCACGTCTTCTGGCCATCCTCCGGTACCGAGCCTGGGCAGGGTGTATAGTCCCAGCGTATTGACAATATAGGTACGCCTGCGGATAAGGTGTGTACACCGCACCGGGCAAAGATAGGCCATGGCTACTCTCTTTGCGTAACCTACGGCTGGCATGTAATGAAAGGAGATGTACACCTTTCTGTACATCACGCCGAGACTCCGTCGTACTGGACGATAACTATTCATCGAGATAGGTATTTTCGCCCGTTCGTACATGTCGGCCATACTAATCATTCGTTTTAGCGAAGGTGAAACCCGAGGGCTGAGATGTAGCTCGCCTTCTGCCCGAATTGGGTCAAACAAACAACAACGCCCCTATACGAGGCGTTGACACGTACTACATAACGTCGGTCCAGCTGGAGGAGGTCCCGAAATTGGATAGGTACAGGTGGCATGTACGCATTCCCAGAACAACCAGGGACGCCATCAGGAAGCACGGTTGAGTTGGGCTGAATAACTCGCCATGCATGCATATAAGGACCTGTCTGGGGTTCACCCGTTTGCTGGCTGGCTGATATTATCATTGGCGCCTGCAGCACCAAGCACGGGAGGTCGCTTCCATGTCCATGTCCATGAACCTATCGCGCATGAAAGGTAGACCGGCCATACCCTGTTCCCATCAAATCATCAAATCGCTTCCCCCAATGTAGCCGTTTGGCTCATATAGCAAACAACGTCCTTTTGGTGGGGCTGCCAGGATTTTATTCCCGTCCTTCCTCCTCGGAGAGAGAGAGCCCAGTCTCGCGCGTCGGTTCATCTTATTGTACTGGCGAATGAAACAGCAAACAAGGGGATTGCAGCGAGGGTGGTCTAATGTTTTTTTTTTTGACCAAAACCCTGCATCCTCTGTATGGGTACCGGGAAACGGCTGAGTCTAAGGCAGACCAGATGAGAAAACTGGCATGTGTCGACTGCATTTTCTAGAATTAAGGCCAAGGCATGCATGAACTACATGCATGAGCTGGCATGACAAAGAAAAAGGAGTCGGAATATAGAGACATGTGCTCATCAGAAGCACAATGAATCTCGAGAGCATGCTCGGACGGATGGACTTCCAACTTTCTTCTTTCCCCTTTGCTTGGCTTCAGAGGTATGCAACCATTTTGGCTGTGAGAGAGAGCCAGCCAATCGAAACGCGATTCGGGGATTTCGCCCAGTGCATGAATGACAATTAGGTATTACTGCCCCCCCTGAATCATGCCTTGTGATAGATGGCGAGTGGACAGCGACCTACAGCAGCAAAGAGAAGGGGTATGATGAAATAACGCATCCCTCAACGATTGGGTATCAGCGAAGCTGCAAAATTAACCATTGACATACCCCAAAGCGGTAGGTCCAACGGATCGACCGATAGTTATAAGTGGCCCAGTCACTAAGCCACGATCAGATCGCCTGCCACAATATGCATCGCAACTGAGGCGATGGATGAGTGGAGCGAGCTCGCCTATATGTTGACGTTCGTAATGCTCAAGTGCAATCGCTTAGGGGACGGAGTAAACGGCGACATGATGCATATGTGCATCCCGACTATCGCCGTCCCAAACTGCCGAGCGCATGAGCAGAAGGAACTAAAGCTTGGGGTGATAGATCATTCATCGACGCCCTTAAAAAAAACATTACAGCAAGGGCAGGCTCCCATGCGAGAAGCCACTCCATCGTCAAACGCATTCAAGTGATAGTGCGGCTTCGGGGGATGCATCCGGGTGGCAAACGCTCAAGGACGGAGATGTATGACGTCTTCATCTTTTGCCTTCGAAGCCGGACGGAGATAGGTTTGAATGAGGGCATTATAGTCACTACACTAGGACATGGAACGGAGGAATGAAGCGGTGATGTGGCTTGATCTAAAAGTCACATCCTTCGTTCGGCGCATAGCACGGTTAAACTCCTCCGTACGGAGTACACTTAACTAGCTGCAACAGGTGGGAAAAGAGAGCCCCAATATTCGAGAAAACCGAGGGAATGGAAAACACAGATCCTAGTGCAACTAAAGGGCTGAAAAAATGGCGGCACATCGTCCATCCCAGTTTTCCGCTTGCCATTGGCCGTTGATTGTTCTATATTGAAGCTATTTGTGGAGCTGAGTGGGCTAGGGGGGCATCTCATCCATCGCCTTTTTCTATATCTTGTCTGCTCCTCGTACTATTTACGGATACTGCCTACATCGGAGGGCCAGCTCACTCGCTTATCGAAGCCAAAAAGGCTGAAATATGGGTTAATCGGCTTCAGGTTTGGACGGGGCAAAAAGTTCGGCCAACTAAGGAAGAAGGAAACGCCTGGTTAGAAGCAAAGACCCAGTATGATCAATTAAGGTGAAGTTTATAATGATTCTTGGAAGGAAAAAAACGTTTTCCCCGTGGGTTGATGCCCGCTGTGGGTGGACGATTGTGCTCCGTGCTATCACCCCCTGATGGACGGGTCAACTGGTATCGATATGACTATCCCGTCAATCGGGGATATCCCATCATCGGACATCCCTAGTAGTTCATTACTAGGGAGTTGGGGGTGGGATTACGATGGCTCAAGTGACGCTTGACATAAAGTAAGACATGGACAGGGCCAGTTGGCTGATCACGGCCGGCAACGAGACGAAACAGAAACCGGACTCGTCGTTCCTGTCCCTGATCCTGCTGCCGTGCCGTACTCTTGTGCCTGATCATAGAACGAGAACGGTCCACGATGTCTGCAATCATCCGTCTTTCCATGGTAGCAACATGAGCAAATCCCGTCCCGTTCCCGTCTTTACCTCTGGACAAGATATTCTGTCTGCTTTGCTACGTTGACAAGGACGAATACAGTTGCATCCCAAAGCTAAAGGTGATAGCCGGTCTGAAAAGAGTTTTTCCGGCCAACACCTTGACCACCAAAAACATGACACGGAACAGTCGCTGCCATGGTTGACCGTGGTGGGGGTTAGAGGGGCGGCCTTCCACCATCCGATTTAGATAAATGTATATATGCATCTACAAATGGCAAGTTAGAAGGCGCTTGCATGATTTTGTCAGTGGTAATTGGATACCACTATCTGCGCAGGTGTGCACTGTAACACCCTCTTCCCTGTCTTCTGTCATCTGGCTCCTTTTCTCTCCCACGGAACAGAAATAGATTAGAGCTGATAACTCTCTTTCCACACGTACGTAGGTCATATCTCGGGGGCTGGAGCTGGAACTGGAGCTGGAACTGGAGCCAGAGCTAGAGCCAAAGCCGGAACTGGGTTGATGCCCTGCCGGGCAAAAGTATAGAGATAGAACCAGACCAGAAGTTGAACCAGACCAGATAAAACGCCCGATGTGGAGACTTATACAGCCAACACGATGGGAAAGAGGTAGGTCTACCGCACAAACGTATCCTATTCCGTCCGTCGATTGCCCGGCTTGGACGGACCTGTTTCACGGCGTCTACCACATAGCCTCTTTGTATCCCCTCCTCGGAAGAGAAGGTTGGGAAATGTGTTTGACGTTTCCAATCGGCCATGCGTGCTTTGACGGTGTCACCGTCCGTCACAGAGGTCCAATCAAGGCGACCGACGAATGGGGAGACTTTGAGCAAGGCCCTGCTGTATGAGTGTACCAGTTCCGGAGTACAATGGTACCTGCTTTGGCCGCGTCTCTACGACAACTGGCAGGTCCGATCAGGGTGAGGCTAGACATCCAAGGGAGTAAGTAAGGTTGGCGGGAACAATCGTTCCA